TGTTTTAGAGGTATTTTATAATTAATTAAATTCCATTTAAACTAAAAAAATGTCATAGGAACCAAACAATGAGCATTAAAGTAGCTTTAAATCAGATGTAAATCATAAAATTAAAGACACTTGGAGAAATCGTTCACTTATTTTTATATATATAAATGTAAAATCTGTTTCATGGTTCACATTTATTATTCTTACTTTGTAAACAAATTGCATCCTAATGTCATATTGCTGCACATCCTTTAAAGAGTGTCCAAAAGTTTAATTAAGGGAACCAGTGTTTCATGAATGACTGACTAACCACTCAACCCAAAATAGCCTTCATGGTCCCATGATGATGATATTGCTGCTTTTATCTTTTGCTTTTTAAGGTTTCTTGAACTTTGTATAATTGTTGACTTGATCATTTGATCATGATTCATTCTCTTGTACACTCAAATACACAAATGTACTGTACACAGTATCTGTCACAAATCTGGAATAATAATGATTTTTATTGTATGTTGGAAGTCTCTTATGCTCACCAAGGGTTAGGTGCATTTATTTGACCAAACTTACAGTGATGGTAATATGGTGAAATATTGCAATTTACAATATCTCTGTTTATTTAGTGACCACATACTGTACTGATTTAACGCTCAGATAGATAGATGGAAGGATGGATAAATAGATAGACAGACAGACAGATGGATCGATGAACGGACAGACAGACGGGCGTATGGATGGATGGACCGATAGACCAATGGATGGACAGATAGATGGACGGACGGATAAACAGACAGACAGACTGACAGACAGACAAAATAATGGATAGATGGACAGACGGACAAGGTAGGTGGATGTATGGATGGATGGATAGACGGATGAACAGACGGATGGATGGATGGATGGATGGACAGATAGATGAATGGATGGACGGATAGACTGATGGATAGACAGACAGACAGACAGACAGACAGACAGACGGGTGGATGGATGGATGGATGGATGGATAGATGGATGGACGGACGGACGGACAGATGTACAGACAAAAGGATGGATAGACGGACGGACGGGTAGGTAGGTGGATGTATGAATGGATAGACGGACGAACAGACACGGATGGATGGATGGATGGATGGATGGATGGATGGATGGACGGACGGACAACTAGACAGATAGTTGGATGATTGGATGGATGGATGGATAGATAGATACAGTAGATAGCTAGATAGATAGACAGACAGACAGACAGACAGAAGGATGGATGGATGGATGGATGGATGGATGGATGGATGGATGGACGAACAGACGGGTAGGTGGTTGGATAGATGGATGGATAGACAGACAGACGGACTACCAGACAGACAAATAGTTGGATAGATGGATGGATAGACAGACAGACGGACTACCAGACAGACAAATAGTTGAATGAATGGATGGATAGATGGATGGATGGATGGATTGATAGATAGAGACGGACAGATGGACAGACAGACAGATTGAAAGATAGACAGACAGAGACAGACAGACAGGCATACAGACAGACAGACATACAGACAAAACAGTCTCAATCTCACACTTAATCTCACCTTTGTCACACACACATGCTTTTGTCTTACATTTCCGTATGATTTGTAGCCTGTGGCAAACCCACCCATGTAAAACGTGTATTAGATGGCACCAGCCCTCAGCAGCGTATTGTGGGTGGAGTCAATGCTGTGGAGGGGGAGTGGCCATGGCAGGTCAGCATGCATTTTTCTGGTCAGCTGTATTGTGGAGCTTCAGTCCTCTCTGATGTGTGGCTTATTTCCGCAGCACACTGTTACAGCAAAGAAAGGTGAGAAACATCAGATGCATCTATAAATCATTGAAAATCAACATTTAATACATTTTGTTAGTGTTTTCATACAGCATGTGTGATCTTTGATGCTTTCAGGTTGGCAGATCCACGTATGTGGATGGCTCATTTGGGAATGCTGAACCAGGGCAGTGCCAAGCATGTGGCCGAGATCCGTCGAATTGTGGTGCATGAGTACTACAATGCAAGAAATTTTGACTATGATATTGCCCTCCTGCAGTTGAAGAAGGTCTGGCCAAGCGGACTGGAACAATATATCCAGCCTGTGTGCCTGCCGGCCCCATCCCAAACCTTTACTGAGGGACACCGCTGCTGGGTGACTGGCTGGGGTTATCGTTCTGAACAGGGTAACAATCTCAAAATCAAGGAGAAACCATGTGCTCCGCTGTTTAAATTTAAACATTTTAAATACGTCTGCATTTAGTGAAACATACAGTTTAAACAGTACTACTGAGAAGTGTCATTTTTAACATTTTATGTACAGTAATAACAGGCCGTAGCCAGCCTGGTAAAATGGGTGGTTTTCTATTTAATTATAAGATTTAATTACTGCATTTAGTGACATTTTAAGCACTATTTTTAGCTGGATTAGCTTGTCGGATGGTGATCATAACCACACTTTTCATTGTACCAAAATATTTCCTAAAGATTTAGAATAAAGAAAATAAATATTTAAATGTTTAAAAAATATTTTTAAAATAAAAATGTGTTGCAGCATATTTCATTAGGGAAATCATGAAATCTGTTAAAGGTTTAAATTAAAAACTGTACTCTATTGTCATTTAATAGGCAAACAACAAACTGGCCGGCACATTTTAATTTCCTCAGTCAGAATTTGTCCATTTGAATGTTGAACAATTAAAACAGTAATAATAATAATAATAATGTAGAAATAATGAATTTTCTAGCCTATCTTGTTAAAAAAGTTTCTATCGTATCTTGTAAAAGTACAGAAATAGCTTAATTAGTAATAAAATTTGGTCATTTTTATTTAAGATTTAATATAAACGTTCAATATAAAATGTTTTCATTATTTAACAACAATATAGTAGGTCAGTAGTGAAAGATGACTTCACTTATGTCAGATTCTGCTTGGTCTTAAAACCTCTGAAAGGTTATTTTTACAATTTATGATGGCATTGCAGTCAAAATAGGACAAATGAGCTCATATATGGGACAAATTCTGGACCTTTATCAGTGGGGGTGGGTCTTTCGAACCACCTGAACCCCTCCTGGCTACGGGCCTGAATAATATTAAACTACATTAAATAATTAAGTTTTAAATATATTTTTATATTTTTAAATGTTTTGTACCGTCTCTTAAGCTCACTACAGCACACTAATGCATATGATCAAACACACAAAAGCAGTATTGTGAAATTAAAATAAAAAACATTTAAAAATATAATTCAAATAATTTTACTAATAACATTTATTAATTAATTAATAACATTTCTTAATATTTATTAAGTAAATATCATGCTCAGCATTTGATACAGTAAAAACATTTCATGAATCAGTTAAATTCTGCGTTGGCATTTTTAAAATATTTTTTCTAAACAATAACATACAATAACTTGTAGGGTAATGTATTTGGTTGTTGAAAACTTGAACAGTAAATGCTGAAAAATGATTAAGATTGTTCTTTTGTTGATTGTTTTTTATTATAAATGTCAGACAGTTAAAGGATTTCACAAAATGTGTTAAATCAGCTGCACAAAGGGATTGACATGCTGAAAATCCTTTAAAATTGATAGATATAAAGATTTGACATTTATCGCGATAATTATCACTATCAACTGATGTGAAAAAAAGTATCGTGATAATTTTTTTGCCATATCGCCCAGCCCTAAATAAAAGCGTTATTTTTTGTTCAATCTTACTCCAGAATTTTGAATGACTGTATTTTCTTGCTCAAATGTTTAGCAAATATTTTTACAATTAAATAGCTTATTTGTCTTCTGTTCATACAGATAAGGTACTACCCACAGTTTTGCAAAAGGCGGAAGTTAACGTTTTAAGTCAGAGTGAATGCAAGAGAAGTTACGGCCCTGTGTCGCCCCGCATGCTGTGCGCTGGTGTGCCCTCAGGAGAACAGGATGCCTGCCGGGTGAGGGGAGATAATGGGCACTGGACTGGCTCCTGCTTTATGAACCAAACATAAGCTTAGGATCTCATTTCAGACCATTATTAAAAGTCTAACCTTCCTCATTGTTCAAAGTAAGCCGACTCTGGAATTTCACATAACCCATTTGTGTTTGCAGGGGGACTCGGGCGGTCCTCTGTCTTGTCAAGCACAGACAGGCAGCCGCTGGTTTCTGACTGGCATTGTGAGTTGGGGTTCTGGCTGTGGCAGGCCATACCTTCCCGGAGTTTACACCAGAGTAGCCAAGTTCATAGACTGGATACAGAGACATATTCATGATGAAAACTCATGAAAAACAGCCAAGTAAATCCACCTCATAATAAATTCTGGTAATTATTCTCACTCAAAACTAGCCATTTTCACCTAAAACTGTTCCACAGCAAGCAAATGTGTTACATTATGGACTGTCAGTGATGTTAGACTGAATATATTTGTCTTGAGGAAACTGAATGCAGTGTATTTAAAAAAGAAGAAAGAAAATGTTCTGAAGTTAACACAAAAAAGTACTGTATAATAGTGAATCACCACTTCAAGGATGTTTTGTAAAATGGCCGCTAAACTGGACATCAAGACTTCAATTCCAAATCTTTGGGTTTCATGCTGAATGTTCATTGCTGAACATAAGCAAACATTAAAACTGGTTTTGTATCTCCTTGCTAGAGGCAGCTGCATGAACTAATGGCGATATCAACTTTTAAGGTTATCAACTGCCCTTGTATTTGTATTGTTGCCATTCCAATTCATTTTAAACTGGTAGCAAGAAGATTTTGTCAGGCTGCATATAATGGACATTGGTTATGCTTGTGTAAACAGCACATACAAACTAGAAGAGTAAAGTTTAATGTTGGTTTGATAAAGCTACATGAGTTAGCCTGTTAAGTCTGTGCTTTCCCATGTGATATCGCTTTGTTTTGAACTTGAATTAGTATGCTGGTTGCATATATTTGTGATAATTGCTAGCATGTTTCATAATGAATATATGAATATATGTTGCTAGCATGTTTTAGCATGCACTGACATTTTGTTAACACATTTCTTGTATGAATTTGCATGTGGCTAGCATGTTTACATACTGTATGGCTCATTGATGAAGGAATTGCTAAAAAGAGATGGAAAGAGAAGGAAATAAGAAGGAAAAGGCCAAGCTACTATGATTATTAATACTATGTCTTGTTGCAAAGTAATATGTCATGCCTATATTTTTTTCTTTATTTATTTAGATAGGGTAAAGACTCTATATAATTATAAAGCCCATTATTCGTGTTCATATATTGTACAAGCTAGAAAATTCGCGGGTTTTCTTTACGTAGTTGACGTAATACTGCGATTTTAAAATACGGATAACGTCCCAGTGAAACCCAGGGATCGTTGACTAATCAACAGTGTTCCGCACACGGGATGAATTGGGTCCGCTTTGTTCCCAGGCTGCACGCCTCGCTGGCCCGTAACGTGAGACACGGGGGGAAACAACGGGGAAATATTTAATCCTCGGGGACTCTTCTTAAACAAATATCTTAGCTATGCGCTTTTGTTTTTCATCCCCAGCAGACGGACCGCTATAATGACGCATTCTCCGCCGCGATTAATTTAATGGCGCTCTAATCATGTAACATCAGACTGCCCATTGTGGCCATGGCACACGCACACCACGGGAGAAGTTTGCCCACAATTTCTGTCGCACGGATGGCTGTGTGGATTGTACCTGCTTATAGTGCTCCCTTTGTGCCGCGGTGCATTCTGGGTACATGCAGCACCTGTTCACGGAGGGACACGGAGAGTGAATGCTCGCAGCGCCAGACCCGCTCAGGTCGGGTTTCTCCGGGATCGCACTACGTCTCCGGGCTGATTTCTCTGCCCGAGGTATTGTTCTGTATCGCTGCATCGGAGCCATAAGAGAGCGGGCCATGAGGACTTTTCCCAAAAATAGAAGCTGCGAAGTTTACAGCGTGTCTGGTTCAGAAGCCTGCGCCCCCGCCGGGGCACCTGCACAGGTAGGAGATCTAGACCCTCCATCAGCACCGCGACTACAGCGAATCAACGCGCGCATGATGCTTTCTAGCACCTCTGGCTTCTTATTTTTATTCAGTTTATTCAGATGTCTTTATATTTGCTTACAAATAAGTATCTTTTTTAAAGGCGAAACAGAAAGATCAGTGGTTTGGTTTAAATTTTGAGATATTATTCCTTATTAATCTATTTTAATTTGGAGTGTACACGCACACGGTAATCGTGCTCGCACATAATTACATCGTTTTAATTACAATATAAGAATTGCAATTAGTAAGTTATAGTTAAGTGCGAAGTGTTACTGTTTAAACTTACTTTTTTACTAATAGAAAACATGGATGTTTTAAATTACATCAAAAATAGAAGTTGTTTGATTGAATGGAATGTTCTAGGAAGACATTTGAACATTTATTGTATTGTGTAAAGGTGGTCTTTCTAAGATCCTAAAGAATTGTTAAAGGTTATTGAAATAACTTAATTTTAAATAAAAATTTAGTCCTGCTTAAATGAAGGTTTTCAAAATAATATTATTTTCATCACCACCTCATTTTAGTGCTTATTTGTACTTAATTGGAAACTATATAAAACACACAATTGTAAGTAAGTCACCTAGGTGGTGCAAATTATATATAGCTTACAGTGCTCAGCATAATTGAGTACACGCCATTTTGAAAATTAATATTTCATCCATTTCTAAGTGAATATAGGCAAGGTATTTTGGTGCATTTAAATATAAAAATTGATTTATTAAGCATTTAGTAAAATAAACAAAATTACAACCTACAAAATTTCAACCAAATTATCAATTTTTTCCTTTTCTTGATTATTTTTTTAAATTTGTATTTAATATTTTTCTGTAACATTTTGAAGAGTCATCGTAAGTTGTTTTGTTAAGTTAACTCCAGATTTGGCTGCAGTACTGACTAATCTATAGTGGATATGCACAAATATAATATTGTATAGCTTCCTATTAAAACATGAATTTAACAGATAGATTTGTGAGGAGTGTACTTATATATGCTGAGCACTGTATACATTTTGTGAAAAATTTTTTGTCCTGTTAGCAATATTATTTCATTTTGTGTTTTGCATGGACGTACTGAAATTGCACTTTTTCAGAATATAATCTTTACTCTTACCCAATTATATATTGGATCTTAAAGACGTCTTTGGTAACATTAATAATCATGTAACCTTGTAAAACTATAAATAAACTAAATAGCTCTTTAAAAGATTTTTTTGGAATAGAAAAAATGAGTTTTAGCAGAAGTGACCTAGAAGAACCTATTTGGGTTCTCTACAAAACATTCAGAGAACACTTTAAATGACATTACCAGAGTGTCCACAGGGTCTTAAAAAGTATTAAAAGTTTATAAATCAATTTAAAGAAATTTAAGGCCCTTAAAAAGTGTCAAATAGTCCTAAAGGTATTAAATTGTATCTCATTTTAGATTATGCAAGCTATAGCTGTATGCTAAAGTTTGCCTGAGTTTAATGTGAATATTAAAATGCTGTGCTGTTCATGAAATCCATACAATTCTGCTAGATTTGACATTCTGCTGCTTTGTATACTGCAGTAATCAAGGAAACACTGTTATTGTTTCTGTTCTGTTGGCACCCCCTGCTATACTACAAATTATTCTTCTGTCTTCTTCTTCTTCTTCTGAGATTAATTTCTATATGCATCTCCTGGACCATACATACTACAACCACTAAACTGAAACCAAACCTCCTAAGTGGTCTGACTCTGGTTACTAAATCTTTTCCAACTGATCCGACTTACGGTTTTCTGAAAACTGACCCGAAAATTTCAGAAAAGTCCCATTGACTGAACGGACCAAACTGTGACCTCATAACTTTGTGCCAGATTGTCATAAGTCATACAGACATAAGGCTGGGCTCATTTAACTTAGACTGCCCGTCTGCCAATCATTGATGAACTTTTTACTTACTAGCCACGCCCTAGCAACCACTTACAGCAGCCCAACACCTTTCTCATAGGCTTCTATTGTAAAAACCTGGCATTGACTTTACATTGGACATCCTAAAAGCATACAATTCATACTAGCAATAGACTAATCCATACTAGAAACATACTAATGACATAATCCATACTAGAAACATCCTAAAAAATACTAACATACTAATTATACTAGAAGCATAGTAACAATATACCAATCCATACTAAAAACATACTAACAAACTTACTAATCATACCAGCAACATGCATACCAACTCATGTTAACAACATGCCAGTTTATACTAGAAACATAGTAGCGACATGCTAATTCATTCTAGAACCATGCTAACAACATGCTAATTTATACTAGAACCATGATAATTTATGTTAGCAACTGCCTAGCAACCACTCAGAACACCCTAGCAACACCTTAGCATGGACTCAGCAACCACTTTGCAAGAAACTTGCCAATCCATTCTAGAAACATGCTAACCTATATGTAGTAGTTATCTATCTTTGCCAACGGTTTCAAACTTCTTAAAAACTACTTGAATTATTTAATTTTGAAAGCTACTTCAAACTTTCAGACTAGGCTTTCTCAAGACATCATAAAGTTTGCCTGCGAACTTCACTTTTCTAGTTTAGGATTAGTTTCTTACCATAAGTATTTAGTCAAAATACTGAAAGGCAAAATGTCGCAAATGTTAACGTGGCAATAAGAATAACATGTATGAAAAGAGTCTTTCAAAAGGTCTTAAAGGGTATTGAATTTCACTCATTGATGCCGGTATATACCCTGATTAATGAACCATTCTTTATATAAGTATTCTATAAATCATAATTTTTTCTGTTACCTTTTTTCCACCTTTTGTGAAATGGAAAGATGAAGGGTTCTTTGTGGAACCATCAACCCCAATAAAGAGTGTTGTCCTTTGAAAAGTTCTTTGGGCAATTAAGAAAGCTTCTCACCGCAAAATCACCCATTTGCACTCATTATTTTTAAAGACTATAACACCTTTCAGTTTCTAATTGGTTAAACTGACATGTTATTTACCCTGTATTACAACACTCCTCGCTCTCCCTATTCGAAAATACTAAAGCTATTTTAAACTCATTTCAGCTGCAGGAATGAGCTTAAACCTTTTCGTTTCACCACCAGGTTGCCTGCGTCTAAACGTTGGTCCAGATAGCCTCATGAATGTGCTTGTCAAAAATGGAGTGCTGACACCGCTGAGAGGGGCCGTGGGAAAGCAGACCCTCAAATTACGCTTTGTGCGACTCCGCAGGGGAATCCCACCAGGATATCCTAGTTCCGCGACCCCTTCCTCCTGATGAAAAGATGTTTAGAATGATGTGGGGGGAAGCCAATTAAATACCACACATAGGTTGTTGTAGGGTGACAGAAAGGTCGCGATAGTGATCATGACTTCTTTCGGCTCATATAGTGTGGTTTGACATGAAGGCTACTTTTCTCCTTTTGTGTTTAGCAGGAATTTGTGACGAAGCCCATCCAGACGTTAAGCCCATCCGGCAGTGAGTCTGCCGTCAAGCGCCCGGTGGGCAAGAGAGTGGATTGTGGGGCATGGAGTAAGTGGGCACTGAGAGCTTCCCCCCTCCTGCCTCTCTCGGCTGCCATTGCACTTACTCTCCATTTCCTTGCATGTAAGTTAAGACTCTCTGCTGTAGAGGAATGCTGAGATTATGATCTGCTACGTTCCAGTATAGCTAGTCAAGCCTCTCATCCTTTTGGCCGTCCAGAGAGGCTCTTCAAAGAGAGCGTGAAATGTTCTTGTTTTGTTTCGCTTGATGAGCTACACATACACAGTGGGCTTATGAGGATATTTTCTTTTTATTAAAGTAATATAGAGGGACCCCGAAGGGATATTTGTATACAAAATTTGTAAACATGTTATATGATATGAGCTGTTAAATCAAGTTACAACAAAATAAACTTTAGAAACCTTCAGAATCTACCATGAGCCATTTTCAGGGGCGAACTTAACCAATAAGCGAAGTAAGCAGCCGCTTAGGGCCCCAGGGAAATAGGGGCCCTCGACCAATGCCAAGAAGCCTTTGTTAATCATATAGCTCTTTTATAAATTTTCAATCATATGTTGTAAAATTAGTCTATAATCGTTAGGTTTTAAAGTTGTTATTTTTAAAACCTGGGGCCCCCATATGAATAGTGGACCGTTCCTTCCGTACTGCACATTCGCGAGGTGTGAGCGCTTCAATCAAATACACTGCCAATATGCCAGTGATCAGAGAGCTGAGGTATAGTGTACAAGTCAGAGTTAGAATTTTTGAGAATATTTAGGAAAATAAGACAATGAAATGCAGCTACCTCAACGATCCTGCTTTCTGGCCGAAACACATGTCAGATGATGATAGCCGCTTGTTGAGAGAGGGATTGTTCAAATAAAATAACATTTCCCAGTGAAAATCAAGAGCCGCCGATTCACAAACAGCAATTATTCAATTGAACTTTTTTACTATGTCATATGAAAAATGGGGATAAGATTAGTTTGATTGATTGTAAATTTAAGTTGTTTAAATGTGTTTTTCATTACAAAAAATGTAGAATTAACTGTAGTTCATTTGTGAACTTATTGTATTTACTTTTACATTAAGAAGATAAAGTTTCCTCTAAATATTAAAATATATAAAATAAACTTTAAATACGTTTTAACAAGCAGTTTATTTAAAAAAAAAAAAAAATCTACAGAGAAAAAAGCATCTATAGAGAAAGAGAATATTTTGACTTTCAGTGCTAGGGCCCTATACCTAAAACTGGTCAGGGCCCCCAAATCACTAATTCTGCTGCTGGTCATTTTGGAGTTACTGATGATAACTGATTGATCCTGAAACGATTCATGTTAGATGTATGGTGGATTTAATGTTTGTGATACTTGTTAATTAATGTTTAGTTGTGCTGCTAAAGATTTTTTGTGGCAACTGACAACATTTCTTGGCCTTTTCTGATAAATGATTAAAAAAACAGCATTCATTTGAAATGAATGTTTTCACTTGGCTTTTTTCAGCACTGTAAAAATAGATTGCTACAAGATGTTTTACAACAAAATACTTCAGATTTCAGACTTCAAAATTTCACATTTAATTCAGAGCGTTGACTTTTAAATGAATTCTTAATGATTTTTTGCTGTTAAATATTTAGTTGATTTAAATTCACTTGTGACCTTGGGCAGGGCGATTTGGCCTAAAAATCTAAATGTTGATTAATTTAACTCGATTGCGGTTAATGAATAATATTTTTTTTTCCCTCATAGTTAACAAACTAGTTATATTACAAGTGAGAGATTTTTGAATAAAGGGTGGCACAGCTTCCAATTAATGTCAATGTAGTGCAAATGTGTAACCTGTAGTTAAATTTTTTGAGAGGTGCAAGCGTATGCGACCGCATAAAGGTTGCACTCGTGTGTTTGATGTAGAAGTATAAAGTTGCCTTTACAGAGCAGGGTCACATGACTCCACATGCAGTAGGGAAAGTATTTTAAAAAAGTTGACCTTGATTATAAGTTCTGAATATCGATTTTGATTACTTTACAATTACTTTTTCCAAATGAAAATTAGTGAGTAAATTATATTTTCTAGTCATCTCAGTTTACATCAGCCAAACTGACTAAAATATTAAGTTAAACTTTGTATTTCATAAAACATTTAGTCCAACATAATTATGTTGTTAAAACAGTCATAATTATATCATAACATTTGTTTTCATTCACTTTGTCATGTAATCCTCCGACTGTAAAAATTCAAGATCAGTTAGTCCTGACAGAATGTGTTTGTATTTCATTAACTTATTAAACTTAGTTAATCATGTTCTAACTTAATTGTATAAGTTGTGGAAGCTGTTTTAAGTGAGTTTAACATAATATCAGTTAAGTGTTAATTTGATTCAGTTTAAAAATTCAGGACAACCAGGAATCTTAATTACAGTGTATGTATTAACTTTGGTACTTACTAGGTTATAATACTGTAGTTAGTTACATTATAAATTGGTACTTACTTAAATAAGTTCTATGTAAACTAGGGCTGGGCCGATAAATGGTATTATAGCAAAACGTGATAAAATTTATGTCAATAACAATGATAAGCTCTGTACTGGTTTACTCTATGTTGATCTAAGAGCCAATCACACAGAAGAAATGTGCAACAACGGGAATCTAAAAGTGTTTTGATATTAGAGATGTACCACATTTTCGACCACAGAAACTTACCAGCCTAAAATATGTTATGGCGTTTAATGGAACCTCTAAAATTTTGGCTTCAGTCATTTTTTGGGCACTCTTTTAATCTGGCAGCGTTAACAACTTATATCAAAATATATATTGTTAACCAGGGATGTCCAGATCTGATCAAAGGATTGGAAATTGTGCCCAATCACACAGTTTCAGACTCAATTGGAATCGGAAGTTACCTCTCGATCAAGACTCAAATATATATATGTATATTATATATACTCTCCTCATTGTTACACACATCTACTTTATAGTTATGCAGTGACACAGAGTTAGACCTCTTTCTTGACTTCACACAGAAACAGCAACGCGTCATGACATCACTGGGTGTTGCAGAGATGCTATTGGTTAAATACCATCAAAGTAGAACATGGAAGCAGCTTGAAGCAGACAGCGCGAGCATGTCTGCAGTCTGGAGGTATTATAAAGTTGGTGACGTTGCCATAGCAAAAAGTGAGATATGTAAACTTGGGATTGCCTGCCCGGTATTTTAGGTTTAGGTGCTATTAGTTTTTATATTAGAATTTTTATATTTACTGTTGTTCTAAAATCCAAAAGTAAAAAGTTTATGTTATTTATTACTTGATTGTTCAAGCTACCTTACAGAAGTGCTCTGTTTGTCAACAAAGTTGTTGAGTGTCAAAATAAGGTGAATTAAATAAAAAATAAGTAACATCCTGGATCTGTTTCTTCGCTCTTCTTTATTCTTTCTTTATGTATTAAAGAAGTATCGAATCGGGTTTTGGTATTTTGATACTCAAAATCAAATGACTCGGACTCGAGGGCAAAAAAACCTGAACGAGACATCCCTATCGTTAACGTTCAATATGGAAAATAATTATCAAGATTGCATTTTTGCCATATTGCCCAGCCCTAATGTAAACACACTGTAATTGCATATACTTTAAACTAATTTTTAAATTGTTCAGTATGATCTCCTAATTTTCTCTTCCTCTTTCCCGCAGCATCTCCATCGCCCTCAGTGTTCTACCTTGGGGGAAGCATAGAGTTCTCCAACTTCAGCTTCTCTCCAGAGCTGGCAGACCCATCGTCGGCACAGTTCCGCCTCCAGTCTCAGGCGCTAAGCCATTACGTAAGCATAAACATACATAACAGTTTCTCTGTGCGACAAGAGCCGGTTTCTCCGTGATCTCTGCGGAATGCGGCCGCTCTCCAGAGACCACTCAAGGAACGATGCTCGCCCCTGGCACTTTCAAACGCAAAGTCCGCCAGAGCCGCAGGTCCAGTTGTGCGCTCGTCCCTCATTGTCATCCTTTTAAATGTAAAGCAGGCTCTGCCGAGTCTTCGGCCGCTCCGTGGCCCTCTTAAATGTAAAGCCAGCTGTAACTGGAGCCCGGCTTGGTGTGAGGCGGTGCGGTGAGACCGGCTCCCAGAGGACTGCAGCTTTTCAGGGCCGAGGACAAGAACGGTGTTTGTGAGAGGGACAGGGCCCAGGCAGGCTGAGTGAGAGGAAGAGCAGTCCTTCAATAAAAACATTGTCTGCGGGCTTCCTCACACACAATCAGATGCTCTGTACCTCTTTGCTGAGAGGCTGCAGCCAGCGGTGAAAAGAAAGGTAGACCAGGGGACAGAGCAGGCCAGGAGAGAGAGCGAAAGTAAGGATTTAGGGCACCGAAAGAGAACTCAGGAAAGTCTGGGCCAAAACGGCCAGTATCATGGGAATGGTTGGCATTTGTGTCCACAGATAAATCGAGGAAATCAGCCAAGTGTGGCTTTCCGTTCTGCGCGATGCTCCAATTAGCCTAAAAGTAACCCATGTTTTGGTTGTAATCTTGTTTAATAGCAAGCGAATTTGAACTGTGAGAAGTGACTGGCCTACAAGTGTGTGTCCTTGCTCATAGAAGTTACCGTAAACTCGCTGCCCGCCCCATTCCATCTGTGACATTGAGCTCCGGACAATGGCGCAGTTGTTGCCCAAAGCTCTTGTTGCTCAAAGCCAATCGCACAAGAACAGCGCTTTTGTGCCAAGGCTGCAGGTCTCGCCTGGGCCACTGATGTCTCACCTTCTTCAGTGATGTCACGCCTCCTGTGACTCTGATGTCACTGTGATGAAACTGTATAGGCTAGATGGAAACTTCACAACCTTCGTAGATGTTATCGGTGGTTTGTTTACAATTTGCAAAAATAGATCTGAATGGAAGTAGATGCTGTTGTTGTAATTTGTTATTTCATGGTGTTTCTGTCATCTCTTCCTTTCGGTTGATGTGCCCTGGATCTAAGTTCTCAGAGTTGTATGATTCTTCACCATGGAGCACGTATTACCAGCACTCAGGAATTATTGCGTTTAGGTGAGTCACAAACCCACACATTGCCAATATTCATTTTTTAAGCCTTTAAGTGTTAAATAAATGGGTTTGCATTTAGCTGGGCGTCCGTCGGGTCTTAAAAAGTCTTAAAATGTCTTAAATTTCAAAAACTAAATTATTTTAGGCCTTAAAAAGTCTTAAATTCGCTGAAATATTGTGTTGTAAGTCCTAAATATTTAAAAACAGGTCTTAATGTCCTTGTGTCTCAATCTGGCCAACACCCAATCACCTATAATCCATTTCAAAACTTCTTTTTTATTGCAACGAGATACAATTCAAAGTATCTACAGCTGTTAGTCATTTTTACAGCAAATTCTCCAAAATAAATTCTTGAATCAGGAAAAGAAATGGCTGGTTTCCTGCTAACTTTAGCTGTAACTTGCTTCAACACACCAGCCAGAACTTGATTAGCTGATTCAAGTGTATTTGATTAGGGTTGGAGCTAAACTCTCCAGGACACCGACCCTCCAGGACCATGTTTGGACACCCCTGCTTTACATGATCTTCCATTAATACTAAAACTATTTACAGAAGTAACCGGGCCATTAGAAAAAAAAAATCCTTAATGTTTAGCACTGTGTATGTCTAACATTTCTTTCATAGTGGTCTTAAAAGTCTTCAATTTGATTTGAATAAACCTGCAGAAACCCTGATTTAGAGACTGTTGGGAAAATATACATTATTCACAGAATTTTAACATTTAAAATTGATTTGCGTTTCTTGTCTCATAACTTAATCAGTTATAGGACATTTTAACTGTATTGTAGTAGGCTTAATGCTACTCAACAATGCACATCACTAAAACAACAGTTATGATATCTCGCTATGTACTAAAAATCACAACAGTCTCTAATAACGTACAAATACAAAATAAATTTTTAAGGGGTGATCCAGAGTGTACTTTTAAGGCTTAGTTGTGTTTATGGGGTGCAAAGCAATGTGTGCTGATGCTTCACATAATTTTTTCATATATCTTACTCAGATTATAAATAGCTACTAGCTAACATAAAAATGACAATTATATTTCCTAGTTTTTCCGAAAGCCTGCTCTCAAGAGGCTCTGATTGGTTAGCTAACATAATGTGCTGTGATTAGCAGATCGTCACCAGGAAGGAATATGAATTTGTAGCTAAACTATTAGCAGTGTCAAACAGCATTTCTTGTTGTTTACATCTTTGTTTATTTACTCGCTACAACATACCATTAACGCTAGAAACTATGCATGTGATAAATTAATTTTAACAAATAAAAACACTTACAGGTTGTGGCTCACAATCCACAGCTTTGTCTATTACATACCTGTCAACCCTCCCGTTTTTCCCGTATTTTCAGTCTTTCTCTGAAGGGTGGCAATAAACATTAAAGAGCCGAGCCTCCCTATACGCAACCGCTGAACCACCAGGGGCACTTAAATGTGAATCTGTTCTGTGCTTTCATTTTATTTAGGCCTAAAAACATCTATAATCTATAAATATGGCGGGATTCCCTTATCTTTTCATAACAGGTGCCGTTGCCCCTCCCATGCAGTCCTCAAAACATACAGTCATACAGCGGTGCGTAACTGTCAGCTGATGCGCTCCATAGTGATAAATAGATGCTGATTCCCAAACAGATTCTGTACACGCGATTTAAAGTGGAGCCAAAGTCTGGGCATATCCCTTATTTCCCTTATTATGCCTTATGTTCACATCCCAGTGTTGACAGGTATGGTCTATTATGGATGGAGCTGCTCCTTCTTTAAGGAGTTTTTAGCCGAATCCAGCACTGAACTGGGAGAGATTCTGGAAGCTGTCCTTTGTCAAATGTTAGCTATATATTTTAATAATTATGAAATTAAATTGTAAGCACTTCTTTTGTCTTTTGTAAGCCCAAATACAGAAACAGAATGAGCTCTTTGGAAATAGCAGCGTTTGGACGGCATGTTAGCTTTCTCTGCTATAACATTACAGTGCCTCTGGGACTGTATTTTTATTTTTACGTTTTTTTTCCAATAAAAAGTCACCCGCTTCAAATGTTATCACCTTTCGCTGCGAGGGGTGAATGCGTGTAACCTGAATGACTTATAATCTCATTTATCCAGATGTATTTTTTTGTATTCCCAAAACTCTGTAAAAGCCAATGTCTCTATTTGCATTGAACTTTGAGAGTCTTACATTCAGATATGTTGTTTATGTTCACACAGCTACATTACACACCAACTAAAGTTTAAAATATGATATCATAGTGTGTGGACCACCCCTTTAACCAATTAGAAATTATATGAAATGAAAAAGTTGTTACTACTTACCATATATTTGTTTATATCAGCTATGTGTTCCTACAAAATCTTGCCTCAAAACAAATGTAGAGCTAGTTCACTAAACAGTCATTATTAACTTCATGTTCCTTAATGATATCTTCTTAGTGTGCAGCATGTAAGGCAATGGCCTAAGTACTGAGCCTTGAGGTACACCATATTGGTTTTGTGGTCAATATGATAACTATTTCTTTGATCCATGTTAATGCAATCCAATTAACACCAGCATAATTTTCTAGCTATCCAAGAGAATGTTGTGGTCAGTATCATGCAAAAGGAGCATCAGTAGCACTAATAGAAACCATAATCAGATGATAAGATCAAGTCCTTAATAGCCGTTTCAGTGCCATGCAAAACCCTGACTGGAATTCCTTAGAGATACAATTTCTTTCCATTACAAATATAACTGTGATGTCACATTTTCTTGTGTGTTTATAGAACTGGTAGATTTAAAATTGCTCCATAGTTTACTAAATACTAACTCTGATATGCCAGTCCTGCTCTGTTTTGGTCATTTAAGGTCATCTGCTGTATTCAGTGCACTCAGTGCACTGGCTTTCTCTGTAGTCTGTCTGCTCTGGCACAGCAGTGCCAATAGCCTTTTTTTCTCATTTAGTATCATTTAAGCTTAAAAGAAATGTATAGAACACTGAGTGTTTTAACCTTGAATTAAGTAGTTTTTTGGATTAATTATTTTGGCATTGTTCCACCTAATGATCTGGGATATGAACAAAAATGTTATTTTTATTTTAAAGTTTTTTTTTCCAATAAAAAGTCACCCGCTTCAAATGTTATCTCTCGAAATAGTTATCAGCTGATAGATATGGGCCAGTAGGGCCTTCTGCGCCCACTGGTAGGCTCAGAAGACTGTTATCATCCATTCACATGGTTAATCAGCTATACTAACAGTTAAGACTCCAGATCTGCTTTTACATTACTATGACATCTGTGTTTAGGGTACTAGTAGACTACTGAATGGACATTATGCCTGCTATGAGCCAGCAGGAGCCTTCTGCGTCTATTAGTAGGCTCAGAAGGCTGTTATCATCCATCCATGTGGTTAATCAGCTATAGAGCACATACAGCTGTGGCCGGAAGTTAACGAGAATTATTTCTATTATTTAATAAATTTCCCATTAATTGTATTGTATTGCTAAGGTGTTGCTAGGCGGTAGCTAGAGTGTTCTAGGCAGTTGCAATGGTGTTGTTAGAGGGTTGCTAGGGAGTTCTGAGTGGTTGCTAAGGAGTTGCTAGGCAGTAGCTAGGATGCTCTAGGTCATTGCTAGGGCTTTACTAGGCAGTTGCTGGGGTGTTTTAGGTTATTGCTAAGGTGTTGCTAGGTGGTTGCTTGAGTAATTTGTGATTGCTAGGCGGTTGCTAACATAAATTGGCATGGTTCTAGTATGAGTTCTCATTTTGCTAGCATGTTTCTAGTATAAACTGGCATGTTTGTAACATGATTTTAGTATGAATTAGCATGTTGCTAGTATGATTAGTGTGTTTGTTAGTATGTTTCTAGTATGGATTAGTATGTTGTTACTATGTTTCTAGTATAATTAGTATGTTTGTTAGTATGTTTTTAGTATGGTTAATATATTGTTACTATGTTTCTAGTATAATTAGTTTGTTTCTAGTATGAACTGGTATGTCCAATGTAAAGTCATTGGCAGTTTTTTTTTTTTTACAGTGAAAGCCTATGGGACAGTTGCTAGGGTGCTGTAATTGGTTGCTAGGATGTGGCTAGTAAGTTGAAAGGTCATCAGTGATTGGCAGATTAGTAGTCTGAGATAAATGAGACCAGCCTTAAGTCTGTATGACAGTCTGGCGCAAAGTTATGAGGTCACAAAGTTTGGTCCAATGTTAAATCAATGGAACTTTTTCGAATTTTCCTGGACAGTTTTCGGAAAACCGTAAGTCGGTTGGAAAGAGTTTCAGTTGGAAAAGATATAGCAACCCGAGTCAGACCTGTTTTGTCAGGTTTGGAGTTAGTTTAGTTTTTGTAGCTTGAATGGTCTAGGAGAAGATGTATATAGAAATTAGTCTCAGAAGAAGACGGAAGAAGAAGAATAAGTTCATGCAGTGTAACAGTATATTAGCTTTCTCAAGCCACCATAAAAAAAAAAAAAACATTCAATTCAATTCAGCTTTATTTGTATAGTGCTTTTACAATGTAGATTGTGTCAAAGCAGCTTCACATAAATGGTCATCGTAATTGGAACAGAGTAGTTCAGTTTTTGTGTTTAAGTTCAGTTCAGTTTAGCTCAGTTCACTGTGGTTTAAAATCATTACTGAGAGTCCAAACACTTAAGAGCAAATTCATTGATGCGTAGCTCTACCAATCCAAAACCATGCAAGGTAGTGGCGACAGCTGAGTGGGAAAAAAACTTTACCGAGGCGAGTGAAGAAAAAAAACCTTGAGAGAAACCAGACTCAATTGGGCAAGACCATTTAGGGACCAACATGTAGAAATATTACTTGCTTTCATATTTTGAATGATTCTAAATTCATTTAAATAAACTTTATTTTCTACGCTTTTACATCTATTAAGTACACAGTACACCTAATAAGCTTTAAGTGCACAGCCCTTTAGAAGTTTGCGATGAAGACCTCAAACTAAAACAGTATTAGGTGTTGTCATCCTGTTAAAAGTCATGTGTCCTGATGACAGTGAAGGAGTGGAAGGTCTTTGTGTGTTCTACTGGAGTAAATTCTCTGCTCCTCCCGCTATTGCTGAGGAACTCCGGAAAGTGAACCCAGCCCGGTTGCAACGGCGTCTACCTGGAACCAACAAGGTCCTATTTAGCAAGAATGAGGAGCGTTACTACATGGAGAGAGACGAGGACACACTGCGTCTGCTGGGTTAAGAGCTTTTCAACTCTCTGTTTTTGTCATTTTCGAAGTAAAAACACCTTAATGTGTGTGCGTCTGTGTGCAGGTTTGAATCCAGATGACAGTGGTGATGCTGAGGATGAAGATGATGAGGATTCTGACGACAAGGCGGACAAAATAAAGAACCCAAACTCTTTGCAGAGTGGCAAGTGGCAGTTGGGGCTTCAGGGTACAACCATAATACACTGTAAAGCCTGTTGAGTTTACTCACTTGATTTATGAACACTGACTCATTTGAGTTGCCAAACGTTGTTTAAACTAAGTTCTTCTGTATCTTCCATGATACATCGTCTCATGAGCGAAGAAAAACTAAAATAGGCCACACGTAGGTAAGGCAATTCAAATGCAACCATGTCCCATTAATCCTCTGAGTAAACTCTGCATGCAAGTCCCTCAACCAGGCAGGTTTCACAGTGTACTATCACTACCATTCTGTCATCAAATGTCTCATTGTTTTGATTGCATTCTTGCTTTTTTCAGTCGTTCTGGTAATATATAACTCCCCTCTGCCTAACAGCCATGTCTTTTGACCTGTACGCTAAGTATGGAAACAATCGCACGCTCAGTCTTGTCAGTCCGAAAAAGCCGTATTACCAGTGGAGGCTTCGGGTGCCATCCGGGCACGTTGTGCGACTTGACATCCTCACACTTCAAGGGGCGACACCAGGAAGCTGTTCTGCCAACAAGCTGTCTGCTTATGATTTCCTATTACCACTTCAGAACAAGATCATCGCGAGGTAAATGATGACAAAGCAACAAGCTGAAAAAAACAACAGACAAACAAAATGCCCATTAAGCTATATGCCTATAGCTAATGCATAGAATAGCACAACAAGATGGACTACATTAGCAAAATGCCAAAACATGCTAACAAAATGTTAACAGTGTATTAAATGTCTCTATTTTAGTAAAAGAATACAGTTGTGCTATCAATATGCTAAAAAATGTTAACAAGCAGATTCATGTTAGCTTCGTTAAATATAGTAGCAATGTGTTCATGCTAGCAATATATTCAAACATTTTAATAACATGTCAACATACTTCAAATGCTAGCTGTATGCTAATTTGCGCTTACATAGTTATGTTAAAATGTTAGAAATAGTCTACCAGTATAAAGGTTCATGTTGGTCGTGTTTTAAAACATCATAGAAACATCCCAACAACATTCACATGTACACAATGCTAACAACATGTTAAACATGCTGGAACATGTTAACAACATATTAACTTTGTTACCAATGTGCTTTCTGTGGTAAAATGTTAAACATGTTAGTAACTTCATAGAAGCATGTTAGCAACGTAATAGATCATACTAGGAATGTTTTTCTTTCTTTCTTCTTTCTTATTTTTTCTTCTTTCTTTTTTCTCCTTTCTCTCTTTTTCCTTTCTTTCTTTCTTTCTTTCTTTTTTCTCCTTTCTTCTTTCTTTCTTTCTTTCTTTCTTTCTTTCTTTCTTTTTTCTCCTTTCTTTTTTTCTTTCTTTCTTTCTTTCTTTCTTTCTTTCTTTTTTTTCTTTCTTTCTTTCTTTCTTCTTTCTTTCTTTCTTTCTTTCTTTCTTTCTTTCTTTCTTCTTTTCTTTCTTTCTTTGTTTCTTTCTTTTTTCCTTTCTTTCTTTCTTTCTTCTTTTCTTTCTTTCTTCCCTACTTTCTTATTTTCTATCTTTCTTTCTTTCTTTCTTCTTTTTTATTTTTTCCTCTTTATTTCTTTCTTTCTTTCTTTCTTTTTTTACTTCTTTTTTCTGCTTTTTTTTCTTCTTTCCTTCTTTCTTTCTTTCTTTCTTTCTTTTATTCTTTTTATTCTTTCTGTGTCATTGTTGTATCAAAGTGGCCTAAATATTGTCTCTCTTCTTCCCAGATGGTGTGGTCTGCCATTATCAGGAACGTCGCCTGTAATGAAGCTCACATCTTCTGGGAATGTCATGCTTGTAACATTTTCTTTCAGTCGTCAGAGGCAAGGAGCCATCTTCAAAGCTTATTTCCAGGCTATACCAAAAACCGGTGTGTGATTTTGTTTCAGCATTTGATCATTTTAGTAAGTTTTTTACTCAGATGTCAGAATGTTCTTTGGCCTTGTCACCATTGCTTTTTCTATAGAGTGTGGCGGTTTCCTCACGGCATGGAATGGCACCGTGACGTCCCCTTATTACCCCGCCTACTACCCTCCGAATGTGGACTGTAACTGGAAAATCAGGGTGAGCTAAGGCTAAAGGCTTTCCCATGCATCCCATGAGTCTCTTCCCCAGTGTTAGCATGGATGCCCTATAATCCCCATTCAGAGGCCTGGGATGCTCCCTCTTTGAGACGAGGAGCGCAGGGTGGCTGCTGCTTTGTGTGAGAGTGCGTCTGTTGAGAGTCTGGTTTCTCTTTTAGGCTCCGTTGCCAGGATACCTTCTCTCCATCACCATTGTGATGCTCGACATTCAGGATTCACCCGCCTCGAGCACCTGTGAAAAAGACTGGCTGGAAATAGGTGGCGTCAAGTGAGTGTCTTTCATGTGCTAATAATTAAAAAACTTTTTAAAGACTTATTTGTTTGAACTGGAAATCTAAAAATATAGACCTCTGTTTACAATGTGTGCTATTAAGAATCATCCTTTTTCTTCTTTGCTAAACAGACATGAAACTGTCTGTTGTCTGAATATGAGTCAAAGATGAGACGTTCCTTGTCCGTATCAAATTTAATTCAGGCTTCCACCTGGTCATGGAATTTCTGAAATATCATGGAATAATTTTATAAGGTCTATTTCAAATATTAAAAGTCAAGGAACTTTGTCATGGACTATCAGGGATACTTGTTTGTTGTTTTATCACACTTATTTCATCCTTGTTGTTATGCTTAGGCTGTTAAATAAAAGAATAGCTAAATGTAAAGTTTGTAAAACTACTAAGCTATCAAATATGGGAGATCAAGCACTTCTCATGTAAAACAGTAGGTACCATTAAGTACTTGGAACTTGAGGTAAATAATCTATAGTCCCCATAGTGGCTTATAAAGGCATGCAAAATGACATTCAAGCTAAAACCATGTTATAATATGTTTACATTATTTTAACATATTGTTTGAAAATTATATTATGAATATATAAACAACATATAAACAACAGCAGCCTTTTTTATTTGTTAGATGTCAGAAAATTCTGCTTTTTAGTCAGTGAAAGCCAGCCATCAGCCGCCATTCTTCTACGTATTTTTCAGTAAACATGGTTTCTTTACTATGAAATAATTGAAACACTGAATGTATTTTTTACACTCTGCAAGCAAAAATATGTTTTTTTATTAAACATCAGTGTTTGAGTAAAGCCACTACTGGACATCACTTTTTTACTACTATATCTTCATAGACTCTGTAACCCGATTGGGGACAGCAGCAGAAAGAGGATCTATTCTTCACCCGTCCTGCTTCACTTTCACTCTGACGAGTCTTTGACTCATAAAGGGTTTTACCTGATTTACAGAGCCTTTTCTCCTGAAAGTGGTGAGTATTTTATATTTGGACACACTTTATCTTTGTGTACAGTTCACACTATTACCAAACCATGAACTAAGACTTTTAGTTCAAGGAACTAGTAATTAATTATTGTTAAAAGCTAATATGGTAGTTGGGTTTAGGTATTGGGTAGGTTTAGGGAGGTGAAAAAAGGTCATACTTTATAAGTGTTAATAAACAGTTAATATCTTAATAATAGGTAGGTAATATGCCAATATTAAATGTTCTGTTTTTGTGGTGTGTGTTTTGCTTTAGTTACTGCTTTATTTTATGGTGTTTCAGAAATATTAGATTTCTCATTATTTGATATACACTGTAAAAAAAAATCCCCGTAAAAAAACGTTGTTTTTTTTCTGGCAGCAGGGGCGCCAGAAAATAACCGTAAAAATACAGAAAAAAACTGTTAGAATTAAAGATGTAGATAAACTGTTAAAAAACAGTAGTTTTCTGTTTTACAGTTACAGGATATTACTGTGATTATACATGTTATAACTGTAATTATACGAGTTATTTATTTAATTATACAAGTTATCATGGTAGTTATTCAGGTTATTACTGTAATTATACATGTTATTACTTTAATTATACAAGTTATTTATGTAATTATACAAGTTATTATGGTAGTTATACAGGTTATTACTGTAATTATACATGTTATTGCTGTAATTATACAAGTTATTTATGTAATTATACAAGTTATCATGGTAGTTATTCAGGTTATTACTGTAATTATACATGTTATTACTTTAATTATACTAGTTATTTATGTAATTATACAAGTTATTTATGTTATTATACAAGTTATTATGGTAGTTATACAGGTTATTACTGTAATTATACAAGTTATTTATGTAATTATACACGTTATTGTGGTAGTTATACAGGTTATTACTGTAATTATACAAGTTATTTATGTAATTATACACGTTATTAAGGTAGTTATACAGATTATTACCATACTTATACATGTTATTACTTTAATTATATAGGTTATTACTGTAGTTATACATGTTATTAACATAATTATACATGCTATCACTGTAATTATACAGGTTACTAACGTAATTCTACATGTTATTAACATAATTACACAGATTACTAACATAATTATACACATTATTACTGTAGTTATATACGTTATTAAAACATTTTTACAGGTTATCACTGTAATTACACAGACTATTACTAAAGTTATACATGTTATTAATGTAATACAGGTTATTACTGTAGTCATACAGATTATTACTCTAGTTATTTCAATTATTAGTCTTTAAATATTCCATGTAATGTAAAAAAACAAACAATTAATTTCCTTTTCTAAGATTACAAGTTATTACTGTAATTATACAAGAACTTCAATTAATTATCTGTCAGATAGAACTTTATAATTAAAAGCAGAAAAAGACTTTTTTGAATTAGAAGTTTCTACCTGCATTTGCCCTGTTTTTTTTTTTACTTCAATTTGCAGTCATCTGTCATGTTAATGTATGAATGAAAACTTACACACACATTTGCAAGAACTTTGAAGCTCAATATCACAAAATCATTTAGAACGCAGACAGAGCATTATAATTCAAAGGCGATGAAATGTGGTCATTCAGCATTAATTTTCTAAACCTTAAGGGATAGTTCACCCCAAGGTCGGAGTGGGACTCCTTTTTAGCTCTGGAGTTTCAAGCCTTAGACCGGCCCACCTCAGTCGACGACTGACAATATTAAAATAACGTCATTTCCAATTCAGATTCAAATGACACTAACATGTCTTTTTCAAGCACACAGCTGCTTTAGAACTTCAAATGTTTTTCATAAATATGAGAACAATAATTCTTTATAGATATCCAGTCCTTTGTAACACAGAAAACACACGACACACAGAAAAAATATGTATTCCTACACAAATAACCCAAACAGTATTTTATGTCTTAACAATGAAAAAAAAAACATTGATGAGATTCGAACTCTGGTCGGCTGTGTCAATGCGTAACGTGCTAACCACTAGACCACGATGGCGCTGTAATCACTGCAGTGCAAAGTGTGTCTTTTTTTACCCTACTCTTTCTCCCCATTTTAGATTTCTGATCAAGTTATGGTAAGATTAAAAGTTAAGATTTATTAATGTAGTAAATCATCTGATTTTCATTGAGCAGGTGTAATATTCATTATTATTAATTAATATTCACTAAGGTGCCACTGTTTGGGGTGGAATGGAGTGCAGCCCGCAGGTTAATGATGATTATCATTAACCTGCAGGCTGCATTTAGCTCACGGGCTGCGAGAAAATAAATAAAAAGAGCGGAGCTGCGGCAAAATAATAATTAAAAAGAGTGAGGTTATGGTCAAATAAACAAATAAATTAATAAAGTGCAACTGCTGAGAGTGCAAGCAGCTAGGGACACCGGCCCTCGCGGGCAAAAAACGGACCGGGCCATCGGGAATTCTCCCGGTTCTCCCGATTAGCCAATCCGGGCCTGGTTCACCCAATAATAAAAATGTACTCACTTTTTGTGTACCCACCCTCAAGTGATTCCAAACTTTTATGATCTTCTTTTTTCTGTTGATCACAAAAGAAGATGGTTTGAAGAGTGCTGGAAACTGGTAACTATTGACATCCATAGTAGGTAAAACAAATACTATGGAAGTCAGTGGCTGCTGGTGTACAACATTTTCTTTTCAACAGAAGAAACTCAAGCAGGTTTGTGAAGAAAGAAGGTTGAGTAAATGATGACAGACTTAAATTTTTGGGTGAACTATCCCCTTAGTATGTTATATGGTCATCAATTTATCATTTTTAAACTCAAGGGGGGTTCAAATTTAGTATCATGCTTTTGGAATGTACAGTTACATGTTCATTTGTGACCCTGGATCACAAAATCATTCTTATGTTGCTCAGGTATATTTTTGGACATAGCCAAATTATTATTGATATACCGAATGATGTTATAGACTCTTTTTAATCCCAAAAATCAATATCAAGTAAAGGTCATGTGCCATGCAGGCATTTTGTAAATGCCTTTTTGTAAATATACAGAGCTCTATTTCTGTTTAAACATGCATTGCTAACAACTTAATTAGGTAATTCTCAATATTTAGATTATTTGACCCTATTATTTACCTTATTTACCTTAGTTGTGTCTTGGCCAAATAATATTCTGTCTAAACAAATCACACATTAATAAAAAGATTATTTATTCAGCTTTCAGGTTATACATCAACTTCAATTTCTAAAACTGAACATTTATGACTAAATTTATGATCCAAAGTCACATTTCCTATTTAAATTCTTAAGGGATCAGACATTATTAAAGGAAGAAAACAGAAAACACACATCCCAGTAAGTGACGATCATGCTTATTTTCTAATATTAGCATGTCCGAGGCAATTTCGATGTGGCGACGGCAAGTGTATCCCTCTGAGGAAAGTGTGTGATGGAGATAAAGACTGTTCTGATGGACGAGATGAGGCCAAATGCAGTAAGCTTTATTACCTTTACATTTTCTTCTGCCATTCGTTGTTGTCGTCTTAATCGTTGGTTCTGCTGTACTCTTAGACACGTGTAAACCAGGAGATGTTTACTGTAATGGTCAGTGCAGACCACACAATCAGTGCAACATCGCATGTGGAGACAGCAGTGAAGAGACTAACTGTGGTAAGAGTGTCCTTTATTATTACACATGAAGATTTAATGGTTGTTTTTTCTCTGCGTTCATTGATTCTCAGAGATGTGTATTTTCATTGCTACAGACGTGTGGAAAGCGTTCGTGGTAAGACCTGCCTGTGTTTTGGTGTGTGCAATTGTGCATTTTTGTGTATTATGAGTTTGAATCTTGTTGTGTTCACTTTTTAGGAGGTAAATGCTACCATATGTGCCCAAACAAAATCTGCCTCCAGAAAGCCTCGGTGTGTGATGGAATCGTGGACTGCAAAGACCGCAGCGATGAACTTAACTGCACACGAGCATGTGAGTTTTGGTCTGATTTGTCATATTTGGAAAAAAAAATTCAAAGAAATGTAATGATGGTATGGTTTTTATATATTATAAATTTAAATAATTTGCTAAGATGAGTTTGGTTAATGTATTGTGGTGTTTATTCGGATAAATGGATGAGGCTGTGGTAACAGAAAAGTTACACTAAATAAAAAAAATCAAGCAGAATATCAAGCAGAAACAGCATACTTCTCTAGTAACATTAATCACAATTATTCACATTATCTGTTATTAATAAATAGTTTATTTATTCATTTACTTATTTATTTATTAAATAATTTTTTTATTTTATTTTACTTGTTTTGTTTTTTTTTATTTCTTTGAATGATGTCTGATTTATTTAAGTTTGGTTACCACACAATTAAAAGATAAGATAAAAAGTTAATAGCATTAAACTTTATTTTCTGCAGTACCACATGCTTTATTTTAAACTAACGAGACTATAAAATGCTTAAATTAATAATTTTATAAATATTTATATATAATAATATCATTTTATTTTAATTTAAGTAATTTTAATAATACTTTTAAAAAGGTTTATATTCATTTTTGTTTTTTTACTATATTTTTACTTTATAAATTGGTGATGTAGTTCATTAAAGCTGGTGAGTATTTATTTTAAATTATTTATTTATTATTTTAATTTATTTATTTTGTTTTATTAAATTTTTATTTAAAATTTATTTTATTTTAATTAATTAATAATTTTTTTAAATATTTATTTATTTATTATTTTTTGTTATTTATTTAATGTATTTATTTTTCATTTTATTTTATTTTAATTAATTATTTTTAACTGTATTTAATTGCTTTTATTTAATTGTTATTTATTTAATTTTTTATATTTTATTAAATTTTTTATTATATTTATTTTGTTGTATTTATTCTTCATTTTACTTTATTTTATTTTATTGTTTTTATTTTATTTTTTATTTATTTTATGTATTTATTTTTATTTTTATCTATTTTTTATTTATTTATTTCCACACCGGAATAAATGCCAATTTTTCTGGTATATGTTATATTTGACAGAACCTTTGAGGTGACAGTGCTAACCACTGAGCCACCTTGTGCCAATTATTTTATTTTATTTATTTATTTATGATATACATTTTTTTCTTAGAGTTGCAAGCTGTTTTTAAATTAGGTGGCCTTAACTACTGTAAATTAATAATTTAATACAAATGTATATGTTTAAAATATATATCGATAAAAAAAATATAAAACAAGTGACAACACACCTGATGGTATTACAAAAATTTCTTATAATATTCTGTTGTCTGATCATATGCAGTTTCAAAAGGATGCTCCCCCTCCTCCTTCAAATGTGCCAGTGGAAAGTGCTTAAATAAGATGAATCCAGAGTGTGACGGCATCAAAGATTGCAAAGACGGTTCTGATGAGTTACGTTGTGGTGAGCATGCTTGAAAAAATGCATAATAAATGCAATTACAGCAAGACTGCGTGCATTATAAAAGTTTTTATCCTCCAAATGCAGGTTGTGGCACGAGGCCCAGGAAGCGGGCGAAGATTGTGGGTGGCACAGATGCGCAGGCAGGCTCATGGCCGTGGCAGGTCAGCCTTCAGATGGAGCGGTATGGTCATGTGTGTGGAGCTTCTCTGGTGGCCAGTCGCTGGCTCGTGTCTGCTGCTCACTGCTTTCAGGACTCTGATGCCATCAAGTGAGGATTCATTCTGGCACACATGCACAACTCTTCAGATATTTGGCATCACTTTGCCCTTTTTAAAAAAAGAAAATACAAATAAATAGAAGTTAATTTTTTTTGTAATGTGAGGCATATCTGAGTGAAAACACTTCTCAAACAATAAATCATGTAGAAAGAAAGAGTTTGTTCATCAAAAATGGATTGGATCTGGATCAGAGGGGTGCCAAGTTTGAGCACTTACTCTGAACCCCCTTGCTCTGCGTTGGTTGGAGAAATTTCAAATTGAACCAAAACAAATTATAACAATTGGCTTAAGATTGGCAATAGAAATTCAGGATTTTGTAACTCTCTTTTTGGAAATAAAAAGAGATAAATAAATAAATAAATAAATAAATAAATAAATAAATAAACAAACAAACAAACAAACAAATAAATAAATAAATAAATAAAAAGGAAAATGGATTGGATCTTTGTTTTGTTAAAATGAATTTTAAAATGATACATCAAAAAAATAAACATTCTATTAAAAATGACAGTTTTGAGATTATTTTATTCAGTAAGGAGAATTAAGTTGATCAAAAGTGACAGAAAACTGATTGTCTTTGCAAACAAATGCAAAAATATTTTCTTATTGTTATAATAATAAATGTTTCTTTTGCATCAAATCCGCATACAGTATTATAATGATTTCTGAAGGATCATTTGACAATAAAGACGCAATGTAATTATAAAAAAATTCAGCTTTACCGTCACATAAATAAATGACTTTAAAAGAAAATATAAAACAATTAAATTATATTAACATAATCAATAATATAATTTTATTTTAATATAAGTAATTTTAACCTTATAAATTGGTGATGTAGTTCATAAAAGCTGGTGAGTATTTATGTTATTGAATAAAATTTTATTATTTAACTTTTATTTATAATTTTATTTATTTATTTATTTAAAATAAATTTTTTTATCATTTTTATCTTTATTGTTTTTATTTTATTTTTATTTATTTATTTTATTGTTTTTATTTGATTGTGTTTTTATTTATTTTATTTTATTATTTATTTTTTATATTGTTTTAGAATTTTATTTTATTATTTATTTTAATTTATTTTTATCTTTTATTATTTATTTATTTGTGTATTTATTTATTTTATTTCATTAGATTTTTTATTGGATTTATTGTTTTTATTTTATTTTTTTAATTTTATTTTATTCTTTATTATTTTATTGCCACAGAAAAATGAACTACCGATTTCTCTGGTATATGTTATATTCGGCAGAACTTCTTGCTGTGAGGAGACAGTGCTAACCACTACGCCACCTTACCGCCCATTATTTTATTTTATTTTTTATTTTTTTCTTAGAGTTGCAAGCTGTTTTTAAATTAGCTGGCCTTAACTACTATTTAATTATCCATTATATAATTTGGTTCAATTTATTATATTATCTAATACATTAGGATACAATATACTTATTATGTACATGCACAATAATACATTGTATTTAAATTTCATCCTAACCTTACTCCTAAACCTATCCAAACCTTGAGCAGTTGCACTTCATTTTACAGTGTTTATTTAAAATGTACTTAAGAAAGAAAGTACTGGATTATACAAGGGAACCACATGCCCTAAAATAAGATTCAGGGATAGTACCTAGTTATTATTACCCAGTTTATTTGTTAAGTATATAGTATGTATATGCAAAACAGAACGCTAAATTGAAATACTAATTAAATACTAATAAAATACCTCAAACACATTCACAATAAAAGGGATATGTTACAAATTAACTTATAGTTACTCAATAAACCCATAATCTTGTGAGAAATTAATGCTAGAAACATTATACAAATTCTGACCGTATCTGTTGTTGCACAAACTATGTATGAAGTGTTTGCTGATGTTTTGTCAGGTACTCTGATGCGCGCTCGTGGAGGGCCTACATGGGAATGCGAGTGATGAACTCAGTCAGTAACGCAGCAGCGACCAGACAAATCCGCCGCATCGTCCTGCATTCGCAATACGATCAGTTTACCTCAGACTATGACATTGCCCTGCTGGAACTGAGCGCTCCAGTGTTTTTCAATGAGCTGGTCCAGCCGGTCTGTGTACCGGCCCCATCCCACGTCTTCACCTCCGGAACCAGCTGCTTCGTCACTGGATGGGGAGTCCTGACTGAAGAAGGTACGACACTGTGGAGCAAATACATTCAGAAAAAAAAAGGATGTTTCTTGTTCAGCTGAAGCAAGACAACATTACGAAAACTGGGACACATGATTTAAAATAATGACTAAAGAGGAAACAATCTGAAAATGGGAAAGTCACATATTAGATATTCAACCTGTGATGCTAGCTGAATTTGACTAATATTGTTTTTAAAATTCTGGTTTACCACACAGTACTCAGCATAATTTTTAACCTCATGGTTTAATTTTTATTGTATGAAATAATATATAATTTGCCATCATTTTTACCATGTTTATTATATACAGATTGATAGATACCAGGGCTGAACTATATATTGTTTGAGCATCAATATTGCAATGTGTGTATCCACAATAATCACATCAGGGTTAGATTATTTATTAAAGATTAAAAGATACAGATATTATATTAACATAGTTATACACAATTATCTACACAATTATGACTATTACTAATGTTATTTTTGTTTGATTGTTCATGTTCTATATTTGAATACTATTAGACACCCCAGAAAACATAAAGCATAAAGTTTATTTAGCTTTTATTTTTGCTCTCTCTGATTTATATATGCTTGTAATTTATTATATTTTTTGCAGATGCACTGCATGGAAAAAAATCTTGATCTGCCCAGTCGATCTATATTAATTAAATATTTCTCGCTACTTAAATTTGTGAAATTACATTCATATTACAATATATATCGCAGCAAAACAAAATATCGCATTGTCAGATTTCTCCAATAATCATGCAGCCCTATACTCTGCTTAAAAGGTTTAGTTCACTCAAAAATGAAAATTACGCTATTATTTACTTACCTTTATGTTGTTTAAATCCCCTGAGAAGTTTGTTAGGATGTTAAGATCTTAACACAAATGATTATATTTTAGCTCTAATCTGAGAGCACTCTCATCTTCCATAGACAGCAATGGTCCCGACTTATGGTCTCATCTTATTCAAAGAAAAGTTCCTCAAAACAGACAATATGCCTTCATTGGTTCAATCGGAATATTATCAAGCCACGAGAATTATTTTGTGCGCACATAAAACTAAAATAACAACTTTATTCAACAGTTTCTTCTGCTCAGTGTGAGTATAGGGTGCACATTCACTGAAGCTATGTGCACTGATATACACATAACAATCACCTTACTCGCCATACTTTTTAACTAGTTGTTCACCTTACTTTTTCTAGTCGATTAATTATAGTACATTAAGACATTTTGTGTTTTGACACTTTTTTTGTTTTCTTTAATGTCATGTTTACATATTTCCATACATGCAAATGTATAATAACAAATAAACTAATTTAGCATACAATACAAGATTCTGAATTTATGAATTGAAAAAGCTTGTATCATTTTGTTAACATCATGGGGGGGATTTTAGACATTTCTTTAACCATAAATAGGAAAATACGTTTTACAGTCAAAAATATTTTATTATTACAAAGTAAAAAACATATTAATTATTAATATTAATTTTATATTAAAAGACCCCTTTTTTAAACCACCATGATATAGATGGGAAAAACTGGAAAGTTACAGTACAAGAGTAGTATATTACAAAGTTTCTTTTCTTGTTTTTCTGCCGCAAAATTTCACTTTCTGTTTCATTCTGCTATAGGTCTGCACAATACATTGTTTCATCATCGATATCGCAATGTAAACATCCACAATAGTCACATCACAGGATTCAATGTTGAGTCTGGATTATAGTTTATTATTTGCACGGGTTTTTTGAGGTCTGTAAGTGTATGAGGATTTTAAAAGCAATCGGCCTTAAGAAATTGTACTATTTGTCACTTTAATAACTAATAATTGAATTTAACTATTTGTGAATCGAAGACTATGCAATATTATATTACATTAATATTTATTTACATTTATTACTTGATACCTGAATACTGTTAGACTTCTCGGAAAACATTAAAACTTGTTCTTGTATATACTCCCTGACAAAAGTCTTGTCGACGATCCCAGTTGTAAGAGAAACAAATAATAACTTGACTTCTAGTGAATCATTTGGAGAGTGACAGAAGGTAAATTTTTCAGAGGAATTATCTGTTGAACTGCATCCCAATCATCTCAAATACTGCAGAAGACCTACTGGAACCCGCATGAACCCAAGATTCTCATAGAAATCAGTCAAGTTTGGTGAGGTAAAAATCATGGTTTGGGGTTACATTAGTATGGGGGCGCGCAAGAGATCTGCAGAGTGGATGGCAACTTCAACAGCCTGAGGTATCAAGACTTTTGTGCTGTCCATTACATTACAAACCACAGAAGAGGGATCAGCCTCCACATCAAAGTTCCTGAAAGCAAAGAAGATCAAGGTTCTCCAGGGTTGGCAAGATATGTCACAAGATATGAACATTATTAAGCATGTCTTGGTTAAGTTGAAGGAGGAGCCATTGAAGATGAATCCAAAGAATCTTGATGAACTCTGGGAGTCCTGCAAGACACGTTCTTTGCCATTTCAGATTAATTTTATTAATAAGTAATTTGAGTCATTGCAGAGATGTGTGGATGCAGTCGTCCAGGCTTATGGGAGTCATACACAATATTCTTTTTCCACTGCAACATGACTTTATATTCTGTACTGTACATTATTTCTGTTTAGTGACAAGACTTAAGTCTAAGTCCAACCTCACTGTCCCATTTAATTGATTAAAATTAAGGCATGCTCATATTTTATTTTGGTAAAATAAGCGTTATCTAGAGGCCTTAGCCTTTCATATAAGACACTTCTGATACCAAATTATCAACTAGAAGTCAAGTTATTATGTGTTGTTCCTAAAACTTGGACAGGTGACAAGACTTTTGTCAGGTAGTGTATACTTGGAGAAATCTGAATACTCTAATTTACTCATTAAACTGTTGAAACCCTCTTGATTCCAGGAGAACTAGCCACATTGCTGCAGGAAGCCACGGTTAACATCATCAATCACAACACTTGCAATAAAATGTACGATGATGCGGTCACTCCCAGAATGCTTTGCGCCGGAAACATTCAGGGAGGAGTGGACGCTTGTCAGGTCAGTGTGTGCTTTTCCTTTCCACCTCTTATCATCGTTCCTTCCCTGTTCACATGCAGTACAGTACTCACGTATACAGTATGTTCACACAGGGAGACTCCGGAGGGCCTTTAGTGTGTCTGGAACGGGGCCGCAGGTGGTTTCTAGCAGGCATCGTGAGTTGGGGTGAGGGCTGCGCTCGACAGAATCGGCCCGGAGTTTACACGCGTGTCATTAAGTTCACAGACTGGATTCACCAGCAGACGAAAGGCCAGGTGTGACACGCACAAAAACACACACACACACACATGCATATACAAATATATATATAAATATATACACACCAGAGAACGGGTGATCACCCATGCTCAGATGCATGTGATGGAAGTGCACCGGCCCTGCTTTCATGGTGCACAGACATGGCAAACATCAACACCCCTGCATCAGAAAGCAATGTCCCATAATTCCCATGTTGCTCGGAGTTTGAAATCTCCACTCACAGTCTGTCAGTCTTTATGCCCCAAACTCAGCCAACACAAACCAGCTGTACTTTCTAAAACCTGGACTACTAATGTAGAGATTGAAGAGATGTGCATTATTTGCAGCGGAGAGAGCTCTCTTGGGAAGACTTGTATTATTGGGCTAAATGTTAGTTTTCATTCATTTATTCGTGTTCATGGCATTATTTTCACATGTTTTTCATTGTTTAAGGATGATAAACCCTCCACTTCGTTGTCCGTTTCTACTGTGAAATTGATTGGATGTCAGATATTATGACCAGCATGACTTTTAGTGCTTTTGTTATTGCTCTTATGTAGGTTTTTGTTGTTATGAATGTTTGCTGGCTTGTCTTTGAGAGTGTGAGAAAGCAGTTGCAGCCCCCTAAGACTCTCTCTGCTGGTCATGATTTGACATTACATCTTACTCAGTACTCCTTTAGTTAACGCACATATTGTTATCATGATCTGTACTCCCTACAACAACCTGATGTAAATGTCACCACTGAGCAAATGTTGATACTTTATGTTAGATATCTGAAAGTTAGAACTATATTAAAATGAGGTGCTACATTACTTAAACTGTGTTTTTTTTTATTATTCATTTGCAAGTGATTTAATGGGAATGAATATGTTCATTAATATGTGTTAATATTAATTATAATATTATATTAATTATATTTATATTAATTAATATGGGATTTTTCACAAGAGAGTGTTGCAAATGTTTGAAAAAATAAATCTGTAAATAAAATGATTTAATTAAAATATGAAAGAAAACTATACAAAATTGTACAAAAGTATACAAATATGAAATTATACAAAAGTATACAAAAAACAAGATTGAAATAAATAAAGACTTTATAAATACATTTTATAAAATGTATTTATAAATAAAGACTTTATAAATACAAAGACAAACAAATAAGAAAAACTGGATTAAAATTATCTAATATTTTATTTTACTTTAATTTGAAAAAAAGATTGTTTTATTATGAATTATTTTAGAATTGAATAAGATTAAATTAATATGTTATCACAAAAAATGCTATTATTAATAGAATGTAACTTAATAGAAACTCAAATTTTTCCAAATAATTGCCACAGTCGTCACAGCGGAATGAACCGCCAACTTATCCAGCATATGTTTTACACAGCGGATGCCCTTCTAGCTGCGACCCATCACTGGGAAACACCCATACACACTCGCTCACATAAATACACTACGGACAATTTTAGCTTGCCCAATTCACTTATGCTCATGTCTATGGACTTGTGGGGGAAACCGGAGCACCCGGAGGAAACCCATGCAAATAAGGGGAGAACATGCAAACTCCACACAGAAATAACAAATGACCCAGCCGAGGCTCAAACCAGCGACCTTCTTGCTCTGAGGCGACAGCAGTACCTACTGCACCACCGCATCGCCCATGTCTTTTATACCAGTGGTTCTCGAAGTGGGGGTCGCGAGACAATAAGGGGGGGGGGGGGGTCGCTTGGTGATTTCCAAAAATCTCATACATGTTATTAAACTATTAGAATTACCTTATTTTATCCATAACCTACAGAAGATACACATTTGTTTTTAACTTATAATATATTTAATATGTACTTAAAATTTATTAGTTACATAAAAAAACAACAACATGCAAGTAAAAAGCCTTCAACTAATCAGGCTTTCAATTTTTTCCCCACTGGATTGGGACCCCTGGGGTTATGATGCTAGAGTAACATCCCAGCTATAGCGTTAGTTGCATCAAATTGATTTTACAGCGCAATGTTAAACTTTGACACCTTTTTGGCACTCATGTACATTAAAAATAAAGGCCCAACTGAAAGTGGCAGTATTCAAAATTATACCAAGAATAGGATTGTGCTGTTAACATTGTGCCCACCATTCTCGTTAAGTGAGGTTAATATTAAATTAAACAAATGATATGATTGTTAGACTGTTGCATTTTTTGTGTTGTCAATATGCTCATGTTTATATAGCTTCTTTTGGTGTGTGCATCATTGTGTGCAATATTTGTATGTTTATTACCACCTCTGAGTATAGTAGGGGTCGTGTGTCACTGGAGTTGTTATTTTGGGTGTCGCGGGCTAAAAAAGTTTAAGAAACCCTGTATTAAACAATACATTTTTCCATTTTAAATGAACATATTTGGGTGTCTATGATGAAATACCCATGATTTAGATGTGTAAATTCACAAACGAGTCCTTTTATCTACACCAAAGGGTTTTCTAACTGAGGCCTTCAAAGAAGTGCTAGGGGGTCTGTGTAAATGTTTAGGAAAAGAAACTGTTTAAATACTATTAATAATAAAAGTAGTATTAATAATAATAATTAATTAATAGCTTCATTAACTACACATTTCATCAAGTAAAAAAATGTCAAAAGAATACAATCTAGATTAAACTCTATAATATTATCAATTAATAATAGTAATTACAATAATTATAAAATAACCCATACCCCAACAAAAAAATTATTTCAAAGATTAAAATGTTTTTTTTCAAATTTAGCTATAAAATAAATAAATTTATTCATTCTTTCAGCCGGTACCCAGTACTGGGAAACACCCATACACTCTCATTCACGCTCATACACTACGGACAATTTAGTTTATTCACTTCAACTGTACCTCATTTCTTTGGACATGGGAGGGAAACCGGAGCCCCAGGAGGAAACCCACACGAATACGGAGAGAACATGCAAACTCAACACAGAAACGCCAACTGACCCAGATGAAGCTCAAACCAGTGACCTTCTTGCTGTGAGGCAACAGCACTACCCACTGAGCCACCGTGCTGCCCAAAATAAATAAATGACAAACCTTATGAAATAATATTCATTTGAATATTCATTCATTCAAAATAAATTATACAAGATACAAAATATACAAGAACCTACACAGATGCCTTTTGCATTGAAGCCCCCTTTCCTGGACATAATAACATACATTAGTTTTTTTTCTAAATTCTCCAGCTTTTCATATTTCACTAATGTCTCAAACTGTGCTCAGCTTTTTCCAAGAAACTCTTTTCTAATCAAAATAAGATTTCTTTGATCTCTAATATTTCTCATTAATTTCTTACTAAATTCTTATTTGACTCGTCCTGTATGACAACAGTTGTCTCAATTGTGTCCATTTTTATTTCTCCTGATGAATATTTTGAGAATCAGCTTGGGAAAAGTTGATATTTTCATGTAATAAAAAAGGAATTTTCATAACTTGTCTTTTTTTCTTTCAATTATTTTATGTTAATTTAATTACCAAAGCCACTGAAAAGAAACCATTTTCTCCTCTTTTGAGAATCGGGATAGTGGTTTAATTTCCGCCATTGTTACAGATATACAAGTAAAGTCAGAACTATTAGCCCCCCTATAAATTATTAGCACCCCTGTTTATTTTTTTCACAATTTCTGTTTAACAGATTTTTTTCAACACATGTAAACATAATAGTTTTAATAACTCATTTCTCATTTCTCAAGATATTTTTCAAGAGCCTATACAAAGTGACATTTAAAGGCTTAACTATAGGTTAACTAATGTAATGTAATGTAATGTGTGTACTTATATAGCGCATTTATTGTGTATGGCCATACACCCAAAGCGCTTCACAATCATGAGGGGGGGTCTCTCTCACCACCATATAACTAGACAGGTGTATAACGACAGTTTGTTCTGTAGACTATATAGCTTAAAGGGGCTAATAATTTTGACCTTAAAATGTTTTATGCAAAAAATAACTGCTTTTATTATAGCCGAAATAAAACGAAGACTTTCTCCAGAAGAAACATATTATCAATACTGTAAAAAAAATTCCTTGCTGTTAAACATCTTTTGGGAAACATTTTTTTAAAAAGAAAAAAATCAAAGGGGGCTAATAATTCTGACGTCAACTGTACACCAGTAAACAGGTTTATTTATGCATTGCCTGAAGGAGCGTCCGCGGATCTGTACAGTACATCGGGCTCGTGTAGGTCACGTCAGTTGCGGGATGGGTGTGTCGATGAGCGTCACGGAAGCTCCGGTGGCGGTGGGAAATGAATAAATCCCAGCCCGCGGTCATGATGGGAAAGAGTGTAACTGGAATTCATGCGCGGTCCTCCTGCTTCAAGAGTTCATACACATTGCGGAAACTAGCTACCGAGATTGACTGTTGTCCCCGTGAACGCAGGGTTTCAGGAGTTTGGCGTTGTGAGGTGAACTGATTCTCTGGAGTATTGGATCCGCAGTGTTATATTCCTCCATAGGTATTCCTTCATCTCCAAACAAACACCCTCAAGCAAGACCAAGAGAATGTTCGATATATTATTTGTGATGATATTTGGACTGTCAGGACGTGTTCTGACTAAAGGTATGTGCTTTATTTTTAAGTGTTTTATTTGTGTTCGTATATAGCCTACAAATAATACATTTATGTATAGTCCATATATTAATTTTAGCTACTTGTCATTGTATTCAAAATAAGTTCTTGTTTAACACTCATCAAAGTGATGAAATACAGGTCTGGAATGCGCGCGGATGAGAGTGTGGCATTGCTCAGCTCCAGCGCATCTGATACCTAGAAAAAAACATCCAGAAACTTTGGATGCATATATAAACTTGTTCGCATATCTTTATTTTTAATAAACAATTCAATGGCAATTGAGAGTATGACATAATTGCAAAATTATGCAAGAAATTTGCGCAAAAAAAATTATTTACTAAAATTTTAGTTTTCCCACTACTATGGCAAGCCGATTTAACATTTATCACAACTATGTACAAATACTAACTGGTTTGCGCTTTGATATTATTTAGAAAAATTCTCACATTTACGGCAAATGGTTTTGATAAATGGTTAGGTTTATAGGTTATAGGTTTATAAGAAGGCTGAGTGTTATTAGTGTAACTACATGTTGTTTTAATGCAAGCACTTAAAATGTGATACATTACCATGCATAAAAGGCTAATTGTTTAGGCTAATTTCCCCGCCTCAAAGCAATTAAGACCACTAAATATCAAATATTATCAAACAAACAAATGTCTGTTTTTATGGTAGAAGCAACAAATTTATCAGAAAAAATAATTGGTTTATCTGCTTGTCACTTTGTGGATATATATGCATATACAAAAATGCTGGGTTGCACACAATTCCTTTATGTTGTCCCAACACAAATCTATTAACTTAATCGTTTTTACAAATTTAAGTGGATTGAACATAAAAAGTCATCCCTCCAAAAAAATGTAAGCATTGTGTTGTTTCAACTCATTTTAAATGAGTAGTTTGAACAAGCAACAAAAGCCATTTTTGGAGTGTATATCAAAAATAGCATATTTGACATGCTTTACAAACGCATTGAATTTACAAAAAATACAAAAATCATATATGCTAAATTATTAATTAAGTAAAATTATTATTAAAATGCATGAGTTCAGTTGACAAATTGTGTGTACAATCATACAAATACAATATTGTACCAATAATAATATCAACAGCAAATATTAAAATGAGATCATGTAAATTCATGTTTATCAGATATAACTTCAAAATAGCTATGAAAATATGTAAGGCAGAAGGCTATACAAAAGAGATCTAGCAATGCACATGTGAATTCTAAACAACAAAATACAGCCTGCAAAAAAAAAAAAAAAAAAAGTTAGTTTTATTAAATGCTAAAACTGTCTGCCATATATCAGGACAAGTTGTTTTGATAGTAGGGACCTCTCTGCTCTTACTTGGCATCCGTCTTCAATGTTTGGCCCCGGTTGAATCAGAGAGGGCGTTATTTCCTGAGCCTGATGACTTGTGAAATGGAAGTTCTAATATAAATGACTTCGGGGTCATGACCACCGTGCGGCAGGAACCAGCGCTAATCAGAGTGTTATAGCTTAAACAGACCCGCGGGGAGGAAGCAGGGGGTGAAGCGATGTACTGTCCGCACTGCGTGATGATTACTGCTTTATTGGTCAACAGCTCAGCATTCACATCACAGGATGCAAAACTGAACTTGATTAATAGCAAAACGTGTTTTACGCATGCATCCGCATACCTGCGTGCACGAAAGCAGACAGCTCTGGTGAAGAAAATATATTTAGCAAAATTAAGAAGAATATTTGATTTTATAAAGATGTAGCCTATAAAAAGTCAGAAACTGAATGCACCATTTAAACAAGTTTAAAATTACTAAATAAGACCAATTCACTTTAATAAATGCATTGCCTATAAGTAGCCTAAACAATATTAATTTTGTCAATAAATAGACGAATAACAATACTAATTGAAATATTGATTATATGCTATGGGCTAGCTAAATTTATTTTCTAGCTCATTCAGCTTATTAATTAAAAGGTTCTGATTTGTAGGACTTTGTGAATTAAAAAAAAGACCTCTGAAAAATTCCTTCATTGTTCTAAATGGGGTTCTTTGTCATTGATGGTTGAGTAGAGCTGCCCTTTAAGCAAACTGGTTGTTTTAATAGCCATTATTGGGTGTTGGTATTGTTACAGAATTCATAAATGGTTCTTGGGGACCAACAAAGTAAAAGGATCTAAAATAAAAATAATCTTTTGAGGGTCTAAAATAAAACATCCCCGGAACTTTTTTATGATTTGGATTAGCCAAAATGGCAAAGACATTTTTAAACATTTCTTATTTATTTCTGCCAATTTCTCCATCACATTTACAAAGCAGTACACTCAGGATCATAAGGAAGAACCAAAAAGTTCCTAGAAGTTTTTAAAAGATCATCCACTGAAAAAAAATAAAAATAATGATGATTCCTTGGATTTACTAAATGTTTTTTAAGTTCAGTGGTTGTAAACAATTTATTTGAGCTGAATTAAAATAAAACAACTTAATTTGAAAATTACTTAATTTAATTTGTTTGTTTAAATTCAACCAATATAAATTGTTTACAACAATTTTGCAAAAATAAAACCCATTAAAAAACATGTTGTGGAATGAAATGTCCCATGGATGTTAAAGGTTCATGAACGTTTCCAATTAACCTTTATTCTAAGAGTGTAGATGTATTTTTGTTTTCAATTATTAAGTTATCACAAATTAAATACAAAAATAATAATAATAACGAAAGCAGGAAATACACCGTTCCGATAATGTAGCCTGCTATTCAACTAAAAATTATTTGATATAATAAAATGTATTAATATAATTGAAACTCACTCTATATATTCAATTCAACATTCATTATGACTATGACGGTTATTATTAGTCGTTTAATTAAACGTTAAACTTAGCCTGTTTACTGCATTCATTTGCATTTATTCAAACATGACGTGTAAAGTTTGTTGAACTTGGCAGCTTTTCGTCCTGTCATTAGTACCTGCGTTTCTGAAACGGAACCTCAGCGTGTGGACCGGCTGATAACGAGCCTGTTTCAACCCCATGCGGGACTTGCTATGGGAAAAAGTGCTTGACTCGTGTTTCCTTCTACAATTGGTCTTACTACAATACCTATCGTTTAATGTACAGAAGGAAATGATGCTATGCGTTTTAAAGAAATAAACAATGGCGACAGCGGTTAGTATTGTCCAGGGCACGTCTGCATTCACACAAGAGGTTTAAAATCCCATTGAATTGTGTGCCACAAAAAAAAAAAAAAAAAAAAAAAGAGCATGCATGCTTATTTTATTGCATTGCATGCTACTTTGCATAACAAATAGGCTGTTAATGTCACAGCATCATGCAGATATGGTAAATCATTTTAAAAAGGCACGCAATTATTCACCGCACAACAGTTCAGTCATTTCGCTCGTTTTATGTTCCCCAGGCGCTATATTGACGTTACGTGTATTATTAATCAAGTGAGATGCATTTTTTATAGGTTTTTATGCAGAAATGTTTTGATTTGTGAAGAAAAAAATACACATACAGATTTTGTTTAATTCTTTAAAAAAATACAAAAAACATCCAAAGATGAAAAGTTATTTTAATGAATTACTTTGTAAACACTATAAAATAGCATCTATTAGCCTACAATGAGTAAAACGTTTTTGATTATATTTTAACAGCTGAAATTTAACTTTTATAATTGTTTCAAAACAGTAAAATCACAATGTAAGACTGCCATCAAAAGAGCTGTGTATTTATTTTTGCACCACATTTATGTAATTTTATTCCTTTTACCCTCATTTTGTGCACAAAAAATGTCACATAAAGATCCAGCAGCTTCTGTCTTCACTTACAGATACAGACACAAAAGGGAGGTTCAGTTCTCCAGTGTTGGATGTTACTGAGAAGCAGCTTGTTATAGAGAGAAATCAGACACTTCAGCTAAGCTGCAGGTGAGTGAAGCATCATACTGTCTCACAGTTAAAGGAGGAGGAGGAAGTGGTAAACTCGTGATGTGATGTTTGAGTAACATAGCTTCATGATTAACAGAAGTGATACAGATTGGTCAGGAGGAATGTAGAAACATAAAAAAAAAAAAAAGTTTGGCATGAGACATTAGAAAATGCATACAAAACAACATATCTGGGATTCAGAATTGGATTAAGCCCTAATTTAGAATGTTTTGGTTTATTATATCACAAATGAAAATTCTTGGTTTTAGCCATTCCTGATCTCTGAGCACTTCACTCGGAAAACATGCCCAACATGCATTACCATACTCCGTTTAAATTATATGCAACTGTGAACTTGTGAACTTAATTTTTAACCCTTTTTACAAAAGGTCAACATTACTTATGCATGAGTCAGATTGACTCAAATCATGTTGGAGAACATGATCATCATGCTTTGAATGGTTTGTTGCATTGATGCTGACATTAAAGCAAAAAGAAAACTTTTACAAATCTAAATACTAAAAATTAAATTATAAGTCAATCATAAACTGACAATGACTGAACATTAACCTTAAATTCTATGCTACATTAAATGTTTTAAAAGGTGTTCTGGCAGGTTTTATTAAATGAAATCAAACTCTAGTACAATAGCTCTATTTGAGTAGCTCATTTAAAAAAAAAATGTGGTCAATGCCATTCGGACCTTGGTTGCACACCAAAGATGCAGACCGATACTAATGAAAATGAGCCTCATTTGGCTTCCAGACAAACTTCTGTGCAGTTTGACTGAAATGTGAACATAAAAGACATGTAAACAAATTAGAAACATGACATGATATCACAGGATGCAAAAAAAAAGGCAGAATGCTCAAGCATTCCTGATGTTTTTTTTTTGTCAAAAATGCAACATTGCCAGTTTAATACATGTCAGAAATAAGTATTTTGCAGTAGAATCCATTTACACATTTTATAAGCACTTTACCTGTTATGAAGTTGTAAAAAATCCATCAGATGTATAAACTTTAAAGCTTGTTCAGCTCAACACACACAGTATTGTTTTAGATATTTTGCAAGTCCTGTTTTTCTTTAAAAAATGCAAAGCAAACTAGCACTTTTTCATTAGGACTGAGCATATCAAGAGACCCAAACTATAAGCCCAAACACCCCAATTCGTAAAATAGAAGCATTTTCACTAGTGCTCTCATATATTTTTTTACCAGTTAAGTACAAATCGCTTTGTTTACCCTAAACTTGATGTTTTAGGGGACGGTGGGAGCTCCAGTGGGTTTTGCCATCAGGCGTACCAAAACTCTACCCCGACACACATATTGTGAACACTCAGTGCGGGAAGAAAAGTAACCAGTATTGCAGCCGGCTGACACTCAGTCCTGCTTTAACTCAGCACACGGGCTCCTACCGCTGCAGGTATCGGCAAAAGGAGCGCAAACAGACTTCTGTCTACATCTACATCACAGGTAAGATGCTTCAGGTGTATATTCAAACACAGGCTGTCTCTAAAATTGCCTACTACTCAGTAGGTACTGCATTTGAATTTAAATGTACTACTCGGCTGTTGGAAAGTACATTCTATACAGTATGAATGAGAGTAGTATAAATGGAACTTGGACATACTACATCCGCAATTGTTTGTATTCAGACTGACTACTATACTATACTATACTATATAGTATGGAAGTATGCAATTTCAGATGCAGCCTTATGCCTCATTGACACTACCAGCGACTTTGTAGCTGCCTGTAGTACTGGGTGATGACCTGCTGCAAACGCAGGTCTGTGTAGGTATATCAGTGTTGCCAGACTTTTTCCAGTCCAAAAGCTGTCCAAAACCCGCCCAAACGCACAAAAACACCCAAAATATTAGATTAATATTTGATTTAAATATTAAATAAATTAACCTAGTTACTTTAACTGTCATAATTTATAACCATACAGCAACCAACACCAGCAGCCAACTAACCGCAACATAACCAGATCACATCGAAACACTGTCCTCCTCTCATCCACACACTGCACTTAATGTTGTGTAACCACATTTGAAATATGGTATACATTCATCCCATTCAGCATTTAAATTTTTTTTAACATAAGTATGCACTGCTTGTCAATCACATAACTCTTCTATGTTTGTTCCTGCTGTCAATTGTGGAAAAAAAATTATCAATAAAAGTGTGCATGATGCGTGTGCTCAAGAAGGGGAATCAGATTTTTCTGGGGAGTCAGATTTAGATACAACTTTCCTTCACCCACGCGGTTTGCACTATGCACTGGTCACTACTAACTTAAAGGGGAAATGAAGCACTCAAGCAAGTTTACATTATTTTGTAAATTGGTTTCCACTTTAATGGAAATATACATTACAAACTCGATTAATGTAACCATTTAGCAGAAAACGGCAAGTTTTACTATAGATTTTAGACCTAGGGCGCCGCTGTCTTGGAATATCACTGTGTCTGACGTAACAGGGTTGGTTCCGTTCCCTCAGCTGTAAAGAGTGGAAGTAAAGGACTGAACACCATACTTGCCAATACTTCCTTTTTTCCCAGGGGTCTCCCATATTATCTCTCGTATTGTTCTGTCTTTCGGAAAACTCCCGGAATTACTTGCTTGGAGCAAATACACGCATCAGATGTGTGTCTAATATAAAAAAATATATAAATATTTATTCTATTTTTCTATTTTTCCCCTTTTAATTACCGATCATTTGATGCGCTTTGGTCCACACTCTGTATTATGCTGCCTGACTGCCTATTTAGATTCCAACCAAGTCCGGTGCTGATGTAATGGGCCTCTTTTCGTGTTCAAACCAAATTAAGATTGGCGCGTTTTTTCATACATGGCAGGTTTTTTCATCCTTCATACTTGTTGAGATCAAGTTAATCAACTTGAAAAGGGAATACGTCTTCACATTATCCACAAAGACATGACAGTAAATCTTTAAGACATGTATCATTTTTAATTGTTGCATTAGTCAGAAAATTTTGTCAACCCGCCAATCCCATTTTTACAATTTTTACATTTTTGACATTTTTACACAAACTCAAATTCAAAACCACCCAATTGTGTGGGAAACCGGTCAATCTGGCAACACTGAGGTACATACAGCACGAATACAACCGACCTCAGAGCGAGCTGAGAGAGGATCACGTGAGCTCCACTGGTGCTCTTTTTGGCTGTTGCTCAAGAAAGTCGCTCTTTATTTGCATAAAGTTAAAGGATTCTCAACTTTGTCGCATCACTCGGCACGCCCGCGGTCGCTCTTCATTGAAATGAATGGTCGCTTGTCGAGTAGCTCGTAGTGTGAATGAAGCTTTAGACTGTGTCCACTAAAGCTGATTAAAAAAACTACAGCTCTTCTGTAAATGCCTGTGGACTCTTGAGAGTGCAGCGTTTTATTTTTTTTAGGACAATTTGTTCACCGTTATCACAGAATATCATCAGAAGTTTTTTTTTTCTCAATTTGCTTCTCTTCTGTGATTGTTAATATCGATGCACTTATGCACCTGTTGTGGCAGTTGATTGGTGTGATATTTGCCTCATTCCTCCTACTGAAACTGGACGTCTGACTCCAAAAATTATATTAATGATCACTGCTTTTTTTGCAGATTTTAAGATTTGTCTAATTTCAGTGACCAGAATAAATTGTAATGCCCCAAACTGATAAAAAAAAATACTTTGGTGCATGAAATGGATTTTCTTTCTTTTAAAGTGCCACATATTAAAGTAAAATATCATCTCAGACAGAAAACCAAGGGTGGAACTGTATTTTGGCCATCAACAATGTATTAGATTGTAGGATCATTGTGATTTGCAATTACTGCGACCCCCTGACTGACAGGATTTCCACCCTTATCGTAAGAGCGTATCGTAAGACGTTTACTGATAAATCCTTGATTAATAAACACTTACAGTATTTGTTTTTGATTTCATTGTAATCCTTTCTCTCCTTCCATCGTTCAATAGCTTGGCCATCTCACTAACCATTCCTGTTGCTTAAGGCTAAACAGGAAGTCTCAGGAAGCAAATAATACCTAAACACCATTTTTCTCTCGAGGCAACACATCCGACTAAGTGCGCGCATTGCATGATTTTGCGCTGACATTTTTTTGTGTGTATTTGCGCTCACGCCGTAAGCTGTCCTCCCTCACTATATTTAAAGCTATAACTTTCATTTACGTGCTACCTCGAGGGGACAGAAATAGCCCCAGCTGTTGAAAGACTCAGCTCTTGGGCAGCCTTTCCCAGGGTACCCAGCCTTATCTGTGTCCCTCAGCCCGGTCGTCCGTATCCTGTGCTGGTCAAGGGGGGAGGAACAGCTCAGAGACGAGGATAGAGGATGCGATGTTTTCTTGTGTATGTTTGTTAGCATGCGTGTCTGCGCATGGGAGTGGGCATCTTGAGGGCATCCCGGGGCAGAAGAGAGGCCCGGATCCTCCCCGGTCAGGCATTAAGGAAGACTAAGAGGTGCCGCAGGTCACTAGGTGCGGCCCCCGGTTAGCCAACAAGGCCCCTGAGGACCATCAATCGCTCTTGCGGCCATGTCCATTTAGCCTCACCCTTCATCCTTTATATTGAATCAAAGCACGACAAGGAAACATCCAGCAGTCCTTGGGGTACTTTTGTTAAAATGTTCAGAGATTTTTTTCCCGTTCCTTTAATAACACCAGAGCACTGAACAATGGGGCGAGCAACACCCAAAGCCTTTCATTGCCACAAGAATATTGCAGACTGGAGCGAAAGTGCAACCAAGAAAACAACAGAGAGCGTTTGATAACAAGCGAGCAAACTTTCTGTACTTGCTGCTGACTCTAGATTGTTGTCAGCATTTCTTGGGTGTTTGTTCCTGACCTCAGCATTGCCGTTTCAGATAGCCAGCGGCCTTTTGTGAAGGTGCAGTCGGAGATCCCAGATGTGGTGTACATGAAGGAGGGAGAGCCCTTGGTCTTTCCATGCAGAGTCACTAACCCAGACGCCAAAGTCTCGTTGGTTAAGGTGAGTGACTCAACTGTGTCAGATCATTTCATCCGACCCTTCAACTTTTCTTCTTTCTATCAACTAGACCAGGGGTCACCAATCTTGGTCCTGGAGGGCCGGTGTCCCTGCTGGGTTTAGCTCCAACTTGCCTCAACACACCTGCCTGGATGTTTCAAGTATACCTAGTATGACCTTGATTAGCTTGTTCAGGTGTGTTTGATTGTTGGAGCTAAAATCTGTAGGGCACCGGCCCTTCAGGAACAAGTTTGGGGATCCTTCAACTAGACTGTCAGCAGTGAACACAACATGTGATACAGTCTCAGCCAATCAGAACACATTTGATGCAGCGCTATAGACCAATGAAATTTTGATGTGGACGGGGCCATAAAGACAACTAGAAACTTTGATGAGTTGTCATCTCATTATTCAGTAACATATTATTTTGATGGTTTATTTGAGTATTAGTAGACTGTCTGTTTAATATCTGCTGATACTGCTCCAGCAGACATTTAACTGACTGTAAGAAACTTTGCCAGTACATGTTAGCTTACACTAACCCTAACCCCACCCAAACAGTCTTATAATCTAATGAGAAATACTTGGCATTGATGCAATGTAACCATCAAAATAAAGTGTGACCAAAGCAGGATCTCATAATTTGTGTACATTTCAATGCAGTTTAAAAGTGTCTGCAACTTGCCCGGCCCTTACTGATCTGGCACCCTAGGCAAGATTTCAGGTGGCACCCCATCGTGCCACTGCTAGAGTACTCATAAGAAATGTAATAGCTTTGTTTTGGACATTTTTATATTAATATCAATGTGCTTTTAAGCCAAAATAAAGCGAAAGCACAATTCTCTTGAACAGCTCTTGCAAATATATCACATTTTAGATTGGCTCTGTGTTAATGATACTTTCACTTTTCATAAAAAATATTAAAAATATGGGAGTAATATAGGAAAATGGGATGATAGTGGGATAGAATGGTAAAATACGGGAGAATCCAGGCAAAAACGGGACGGTTGACAGCTATGTGTCATGCTAATTGTTAATCGCGTTATCAGTCATTGTTCGGATACACATTACATTACAGCAAAATATTCATCTTTATCGTAACATTACCTCCGACTTTGTTGCATTTTTCCTCTTCTTTTTTTCTACCCTGGCCACCAGTTTTGATATGTTGAGCTTGTCCTCCCATCAAAAAACAACCACCGTTTAGCAGGTAAAGTCTAATTATTTGGAGAGGGGCGGACATCTTAGGCAGCTATAATTTTATTATTACTATTACTACTAGTAGACTTTGCTATGCAGTTGAATTAATGTGGGCTTATTCTTTTCTGAAGTCATAATACCAACTAGATTTAAGAATAGTGGAAGTTATACTTTTTTCTTCCTTCATATCTGGTGCCTCCCCACTGTAAAACCCAAAGAGTTAAGGTAACTTAAACCGTTTGAGGAAACCAATTGCAACAAACCATTTAAGTACAAAAACTAATCCAAATGAGTACTGTGAACGTAACTCATTTGAGTAAACAAAGCAATTTGAGCACAGTAAAACCCAATAAATGAAGAGAACTCAAACCAAATGAGTACTATAAAACTTCATAAGTTAAGTCAACTCAAACCATTAAAGGAAACCGATTGCTACAAACCATTTGAGTTAAAAAAACGAATTTATATGAGTACTGTGAACTTACTCCATTTAAGTTAAAGTAATAAGGTGTTTAATTAACTCATTACCTTCAACACTGAGTTCAAAACTCTTTTCAAATGAGTAGAATTAACTTTCAGTCAATTTTGAGTTAACAACACTCATTTCATTTGATAAAGTTGACTGTTGGGTTTTACAGTGTGGATGTATGGCACCCTTAGCATTTGCCTATACTGCCTATGCCACGGGCTGACCCTGGTTTGCAAAATCCATAAATTTTAAAGATATAGTTCAGCCAAAAATGAAAATTTACACACTATTACTCACCCTCAAGTGTTTCCGGGCTTTTATGAGTTTCTTTCTTCTGTTGAATACTAAAGATATTTTGAAAAAACATGAAATCCTTATGACTAATGACAATATGACTTGAATAGTAGGAAAAACAAATACTTTGGAAGTCAATGGTTACAAGTTGTTAGCTTTCTTTAAAATATCATCCTTAGTGTTCAACAGAAAAAAGAAAATCAAACTGGGGCACGCTTCCGAAAACCATCATTAGCCATCTAAGGTTGCAAGTTGCGTCAAACATAGTTCATTACTTTGGCATTTCCAAAATCCATCATTCCAACGAGCATTTGCAAACTGTGTCACAAACAAAGGAGCTAATAATTTTGACCTTAAAATAGTTTTAAAAACTGCTTTTATTCCAGCCAAAATAAAACAAATAAGACTTTCTCCAGAAGAAAAAATATTATCAGACATACTGTGAAAATGTCCTTGCTCTGTTAAACATCATTTGGGAAATATTTAAAAAAGAAAAAATTAAAGGACTTTTTAAACTTTAATTACTTCTTTTAATTTTAGCACTTCAAATTTGATCAAAAATGTTGTATTGGCAACCAAATACGTATTTTAATACAATATTTCGTAGTTTACATTTTTATAATATACAATTAATATAATTTATAGAATATTTATATAGAAGTATTATGAATAATAAAAATTCTATTTTTTTTACTTAATAGCAGTTTTGGTTCATTTAGCCTTAAAGCTGTGAAAGTATTGAATTACAGTTCTGATTTGAAAATCAGTCAGTTGGCATCAAATATTGATGAGCTCAGATTTTCGTGCCAATCCTGCTTTTGCCTATGGCTTCCACTTCCATACACTTCCATGCACCTTCTTGTTCTCATTCATAAATAACTCCTTTCCCAGTCCTCACAATCACTCCAGGTTAGAAGGGCAAGTGTGCATCCTATTTGTGCCAGTTCGGATGTATCTGTGTTTGTACGGGGATGTACAGAAATCTTTTTGGCTCAGCGTGACACGGACACTTAAAGCCGATGCTCAGAGTGAGCGGCGCCCACAGCTTCCTTTACTTGTTGGCACAGCACAAAGCCAAGAAGATGACGCTGAAACCACCTCAAGCACCCTGATGACTTCCACAGCCTGATTAAAGGAATCCAGCTATAACCCCCCCCACCCCCCTCAAAAAAAATGGCTCTCAGTGCATTTATGAAGTGAATAGATACTACTGGATCCCCAGGGACATGCGATGAGTCCAAATATGGTAACAACTGGTTTAAAAAAAGGACTTCAGCCATTCAGGATGAGTTTCAGAAGAGAAGGGGAAGCGGAAAAGAACAAGTTGACCAGTTCCCCTCGCGCTGCCTTTGGCTCCTCGCATGCAGGATGAAAACTGTTTTTAGGAAACGCTAGCGATATGACATCCCTATCCTCCCTCCATGCTCAAAAAAGCACCACATTTCATTTGGGTTGGCTTTGTTTATGTCCTGCCGACCCTGCGCACAGATATACAAAAGGTAATGGTGCTATAAATATGAGCTCTCTGAAACACTGCTAGAGTGTTTTTTTCCTGAGAGGATTTTGCACTTGGCAGTGTATCTTTAATCTTGCACCTCTCGCGAAGGGAACAATACGGACGCTCTCGCTGGAGCTGTGAACGTAGCCAGCAGGGCCCTTCCAGAGGCTGACCTGAGGACCCAGCCGCGATGTCTATATCCTGTAGTAACAGGATGTGAGGAGATGGACTGGAGTCACGTTTCCACATCCTCGCACTTTACTCTTACGCACTGAACCGGAGGGAGGAGTGTTAGCCAGATCATCACTGCCTAGCTGGAGGGAACCATATAACACTTAACAGCTTTGCTCATGAATATTAATTATGGGACAGGATGTTTGCTTACTAATCACTGTTTGGAGAAATTGGCACTAGATAGTTTTTTTACGAAGCAGGGCGATATATTTTGGTAGTATTCATTCATTCATTCATTCATTCATTTTCCTTCGGCTTTGTCCCTTTATTCATCAGGGGTTGCCACAGTGGAATGAACCACCAACTAATCCAGCATACAGCGCATGCCCTTCCAGCTGCAACCCACTATGGCGAATTTAGTTTATTCAATTTCCCTATAGCACATGTCTTTGGACTATGGGGGAAACCAGAGCACCCGGAGGAAACCCATGCCAACACGGGGAGAACATACAAACTCCACACAGAAATGCCAACTGACCCAGCTAGGACCCGAACCAGCGACTTTCTTGCTGTGTTGCAACAGTCATAGTGATAACCACTAAACCTCCTTTCACCAATATAAAATTAATTTAATAAAAAACATTTTATATTTAATTTTTTTAAAGTTTTTTAATTATTTGTTTCAATGAACATTTTCATATGTAAGATTAAAAGTGTTGTGTTTGAAAGTGAGTTCATATTTAAATGGTCTATTAATCATATAACTATTTACTAACATTTAGAATATTTTTTATTTATTATTGAGCAATTTCATTTTTAATTTTGGTATTTACATTTGTAGTCATTTTGGTGCATGCTACATTTTCTATATGAATAAATATAAATAATATATATAAATAAAATGACTTTAAGTACATCTTTTTAAACATAGTTTTAGTGATTTGAGCCCTTTGAATTAATCAATAAATTGTTGCTCTGGCAACTAAAAAAAATGCTTTTTTAATGAACATTATTTTATAGCTAGGCGATGCAGTGGCACAGTAGGTAGTGCTGTCACCTCACAGCAAGAAGGTCGCTGGTTTGAGCCTCGGCTGGGTCAGTTGGCATTTCTGTGTGGAGTATGCATGTTCTCCCTGCATTCGTGTGGATTTCCTCCAGGTGCTCCGGTTTCCTCCACAGTCCAAAGACATGCGGTACAGGTGAATTGGATAGGCTAAATTGTCCGTTGTGTATGTGTGTGAATGAATGTGTATGGATGTTTCCCAGAAATGGGTTGCAGCTGGACGGGCATCCACTGCATCCACTGCATAAAATAAATGCTGGATAAGTGGCTACCCCACTACTGTATTAAGCCATGACTTATGAAGTCCATGAATATGCACAGCTGGCAAATGCGCATTGAAATGTTTTTGCACCACTTAAATTGTCCACAAGGTGTCAGTGAACCAGTCAATTATTTCATAGATCGGGAAAACAAAACTATAAAACCAACAAGAGCCCTATCATTATACACCCGGCGCAAGATGTGTTTGACAAGATTTGTTGCTATTTTCAGACCAGCACAAACCTAATTTTCCATGTTGTTTAAAAAGAAAATCTAGTTGCGCCTTTTTGTGGACTCATGTGCGTGCTGGTCTGAAATAGAGGTGTGTTAAGGTGCGTTGTTGGCGCATTTCTATTTTGAAGAACTGAAATAGATCACAACATTGACCATTTAAAAGGAAATCTAAATCTAGCGCAGAGTGCATTAGTTATGTGCCAATGTGGGTTCAAATGCTTACACATTGCTTAATACACACAGGATGTACAGCAATACACAAATATCTTAACATATAAAAAAAGATTAAAATGTTACAAAAATTATTATTTTATACATGAATATAAAAACCACTACCTCCATGCCTCATCTCAGGTTTTTTTTTTTTTTAGTTTATTCATGACAATTTGCATTTCTATAATGTTATTATTATTAGCAGTATTATTTATTATATGCAAAGTTATATTTGTTTTATTAAATCAAGTTTCGATTTGTCCATCTGTCAGGTTTTGGAGACGTATGCATCACCATATGGGGCATAAAAATAGGACGTGTGTTTGGGTATAACTCAGTTTTTTGACCACACATTGTTATTATTGCTGTTCATTTACTCGTTTACTGGAAATTCTAAATGAATTTAGAAATAGTTTTAAAGCAAGTCTTTGTGCTTAACAAACAAAATTAAATATGTAGACTACAGTGCACAACACTGTTTTCCTATCCATGAAAGTATAATTGTAAAGAATAAAAATAAAGAGAAAAAGAAAGTAAAGATGCCACATGGAGGACGCTGATTCTTTATCCTCTCGCAAACAGTTTACTTAACTAGCCCCAAATGTCTAAAGATGACCGTCTATAGACAAACCGTGTTTTTGAGCACTGGTGGAAGGGATAATATTCTCAAAACTATTTTAAACAAGTACAAAGACTTTTTTGGAGAGTAAAATGTATACTTTGGAAAGGAGTAAAAAATAGTGTATACATTAAAAATTTGTCCAAAATGTCATCTCTATTGCAAAAATTTCAATTTTTGATTTTACTGTTTTTGTTAGTGGAAATTTTGTGTGTTTGTTTAACATGACGCTGAAATAGCTCTAAAAGGATTGTTTCTCTAACCCACTATAAAGGGCTTACCTAATGCCTTACCTAATGCAGTAGTGCTTTCTAGAAACCCAAAGATCTTGAGCAGCTCACACTGGGAGGAAAGCATTCACCTGATCCCCTGAGAAAGGGCAGGTCACTTCCACAGTGTCACATCTAAGTCTGTAAACATTTCCTCCTTTGAACATGGAAGTAAACAAAATCATAGCACCGCTCTCCAAGAATTTCTGAAGGACGGTGCACTGTTGAACCCATTAGAGCCTTTGTTGTGCGTTGGCCAAATGAAAGTGCAAGTCTAATTGTTTTCCTTTTCCAAAGTGAAATCCAATATTTTAATGAAATTATTTCTTGAATTTTCAGTTTCCTCTCCACCGGATAACTCCTGATCACAGGAATATCATCTGGAACAGCAGGCAGGGATTCATTATTCGTAGTCCCACTTTCTTCTATATTGGTCTGTTTTCTTGTGAGACCATCGTTGATGGAGTCAAATACACAAACAAGTTTTTAACTCACAGACCAGGTGAGTACATATACATTTTTACAAAATTATTATTGACTAACTGGTGATTCAAAAACTAGAAGCTTAATGTGAAATTGTTTATTTGTGCAGTGAACAAGATCTTGGACGTGTATTTGAACAGCACGGGTTTAGTGCACACGTTACAGGGCGAGATGCTGGCGCTGAACTGCACTGTTACTGCTGAGTGGAACTCCAGGGTGTCCATCAGCTGGACATACCCACAGAAGGTAGGTCTTAATGCATTGCTACTAAATTTAGTCAAAGACTATATAATACACAAGACATGTCACTCGCATCTTTTTGAATTAGAAAAATTGTAATGGTCAATATGGTGAATAAAGCCCTGCCTACTAGTACTGGAGCCAATCGTTGTTCTTTATATGGTGAATAAAGCCTCGCCTACTAGTACCGGAGCCAATCATTGTTCTTTATATGGTGAATAAAGCCTCGCCTACTAGTACAGGAGCTAATCATTGTTCTTTATATGGCGAATAAAACCCCGCCTACAAGTATAGGAGCCAATCATTGTTCTTTATATGGCGAATAAAGCCCAGCCTAAAAGTACAGGAGCCAATCATTGCTTGTTGTATGGCGAATAAAACCCGCCTTCTAGTACAGGAGCCAATAATCAGTCGATTTAGATCAACAATACTCTGGGAGAGGGGCTCGGACCAGACATAAACTTCTGCCGATTTTGTGTGATATGGGTGTTTAGAAATGAAATTAATGGGTCTTTTGTTGTTTAATTTTATTGATAATTACTCATTTGAAATTCAATCATAAGCTTGGCAAGCAGTTTTGGAGAATTTGATGTTCACCTATACAAACAGAATGCCCGAGCATACTGCCCGAGAGGCGTTTCGAAGAAGGCCGCAGAGTGAAATGACTCGCCTTAAAGGGATTTTGATTAAGTTTAATAAGATCCTCAACAATCAGTCTTCATATAGAAAATTTAGTGACACTCTATAATGAGCTTCTATTTTTTAGCATTCCTTAAAATCATCATGAAATGGAAGTTAATATTGTCCTTTATCATTGTGTACATCCAAATGAAACGCTCCTGAACTTGAAAAAATGAAAAAATGTAGGGCGGTGCAGAATTTCATCCTTTGGAAAGCAATTGTGTCATTATGCAGACAGTCTACTAATACTCAAATGGACCATCAAAATAAAGTGTTACTGACTTTAATTGTATTATTTAACATTTAACAACATTGAAAAATAATGCTAAAACTCAATCCCACTGCAGATCATAGCTTTTGGTTTGTTCATTCGTATGAATTTGTACAATCTTATTCATTTTAGTGCAATTTACTCATCTTCTAATGACCGTTAAGGGGTGGGAATTAGGGACATTCCTCTTTTTAAAAAGTAATAAATATATTTTAATGGAACGTTTTTAGTGCAAAAACATGTCAGAAATTTACATTGAATAATGAAATACATCATTCATGTCATTTGAATCCTGACCCCCACATGAAAAATATAATAATAATAACAAGAATAAATCAAATTTAATTGTAATTGAATGAATAAACAAAATAAACAAATAAAATAAAACAAACAAATAAAATTAAATTAAAAATAAGGACAGACATTTTTAAATTATTTTACAAAAAGGCAGATTACGTTTCTTTTGTCCAGGCTGAGTCTAACAGACAAGCTTTTAGTCTTAGAGACTAAGAGGTTCCTGGATAATCAAAGAAAGGATCCCAGGTCTGATAAAATGAAAAGGTTTGTTTTTCATTGCTGTGGAGAAGGCCTCAAGTGGGATTATGTTGCAGACTGCAAGCAGCCATTGATTTAAACTGGGGGAGTTCTTCATTAATCCACTTTACAAGGATACATTTCCAAGCAATGTAAACCAAAATATGTAGAAGGTCTCTGTTCCAAAGATTATAACGTATATAGTCATTGACACCCATTAAGCAGGTCCTTGCTCCCAATCGAAAAAATGATAATTTTTTGTAAGGATGAAATTGTATGGGGCATCACGGTGGCACAGTATGTAGCACAATCGCCTCACAGCAAGAAGGTTGCTGGTTCGAGCCCCAGCTGGGTCAGCATTTCTATGTGGAGATTGACATGTGGTACAGGTGAATTGGGTAGGCTAAGTTGGCCCTAGTGTATGTGTAAGAATTAGTGTGTATGAATGTTTCCCAGTTATGAGTTGCAGCTGGAAGGGCATCCACTGTGTAAAACATATGCTGGATAAGTTGGCGGTTCAGTCCGCTGTGGCGACCTAAGATAAATAAAGGTACTAAGTCAAAAAGAAAATGAATGAATTAATGAAATTGTATAAACTTAAACGTAGTTGCATATCCTCGTGAGATTGTTCAAGTTACGAAATGCAGTACTGTAGTAAAGTAATTTCTTAACAGTTATTTTAGTTAACGTATTAACTTTAGTCTAAAAATGCTGGCTTATTTCAACCCAAATCTGAGTAAAATATTGTGCTTTAGCAGTACAGAATCATAGTACCTTTAATAATGAATAATTAAGTGTGTTAATTGGCCAATGAATGGACAGCTGTTATTTAAGCCCCTATTTCCTCTGGAACCCATGTTGTTTATGTTGGATTGAAATAAGTGTTTGTGACAATTTGCTCTGCTTGTTTTTCCTTCAGGCTAATGGATCCGCCATTATCAGCAAACGCATATCAAGAAGCCGAAGTAACATGCTTTTCTACAGCGTCCTTACAATCCCCAGCCTGAGCAAAGCAGACAAAGGACTTTACAAATGTCAAGTAACCAGTGGTCCATCCAAACGAGAGACAAACACCACAGTTATTGTCTATGGTGAGTTTTGGAAACAGTCGCAGATTAATATTATATTTACTTTTAACTTCTCTCAAACTGTTAAAAGTGGCACTGATTCCCCTCACAGTTTAACCATTGAATATCAAAAAGCAACTTAATAATTCACCAATTACTTTCAGCAGACTATTAATAACCCCATAAACTCAAACCTTTTACAGCAATGTTACAATGTATATTGAATTTTAGTGTACTATTAGGATCAATGAAATCGCTCTATTATTTTTTCACTATGTGTAAGGATCATTTGTAGCACAACCTTATTAAATGAAACAATTATTTTTAATTTTGGATGGGCACAGGAGTTGTTACTTATAAAAAATCATAATTTCAATTATATTTAAATTCATTTTTTAATTAATATGTCTGAAAAATAACTAATTTATGTGTGTGTGTGAATGAGTGTGTGTGGATGTTTCTCAGAGATGGGTTGCGTCTGGAAAGGCATCCTCTGCATAAAACATATGCTGGATAAGTTGGCAGTTCATTCCGCTGTGGCGATGCTAGATTAATAAAGGGACTAAGCCGAAAAGAAAATGAATGAATAAATGAATGAGTTAAATATATCATTTTGGTTCACTGAGGCACATTACCGAGCATAACTGAAAAACTTGACCGCCACCCACCACCCCCCGATCATCAATGAATAATTCACACCCTGTTGATAACCTTATTTCGATGAGAAATATATTTATTCTGCATAATATATTTGTATTTTAATACTCTACTAATTACGCTTCTATGAACTCATTTTTTTTAGAACTGTTGATTTTATGTACAGTATTATAGGCAAGTACATTATAAGTAACTGTAATGAAATAACCTAAAAATTAAAAGTAATCCATCACTTTTTTTGATAAGCTTAATCTAATTACAGTAACTAGTTACTTTGTAACTGATATCACACAACACAACCAATACATTAAAACACTTAGTCATGGGTGGAAAAATGTGCATACACCATAATAACAAAAGATGGATTCTAATTCAGCATTTCTGACCGTCCTATTTTCATTTTTACAGACCAGCCTTTCATTCGACTCAAGCACAGAAATGGCCCCGTCGTTCAGGCTTTTGCAGGACAGAAATCTTTCCGCCTCACTCCGAAATTAAAGGCTTTCCCTGCACCTGAAATCATCTGGTAAAAAAAGCTGTAATCTGAAGGGATCAAGAATGATGTTTTTGTTCAAAAGGAAGGGATCTCAACAGCTGAATGTGTTTTTAGGCTGAAGGATGGGATGGTGGCAGCCGAGCGATGCTCCCGTTATCATGTGGATGGGTTTTCTCTGGTTATTCGGGATGTTGCAGAAGAGGATGCAGGAATCTATACTATCCTTACTGGGATCCAGCAGTACGGGCTTTTCCAGAACCTCACCATCACACTGGTGGTAAATGGTGAGAGTCTGCTTTCATTAAACTACTTGATTGTGATTGGTTGAAAAAAAAGGGATGTGATTATTTTTAGGGAAAGACATTATCATTATTTAGTTGTTTTTTTAAAGCAGAAACGTATATAATTATTAATTATTTGTTTAACCTATTTTCTATTAAGCAGATAATATTCAGACATTTTATTAATATTCATTTAACTGATGGTTGTTCAAAGAGGACCATTAAATCAAGTGTTTATTTCGATATTTTATTTATTTTAATATTTTGCATATATTAGGCAAGACTAACGACTAATTTTAAACTAACTCACTACTTTATTAAATGTTTTATTTATTTATTTATTTTTTACAATGACTATGTGATCTGATTGTTATTTCTCTTCTCCCTGAATCCGTTCACAGTGAAGCCCCAGATTGGAGAGAAGAGCGTGTCCTCCCAACAGCCTGGAACAGTCCAGCGGGGCAGCAGACAAGCCCTCCACTGCACCTCTCATGGCGTCCCACCACCTCAAATCCAATGGCTGTGGCATCCGTGCCCTCCAAAAGGCCTGTAAGTTCACCATCCACACCAGACACTAAAATCCATGCACATGTTATTTTTCAGCATGCACTCACTTCAAAATAATACTCTAAAAATGCTAGGTTTTTGACTCAGGGACAGGGATAGTTCACCCAAAACTGATAATTTACTCAAATTACAGAATACTCAAATTACAAAATACTCAAAAAAGTTTTTTTTTAGTTCTGTTCAACACAAAATATGATATTTTGAAAAATGTTGAAAACCGGTAACCACTGACTTTCATAGTATTTGTTTTACCTACTATGGAAGTCAATGGTTACAGGTCTCCGACATTTTTCAAAATGTCCATTTTTGTGTTCCAAAAAAAAAAAAAAACTTGTAAAGGTTTGCAACCAATTGAGGGTAAAAATTGAGTACATTTTCATTGTTAGGAACTCTCTCTTTTTAAACAACATTAAAAAAACTGAACCCAACAGTTGGTTTGTCCATATTTGCAGTGGCGGTTCTAGACCAGAGTAACTGAAGGGGCCGGGCAAGGGCCACTTGTACTTATAGGGGGCACACTTTAACATACTGTACGTACATCACAAACTACTTAAACGATTGTTCGGTCATTTGTTTCATGCATCACTCTGCAGTCTACATAAACAATCTAATTAAATAGCTTAAGCTCAAAATAATCTTCCATGGTAATTTATTTGACTAGTACCTTTGTATTGTAGGATAACCAATTTTTAACATGCAAGTACATCAAGGCACACTTTTGCACCAGTAAACTTTAACAAATACAGTTGAGTTCAACTGTATCTGTTAAATACAGATACAGATACCATTCTCCACCCCCCCCCCCCCCCCGTTAATTTAAAATAATGTTTTCCAACTGATCTTTAACAAACCAAGGAAATTTTCACAGTATTTCCTATAAAACAAAAATAATTTGTCTGCAGCATAATAAGTATTATTTCTTATAGTTTGTCTTAAATAATACCAGTTTAAAAAACAAAAAAAACATTTAAGGTATGTATTATTAGCCTCCCAAAAATATTTATAATTTTTGAGTGTCTACAAAGCAGTTATACAATAATTTGACTATTTATTCTATCTTTTCTAGTTAACATAACCTAATGAAGTCTTTAAATTACACTTTAATTGTAATACAACTATCTTGCCAAATGACTAGTGAAATATTATGTCATCATTGTCACCAATAAAAAGAAAAAAAGTATTGGAAATTAGTTAAACTATTATGTTTAAAAAAATGTTGGAAACAATCAAGTGTTTGAAGACTCGTGCTTTATGTCACTACTGAAAACAAAAACGAACAAAGTCAAACAGGCACCGGCACAGATAGGGCTCAACCTGTGCAGTGCACATGCCCTTTTTTCTCTTGGATAAAAAGTGCCCCTCTAAAATGGCCGAAAGTGTCCCCTGGTCTTTAGTTTGTGATCATCCCATCCGCGGCACTTTTAACAGCAGCTGGGGTGCCGGAAAAAAACGTAAAATAACGGACATTAAATTACAGAAATTTACTGCAGAATAACGGCCGTTAAAATACAGAAAATCAATAGAATGGCCATTAAATTACAGAAATTTACAGTGGAATTATAGCCGTTAAATTACAGATAATTACCGTAGAATGGGCGTTAAATTACAGAAATTAACTGTAGAATAACAGCCGCTAAATTGCAAAAATTTACTGTTCAATAACGGACATTAAATAACAGGAATTTACCGTAGAATAACAGACGTTAATTTACAGATATTTACCATAGGATAACAGCTTCTAAATTGAAGAAATTTACTGTAGAATAACAGACGGTAAATTACAGAAATTTCCTTGAATTTAAAGTTCTGGTAAATTTCTGTAATTTACCATCTGTTTTTTTTTTTTACAATAAATTTCTGTAATTTAACAGCCGTTAAAATTATAATTTTTTTGACAGTGGGTGTCATTTTGGAACTTAACTTCTGACAAATGTAAGAAACTGATACACGCAGCACTGTCACTGATAGAAGTCAAAGAAAAGCAGAGAGCAAGTGTGCATGACACTGAGAACACGCGAGAGAAGCCTTAGTAATATCTCCACAGTCTGATCTCACTTCTTCGTAGTGTTTTAATTGTGACACAAAAATATGCATCCAAAAAAATAATGCGACCAAGCTTTTTGACATGGGGACACCGGCCCCCTGCCCCTCCTAGAACCGTCACTACATCTTTGACACAAACTCGTTTAAAAACAACCCTGCACTTTTTTATAAAAGTGAAAGCATTACAGCAAGCATCTAAATGTGAAAACATTTCCCCCCCAATGACTGACTAATCGTGTCCTCGTTGCTCTTTAGTCACATAGGAAAGGGATACAGTCAAGAATACTGGGCCAGCGCCAAACAAACCCAGTCGTTTTTTAATTTAGCATTTGATCCAGGTGAAAAAACACAGCGCTAGACAATGTCAATTTGCTAGGTTTGGATTTCCCACAACAGACTAAGTTAGATATCCTCTCCACCATTACGTAATGTCCTAAAAGCGCTCAGTTATTTCACACTGTACCTGGTCACAGTGTGTTTGATGTGTGTGTTTTTTTTAGAATGAATGCACATATGAGTGGAGACATGTCTATATTTACACACTCACACACATATGCATGCTCGACTATGTGTGTGTGTGTGTGTTTGTGAATAGAGACCTGTTTTGTCTAATTCAGCATGTGTTCAGACAGGGTTTCCTCTTAGCCTGTAGAACAGATGCTTGAGAAGGCCTTTCATGTGTGCGTCTCTATTCATTTTTTGTGTGGATGCAGACACTGGTGTGTATGGATGTGTTTGTATTTGTGTGAATGTGTGCCTGGTACAGTCACAGAACTGAATTTAACTCTCGAGTTGAAAGTGCCGAGAGAGAGAGAGAAAAGAAAACGCACTTCAAAAGAAGCCAGTTCCGTGCTTACAAGCACGATTTGTTCATTTTTCTAAATCAAACACTATGATTTAATGAACTTCCTGTGCAGAATGCTGGCTGTTTATTATTGTGATTGCTCAGACGCATCCTGCCATGCCTTCTTCAATCTCTGACACACCACATATCCACCGTTCTCATGAGAAATGTTTAGCAAGCCTTACTCACAGAAGCTTCACTCCCATATAGACACTGCAGGTCAACAGGGTAATAAGTTTTAGTCATCGTCATACTTCCTCATTTGATTGATTATGATAAGAATTACATTTTTTTAATTTGTTTAAATATGCAAATGAGACATAGTTATTTAAACATTTATTTAAATATTACACACTAATTAGAGTAGATTTCTTTCACAAAAAGCTGAAAATTGAAGTCAGGTTCACAATTTTAATTTCTTTTATGGTTATATTAGAATCAAAGGTAATCACTTTATTAGAGAAAATGCTGTGATAAGCTAGAATTGTATTACTTTTACTGTTTTTATTCATGCTTATAATTTAGAGAGATATTAAATTACACATTTAAAGATTGTGAGAAGATTTCCAAGTATTACTCTGTTGCAGTCGGGAGATCACAGTTATTAACCTTGAAAAAGCCAAAGCAGTGCAAACACTGCCAGATTACTATGGTTTAAATACAGCACTACAACACGCAAAACAGAGAGATTGACTGAGAGTATCACTTACCAGTTTTATAATGATTGCATCAGCTGTAATTTTAAATCGACGCTCAATTTTTCCTCTCCTATCACTTGATCTGTGGCCTTTGTCGACATCTTGTGGCTGAACGTCAACCCTCTTTGCTCTGCTCAATGACAGGCTGATGCCAGCTGATGTGCTGAATCTCCAAAAATAGAAATATTTTTAAAAAAAGCATAATAAACAACTACATTCTCACCTTAAAAAGCCTCACAAGTACATTATGTTGTCTAACAGCTGCAATATTTGTCCAACTGTTGTGAGTTTTTTGATCTGCTGTCACTCTTTGTGGGCAGAGTAATATACAAGGGTGAAGAGGCTCTACAAGTGCTTATATTGCAGAATATTGCATGGCTATCAGTCAATCAGATTTGAGAACCAAACAGAACTGTTGTATATATATATGTACATACAGTTAAAATCAGACTTTTTAACCCTCCTTTAAATTTATTTTCTTTTTTAAATATTTGCAAACGTTTAACAGAGCAAAGAAATTTTAACAGTAAATATTTTTTTCTTTTAGAGGAAGTCTTATTTGTTTTATTTTGGCTAGAACAAAATAATTTTAATTTTTTTAAATAATCATTTTAAGGACAAAATTATCAGCCCCTTAAAGCTAATTTTTTTCAGTAGTCTACAAAACAAACCATTGTTATACAATAATTTCCCTAATTACTCTAACCTGCCTAGTGAAAAAAAAAAATGTATAATTGTTTTAATTCTAGCCGAAAAAAACAAATAAGACTTTCTCCAGAAGAAATATTATTATCAGACATACTGTGAAATTTCCTTTCCATGTTAAACATAATTTGGGAAATGTTAAAAAAAAAAAAAAAATTCAAAAGGGGGCTAATAATTCTGACTTCAGCTATATATATAAGTTGTATATATATAAGGTTGAAATAAAAAAAGATTTAAAGTGCAACAAAAGATACAGTAGAATACATGTTTTATTTTTATAGATTTTATTATATTATTAATTTTTTTTATCAGTTTAACAAAAAAACACACCAAATGGCCCAAAATCTCGAAAGTGAGAAAGGTTTTTTGTCAGCAGTGTTTCGACTTAATGAAATCCACAACGTGTGACGCCACAGTGTGACACTGCCGTTACTACTCCAAATTTGTCCATTTTTAGGTCATGCTTCCCCTTATTGTACTGCCACCGACCGTGACATGTTAGATTGGTGATATTTTCTTGGCCTATTCTTTGAGTGCTTCCTAAAAGAACTAAAAATGAAATATCGCTGAGAGGAAAAGTCTTGTTGGCTGGAATAATGAAAAAGACTCCCTGTATGTGCCAGCCGACCTTCACTCTTGCACTCTTAAAGCGATAGTACACCCAAAAATGACAATTCTGTTTTATTCAATTAACGTAAAAAAAAAAAAAAAAAAAATATATATATATATATATATATATATATATATATATATATATATATATATATATATATATATATATTTGTTGTGCTGAAGAAAGCTTCTGTTTTAGTGTAAATTCGTACAAATATTCTTTTTTGTTAAAAATGTTTATTATTTAATATTTTTAATATTATTGTGTAATATTATTAATGGATAAAATTATTATATATTTTTTAAATAAAAATATTTTAATATTAAATAACATTATATAAAACTAATATGTTTGTTATTTAATATTTTATAATATTAAATTATTATTATTTAATATTTTTATTGTTATTTTTGGTTTTTAATTGAGTAAAAAGATTTAATTACTAAATCACACGTCTATAATGATGTTTATTAATTGCTTTTTTAGTTTTGTTGGCAAAATAAACTCTTGTCAGCTTGGCTTTTATAACCTTTTTATAAACTTATTAATATTTCAGTTTATATTTATTTTAAAATTATTTTTATATTATATTATTTCTCTATTATATTATATTAGTTTAGATATTAATCCATACTGGCTTAGAACAACAATTTTGGGCAAACATTATTTTTAAGAAATGTTTTGGTGTGTGTGTGTGTATACATAGCTTTTATTACATTTTAATTGTTCTAGTTAAAATTTAGAGAAAGAAAATGTGAGGTTTTTATATTTATATTTACTAAACAAAGTTTTTTGTATAGTTTGAGTTTCAGTTAAGGAATGTCCCTGCATATATACAAAGTTATAAAAAGTTTTATTACAACATTTTGGGTAAATTATCACTTTTGGCTTCTTTTGAAATGCTGTGGTGTTCCATATGGTTAAAAAATAATTCAGACAAAACAAAATCAATTTCTCAATTTAAATGTTGGTTGTTTTTATTTTAAACATGTTTTTTGGGTCTCCTTTTAATTAAAGACAATAGCCCTGCACAATAAGGTTTGCAACAACATTTTTGGGGCTCACATGAAATCTGCTGCCATAAATGACCTTAGAATTGGAACATTCATCATTAATAACATTTAGAAATATTTTTAAATTCATTCATGTTTAAATTGTTCCAGAAAATCCTAAAAAATGCCTGCAGATTCCATATGGGACAACATTTGCATGTTGATTTTACTGGTCAATGCATCACTTAATTGATAGCTGTGTAAAGCTTGATGATTGAAAGGTATTGTATGTACGTTCTGTTGAGAGGTCTTGACTGGCTGGACCCTGACTCAGGCCCTTATTCTTTATAGCGGCCCGGCGCGGCTGGCCTGACGCTGCGGTGGAGGAGGCCCAGGGAGAGTGGAGTTGTGGGCCGGGCTGGCCTGATAGCGGCTGGATGGGCTTGAGCTCGGCCATGGGAACAGCAGCACTCTTATCTCAGCCAGGCAGGAGGCGCAGACGGGCTTCCTGTGCGAAAAATCAGAGCGCTTTTCCTCTCGTTGTTTGGCTTCCTCCCCGACGCGAGACAGCTTCCCAGCAGCGTGATTGTCCCTCCGTCTTCAAACGTGGCACAGTCCGCTTCCTCAGGAGCTTGATCTATTCTTGAGAGTCCCTGATCCCACACACACACACTCACACACCCTCCGTCCCAATTTACCATTCCCCCTCTCTCACCTGTCAAATAACCCAACAACCGCCTCATCCAGCCACCCAAGAGACGTGACTAAAAGCATGCCATCCTACAAGGATCACACAGGACGGAGAGGTTGATTTTTCTCTGCACCCCTGGAACTACAGTTTAATTTATTCTTCTTTTTTTGTTGTTGTTGTTCAGAGACAGTTTTTTTCTGCTCTTCTACTTTCTGATCCTTCAATCCATACACTGCCTGGTGCTGCTTTTGCTTTTTGTGTTCTTGAGTGGTACTATAAAGGATGTATGAACCAAGCCTCAATCTCTAAAGCCCAGACCATCAGTTATAGTTCTAACATCCACAAAAGCTGTGAGTTCAGATGAAAATATCATGTGTCTTCTATCTTGACGTGAGCCGAGGAGGGCAGACAAAACCGAGGCTCACTATTTGGATTTCTCTCGTTTCGTTTTTTTTTCTTCTCCAGACTAGATCTGGCCCAGAATGCCTGCTGTGTAGGAGTTCTGATGAGCCAGAAATGATTGATAAACGCTCCTCCACTGGTGATGCTGTGTATTACAATCGCTTTATTTTGTGCTGAAAAAAAAAACAAAAAACGGATCCTGCCTGTTTGAATGCATGCATGCAAGTGTTTGTGTGTTGAGTGAGTAATAGTGTGTTTGTTTCTACTCTACGGGTCTCTCCCAATGTGATTCGTCCCTTTTTATACAGATTGTTTATGAGTAATATATGATTCTAATATTTAATAATTTTATACAACTAACTTACTTATTGTAAATCCTAGTAATTGCCAAATGTGTAAAGACAAAACCGCTGATAAAAATGTATTTTTAATATCTAATGTATGTGTTCATATCAAATGTATTTGTTTTTACATTAAATTTGCTTGAAATTATTTGTAAAATATGGTCTGTTTGGTTGCATATGTGACGATTTTATTGATAGCTAAAGGTGTAGCTGAAATGTTGGCAAACTTTAATGCACTGTTTCTTGATTTGATGCTTTTCTAGACAGAAAATAAAACAAGTAGATTTCATGACGGCCCACTCAAGTCAGTTCATAATACTGTACGCAGGCACACAGGTTACGTGTGAATGCAGAATGGGTGAGGATGATTGTGGTAAAACTTATGTGCAGTCTCTGTCTCTCTAGCTCTGTGTGTACGTACTGGTTTTGGTGGTTTATGAGGACACAAATTTGTTTAATGACACGAGTATCACCTTAGTATTAAACTTTTTTTAGGTAAACAAAAAAAAACTGAAGTCATAGCATTTGGGAACGGGGATAAGAGGATCTCAATTAGAACACATGCCTTAGCTCTAAGGATCAAACAACAAAAAATAAGGAGAATCTTGGTGTGATTCTGGAGTCAGATCTGAATTTTAATAGTCATGTCAAAGCAGTAAGTAAATCATCTCAAAAACACTGCAAGGATTAGATGCTTTGTTTCCAGTGAGGACAGAGAAACTTGTTCATGCTTTTATCAGCAGCAGAGCGGATTACTGTAATAGACTCCTCACTGGCCTTCCCAAAAAGACAGTCAGACAGTTGCAGCTCATCAAGAATGCTGCTGCCAAGATTCTGGCCAGAATCAGAAAATCTGAGCACATCACATCTGTCCTCAGGTCTTTATACTGGCTCCCAGTTACACTCAGAATAGATTTTAAAGTATTATTACTTGTCTATAAATCACTAAATGGCGTAGGACCTCAATACATTACAGATATGATCCCTATACAGACCTAACAGATTACTCAGATCTTTAGGATCAAATAAATCAGAAACTCCAAGGGTTCAGTCAAAGCATCAGCTACTATGCCCCCTGCTGGGAACAGCTTCCAGAAATGATCAGATGTGCTCCAACATTAGGCACGTTCTAATCAAGACTGAAAACCCATCTGTTTAGCTCTGCCTTTACGAAATGAGCATTGTGCTTCATCCAACAGATCGCACTTACAACATCTTTCTTTTTTATTAATTCTTTTATAATCTGTTTTAACACATTTTAATCTGTTTTAAATAATTTTTAACTATTTTAATAATTTTTTTTCTTGCTTCTTTCATTCCTGTTTATGAAAAATCACTTTGAATTATTATTGTGTGTAAAATGTGCTATATAAATTGCCTTGCCTAGTATTACAATGTTGAGGTGGTTTAGGAGGACATTACCTGTGTCCTGTAATTAAAAATCAGGGTAAGGCCAAATAATAAGCGTTTTTTCAAAATAAAATACTTTACGCCTATGGAGAGTCCTTGTAAACCACCAAAACCAATATGTGTGTGTGCGTTTGTGTATGAGAGAGTGATTGAGTGCCTGTTCCCGAAGAGCCGTGGGAGAGTGGACTGTGTGTTTGAGAAGTGTCATGATCAGGGTGGGACATACGAGGACAGAACACTCACTGTCTCAGCCAAATAGGAAGAGCAATCAGAGAGAGTCGTCAAAGCCAGGGAGGGGTAACAGGGCGGTGGGCACACAGTCACGGACAAATACCCATCACCACGACCCACCAGAACCTTGCCCCAGAGATTAGAGACCTTTCAGAATTGGCATGGATAAGATATAAATGCCTAGAAGTTGGTGGGCAAAAGTTCGAAACTTCGGAAGCAGGGCCTAGGATGGTTTACAGGCAGGAAAGGGAACACATCCAAACCCTACACACTGCTAATTATGGAACACTCCAAACGAGTGTCACTGTATCCTGATAGACACACACACACACACACACACACACACACACACACACACACACACACACACACACACACACACACACACACTCAGAATTCCAAAAGAAATTCCATAAGATGACTAGAGTGAAAAATGAATTCCCAAGAGACCTGAAATCGGAAGTTTCCCCTTTCGGGCTGCAGCTGCACCACACATCTGTCTTGTGACATCACTTCACTTGTGAACTGAGAGTGCTGTCGTTCTCTCTTCCTCTTTCTCGTTCTCTGTCTTCCTCTCTCTCTCTAAGATGTGAGAAGCCTCCTCCTTCGTCCTGGACTGCAGTCAGAAAGAAGACCGGAGTCACGTCCACCCACAATCCCATCTTGACTATCAGCCACAGACAGGAAGTGTTAGAAGGGAAGAATAAGGTGAGTGTTCCAGTGGGTGGACTGATCATAGGGGACATGCCAAATGATACACGAGAGGGCACACAAGAACTCCCTCGGGATTCACAAAAGCAGGTCTTCCCGTTTTGTGGAATTATGTGTTCTGCCAAATGCCTCAAGATAACTGCAATCAAGCTGCAGTTGTTTAGCTCTAGAGGTGGATAGGCAGGTGTCCTTCCTCTCTGATTACTGGAACAAGATTAAATGATTTATTATTTGGAGAATATTTAATCTTCATTCTCCCCACTTGTTCCTAAATCTGCATCCTTGTTGGTGTTGGAACAGCAATAAAATAATACAAACAAATGCAACAATAACAAATAATTTTAGAAAAGCATTGTGTTAGAGGCATGGGGGAAACAAACTGATGTCACGAATTTAGGCCCACAGAAAGACACACTGAATTCATGGCTTAAAAGCCGTTGGTTTTATCCTGTTTAGTAAAGGATCTTAACCTTAGATCTTAACCTTGTATGTATTATAGATCTTAAGATATTCCCCTCTCCCAATATCTTGATAAATACAGCAAATATTAGAATCTTCTTGTATAAGAAACTTAAAGACAGTAGAATATGACAGCATGCATGCAATTCTCTGACTCTGAATTAAGTTCCCCCATTCCTATGAAGGAAAATGTTGGTTTTATGGCCTAAATTCAATCTTGTATGGGGATGTATGTTAACCAGTATTTGTTTGTTAAACATTAGAACCTTCTTGTATAAGAAACATAGGAAACATAATCTCATGTGGTGCAATCTGCCTGGCAGAATCCATTTTTACATATTTCCATGGGAAAACGTATTGGTCTCATGGCTGAAACATTTTGAACTACCTTGAATAAGATCCTGTGGATCCATTGTTGAGAAACCTAACTGTTGGAATCAGATTGGTACTAGTTAATTAGTATTAGTAATATTAATTAGTGGGGTGACATGGTGGCTCAGTGAGTAGCACTGTCACCTCACAGCAAGAAGGTTGCTGGTTCGAGCCTCAGCTGGGTCAGTTGGCATTTCTGTGTGGAGTTTGCATGTTCTTCCTGTGTTTTCATCAAGTGCCCTACAGTCTAAAGACATGCACTATAGGTGAATTGGGTAAGCTAAATTGTCCATAGTGAATGGCGTGTGTGTGTCTTGAGGGTTAAGCATTGGGCTAATTGGGCTCATAAAAACTAGCCCATAAATGGCCCTGGGAGTAGGTATTTTGATAAAATTTAGAATCATTGTATATGTATATGTATATATATATATATATATATATATATATATATATATATATATATATATATATATATATATATATACACAGGGGGAACACAAACATTTGCTGTTAATTCTATTCTATATTGTATTGATTGATACAGTACACATTAAAACCTTCTTGTCTAAGAAATGTGAGGGAACGGAATGCGATGGAAAGCAATTCGGCTAAATCCATTTCCCATTACCATAAATATACATGATGATTTTATGGCGTAAACAAGAATGAGGAGAGAATGAAGATGAATCTCAGACAGTAAAAGTATGATAAAATATTAGAACACCCTTGTACACTACATGGCAAAAGTCTTGTAGCCTAACCAAGTTTTAGAAACAAATAATAACTTGACTTCCAGTTGATCATTTGGTATCAAAAGTGGCTTATATAAAAGGCAAATGCCTCTAGATTACGCTTATTTCATCAAAATAAAATATGATCATGTCTTGATTTTTATTTATTTCATTAGGACAGTAAGGTCTGACTTTGCTTAGACAAAAGTCTTGTCAATTGTTGCTCTTATACTGTAACTGGAATCAACGACAAGACTTTTGTCAGGTAGTATATAAGAAACATGGGGAGAATTGGGGAGAACCTCCCATTACAAGAAACAAACCATCATTCATGATAAATCATCAACCCTTAAAAGTTGTTGATTCTGTCCTAAATGAGGATGTATCTCAACTAGTAATTCTTTGATAAAAAAACAGTAAACTTCATACAGCAGACATAACAAGAACATGTTCTGATAGCAAGCGAAAAATTTTCTGAATAAGATCAGAACTGCTTAGTAGTCAGTCTGTGGCAAGACTATGGTCACTATATAAAAACCTAGGGCGACGCAGTGGCGCAGTAGGTAGTGCTGTCGCCTCACAGCAAAAAGGTCGATGGTTCGAGCTGGGTCAGTTGGCGTTTTTGTGTAAAGTTTGCATGTTCTCCCTGCGCTGGCGTAGGTTTTCTCCGGGTGCTCCGGCTCACACCACAATCCAAAGACATGTAGCACAGGTGAAATGGGTATGCTAAATTGACTCTAGTGTTTGGGTATGAATGAGTGTGTGTTGATGTTTCCCAGAGCTGGGTTGCAGCTGGAAGTGTATCCGCTGTGTAAAAACATTTGAAGGATAAGTTGGCGGTTTATTCTGCTGTGGTGACCCCAAATAAAAAAAAAGAGACTAAGCCGAAAACAAAACAAATGAATGAATATAAAAACCTAATTCTTGGCTCCGATTTTTTGGCTATGAGTAATGGAGGAAAATCGAAGGGGAAAAAATCTCCCTAGTGAAAACTTTGCCACTGTTGGTCCTTGATTGACGTTATTATCAAGAAAAGTTATCGCTGATTGAGCAAGATTAGGGTTTGAGTAGGGATTGTATTATAGCTCTGATTGTTTGATGAATGCAGTTCCTGGACCAACAATAGAAGTTGATCCAGGAACATGTCCTACTTAAGGAAATCACATGGTCTGAAACTTTCCAGCAGTGTTTTGTTTGCACCTTTGCTTGCATGCAACAGTTGTTTCTTTTTCCACAGACTGTTGGAGTTCTGACAGTTGGCGAAGCACTGGTTTCTGGCATCTATCGCTGTGTCACATCCAACATATTAGGCAGAGATGAACTAGACATTCCTTTCTATGTCACAGGTATTTATATAAGTCAACATTTTACCTTGTTCTCCATGCTCCCTTACTCCCTATCCCCTTCCCATTCTTCCTCTCATCCCGCCCTCCTCCGTCCCCTTGTTTTCGAGGGTTTGCTTTCAAGCTGTGCTAAATTCGGCCACAGTGGATGTAGCCCATCCTGACTGTTGTCATAGTGACAGGGTGGAGGAGTGAACAGGAACCTGTGGCTCTTATCAAACTGCCTCCTCGTGCACCGCATTATTTGGAGAACGCTGGTGGTGTTCGGGAAAGATAAACATTATCTTCCATCAGGAAACCCTCGAGCAGTTTCCACGGGAAATTTCAAATAGCTAAAGTAAATAGCGCGCCTTTGCACTAGCGTCTTATTGCTACTTGCACTGACAATGGCTATTCAACATTGTCATCAAAGGTTACAAAAAATGCTGCTTGGTCAACACTTCAAAATGGCCTCTCTCTGCTGTTACAAGACTTTTTGTTTCCAAAAGGACTACGTGTGCTGTTTAGTACTACTGTATCAATCCTGTCAAATTTTTGTCCTCCTACACAGATGTCAAAGAAGGCCTCGTTGCATCTTTAGTGGAAGAGCCTAGAGAGGGCGGTGACCTTCGTCTGCTATGTATAGCCAATAGGCATCTCTATTCAGACCTGTCATGGTCCAGAATAACCAGTCAAATCACAGTTTGGGATGAAGCTTCGGGTCTTGATGGGGAGCTCACGGAGGGCCAGTTCTCTCACACTCTGCACTTTGGGCTGAAGAATTTGACTGCTCGGGATTCAGGAACGTACCGCTGCTCTGCCACACACCTGCTGACAGGAGAACATATACATCTAGACACAGCAGTGGAGGTCACAGGTGTGTCTTTAAAAATCCCTAACCTCAGCATACACACACATGCTTGTATATATGGTTATATGATTTATAAGGACTCTCTGTAAAAATGTAAAAAAAAAAAAAATCTTATTATGTGTCCTTACCTGGGTAACATGGTGGCTCAGTGGTTAGCACTCACTAGTCGCTTCACAGCAAGAAAGTCACTGGTTCGAGTCCTGGCAGGGTCAGCTGGCATTTCTGTGTTGTTTGCATGTGTTCCTTGTTGTGCGTGGGTTTCCTCCAGGTGCTCCTGTTTTCCAAACAGTCCAAAGACATGCACTATATGTAAATTGAATAAAATAAATTGCCTGTAGCGTATGAGTGTGAATGAGTGTGTATGGGTGTTTCCCAGTACAGGGTTGAGGCTGCAAGGACATATGCTGTGTAAAACATATGCTGGATAAGTTGTCGGTTCATTTTGCTGTGGTAACCTTTGATGAATAAAGGGATTAAGCCAAAGAAAAATGAATGAATGAAAGAATGAATGAATGTACTTAACCTAACCCTACCCCTACCCCTAAAACCAACCCTCACAGCAATCCTGTAGAAGATTTTGAATGTCAAAAGGCCCCATTAAGTATGTTTTTTAAGCATTTTAAATTACAAGGGGGCAAGTGATGTCCTCATAAACCTACTTAATATAGTACAACTAGGTCATACCCATGTCATTATAGAATTTTGTGTCTTCATAGACCACATAAACCTGGACATACACATACACATTTGTACTGCTGTTTAGAGACTTCCCATAGATATGTTGATTTGTATACTGTACACTGACCACACAGTAAACCCCAGCTCTCACAGGAAACAATCTGCATTTTTACATTTTCAAAATGCCAAAAAAAAAGTACAAATTGTGCTGGTATTGACAACATCGGCTCATTCTGAAAACGTAGCCCTATTTACATTTCTGGTGAATCATGTAGCCAGAAGGATGTATGACTGCATTTAATTATTTTCAAATGAACGCTACAGGCGGTATGACGTCGTTCCTTTTCGCGCTTACCAGCTGACCGCTTAGCTTTGTATGGATGGCTTTCCGGCTGTTACCAGTTTAGCTCACCATGTACTGTACGTCAGTGGACTTAAGACGCAGAGAGGAGATGACCGTGACAACAGGTTTCACCGTGACAGTCCGATGAAAAATAGTTCCAGAAAACAGGTAAGACAAAAACAGAAGCCAAAAAAATTAAATAAACAAGTAAATAACAGGGTGAGAATGTGGTAAAATGTGGTAAAAATCAGACAAGAAGTGCTTTACTTTGTCTGAATTGCTTTTTAAATTTGTCAGTGGGGAATTGTGTGGGTGGGTCAGTCTGTTCTTTTAAAAACAATTGGTTGGGTTTAGGAAAGCAGGTGGGTCAGTCAGTCTGTAATTTTTAAAATACTATTGGTTGGGTTTAGGGTAGGGGGGATGGGTCAGTTGATCAGTCAGTCGGTCAGTCAAACAGTCAGTCAACAGCGGCCTCTGGTGGATTTACGAGAGAACAGCAGGCACAAATAGCACTCGCGAGAGAAATTTGAGATCTCAAAAAGCGTACACAGTGGCCTCTTTTGAATTCCCGAAAAACAAAAACTGCAAAAAAAAAAAAAAAGTACTATAGCTCCTGGGATGTATTTAGTGCTCTCCAGAAATGTATATAGAGGTACGTTTTCAGAATGAGACTACACAAGTATTCTATACACAGAATACTTGTGGAGACATTTGGTCCTCACAAAGTAAGGGATACCAGGTACACACTCACACACACATTCTCTCATTAAAAGAATAGATTATCTCAATATGAACATTCTGTCTGATCTAATCCTCTTTTAATCTCCTTCATGTTGCTCCTGACCTGGAAAATGTTTCATTGTAACCAAACTATCTAATGCCAAAAAATGGCACTGTAGTCTATATGTATTATCGTTGTTGTGTTTAGAGAAATAATGACAAACTCTTTTAAGACTATTATTACCCATTAACAATATTAACAACAGAATGCTCAATGCATATATAGTAGTAAATATTTAGGACTTTTGTAATCATCAAAAAAATTAATCACATTTCCATAATTTCTGTGAAGTACAATTATTCAATAAATGCCAGTATTATCAGTATAGTTACATCATATGCAAGCAGATCAGAAACCGTGGGATACTCAGGGTAAGAACACATCAACCACAGTCACTTCTCCCAATCATAAGTTACTCATCTCTTAAATAGTGACTCTGAGTCCCATAAGGATGTGCTTGCAGACACCCACACATTTAAAAACAGATGCGGAAAGAGAAACAAAGAGAGAAGGAGAGAGACAGAGCAAAAGGGGTCCTTGGGAACTGGGTCCCTTAGCTTCCTGTAGCCCTTCTCTCCAAGGCTGAGCAAAGCAGGACCTCTTTGGTGTGGGAATGAGATCTAGTTAGGAGGAAGAGCACACAATGGCACTTCCCACCATGCCACATTTACAGGCTGCTTCACATGGCCGAAGAACAATCAGCCAATCAGCCACTGTCACAGAATGAGGAAAGAGACAATAATCAATTGTGTCCTGGAGGACAATATCTGAAACAGAAGTCAGATTATGATTCCTCTCCTTTATGTAATCGAGTTTCATGTAAAGTGTATTGCTATTCTTTTAAATTCATCTATATAAATTGACACTACAGTATGTACACTACATACAACAGTGTAAACCAAAGCAATAGTACGCATCCTTGGCCGACTAACCCGGAAATATTGCTATTGAGTCCACAAAAAGCTGAATGTGTCATTGAGACAAACAGGGATTTTGCTGAATGGCACCAATCCAATGGCTGCAATTCAAACATTCCAGGCCTCAATCTGTAATGAAAGAAATACAGCTCACAGTCTATTCACACTTCTAACAATGGCAAACCACGTCGCCTGTAAATCATTCAGCTGCTTTATAAGGCGGATATGTCATACTAATGCAAATACTTCTGGGACATTTCTACTCACTAGTTGACAGGTCATAATAATGACGTCAGATGTGTTCAAGTCACTTTCGTTGATACAAGATGGCGTACCGACTTTTGATAAATTACAAAAAATACAAAAAGCAGGGTTTGTTAACTCTGCTTATAGACCTTTAACTTCAAGTGCAAAATTTCCCAGAATTTTCCCAAAAATGTATGCGTAAGTAAGATGCTTCGAACTTTCGGTCAACAGCTTGATGCCTATACACAGTCACATTCGGACAGTTTTAAAATGATAGGTAAAATATTTCTTACTTGCTTTTAACTTCTTTGAACTAATAATGCTGTCGGTCAGCGCCACCTCCTGGACTGATTATTTTAAAATGTGATCTAATACACTGTAAAACCCAAAAAGTTAGGGTAACTCAAACCATTTAGTATAATAAACTGACTGCAACAAACCATTTAAGTTCAAAAACTAATCCTAATGAGTACTGTGAACTTAATCCATTTGAGTAAACGAAGCAATTTGAGCACAGTAAAACCTTATAAATGAAGAAAACTCCAACCAACTGAGTATTGTAAAACCAAATACGTTATGGCAACTCAAACCGTTTGAGGAAACCGATTGCACCAAACCATTTGAGTTAAAAAAAACTAAATCTTTATGAGTACTGTGAACTTACTCCATTTGAGATGAAGTAATGAGGTATTAATTAAGAGTTCAAAATTCTTTTTAAATGAGAAGAATTAACTTACAATCAATGTAAAATCAATTATAAGTTAACTACTCTCATTTCATTTGATAAAGTGGGCTGTTGGATTTTACAGTGTAGGATTGAAAAACAACATTTGTGAGTCATTTACCCTTACCCTCAGACGGCATCTTGTGCCATTAAAAATGGACCCTCATCATCGCAAAAGGGATCATTTTCTCTCTTATTTTCAAAAATATAACCTACTCAAACAAATGTAATTTGCCAAAATGTTTGACACACACACACTTATTGTCCCACTGCATCTTTGAACTGAAAGACTGGAACAGTGAAAATAATGTGGCATTTTGAAATAAAAGAAAAAACATACAATGATAAATCCTAAACAAACTAAATGAAACATAAACTGCTCCTGATCAGAATCAACATGGAAATCAGCCATTAGAGTATCCATAACATACCTTAATTTTTTGAATGGCTTACTGTTACACACCTATTAAGTTTCCTGCCAGTAATATCGTTTGCTCTTTAATGCAGTGATCTATTGTGTGTGTGTCTGTGTGTGTGTGTGTGTGTGTGTGTGTGTGTGTGTGTGTGTGTGTGTGTGTGTGTGTGTGTGTGTGTGTGTGTGTGCGCGCGTGCGTGCGTGTGTGTGTGTGTGTGTGTATGTGTGTGTGTGTGTGCATTGAAGAGCTCCTGATTACAGTATAACAGCTGACAGGTCGGGAACACACACTGTATTTCAGCATGTTATCTAACAGCAGACAGTGAATTAGGAACGTTTTTCTCCTGCGCTAAAACTGCATCTGACAGAAGCGTAATGGTTTTAACACGACTTTCAAAATCAAAGTTGTGGATCACAAAAACACTCCATAAGTCACTCAAAACGGTATTGGCACATATTTTCGGATCAAGATTTACCAGTTGTAAACACTGTAATCAGAAGTTCTAAGCATCCTATCTTAAGACGCTGCTCACAATGGTGCCTGCCATGTTGCAATGAAGAAAAAGGTCTTTCGAAAATAAAGAGCAAAGAATTTGCAACAACGTCTTGTCACGGGCATTCCACAAGAGTTGACTTGAATTTCACCCAATGATCTTTAAGATATATAATGGTGTATATAGTAATCAATATTTGAACTGGATCAAATACATTTTATTTTAATGGTCCTAGAAAAGAATGGATGTTCAATAGTTTTAGGACTCCTCTGATTGGTTTTAAACCATTTCAAATGTTGACTACTGTATATCACTTTCTATTATAGTTCAGTGATTTCACCATGTTTCCCACTGATGCCCCAACCTGGAAAATTAGGGCTTAAAGAAAATTGAGCTTCCCACTCATAATAACGACTTTGTGGTTCAGTTCGTGTGCATTTTACTTAAAATACTGTTTGTCCGAAATGAATCTACAAAAAGTGCCTCATGTCAAAAGTCCCCGTTAAGTATGTTTTTAAGCATTTTTAACTACACAGACACAAGGCATAAAGCAACGTAATATAGTACAACTAGGTCATAAGCATGTCATTTATTCATTTTATTTTCAGCTTAGTCCCTTTATTAATCTGGGGTCGCCACAGCGGATTGAACCGCCAACTTATCTAGCAAATGTTTTATGCAGAGGAGGCCCTTCCATCTGCAACCCATCACTTGGAAACATACCCATGTCATTATGCAATTTTGTGTCCTCATAAACCACACAAACCTGCACACACTTGTATGCACAAGTGCACACATTTGCTCAGGTGTTCACGAGTTCAGATGTTTAAGAGGATCATGCATAATAACCCCTCTCTCTCTCACACTGTACAGTTCTGCAGGCGCCGGTGCTGCTTGGAAATCTAAGTGATCATACTGTTAATGTAAGCAACTCTATCACTCTCCACTGCCCTGCTCGGGGAGTGCCACAGCCACACATAACATGGTATAAGAACCAAAGGAAGCTCCAGCAGGTGTCTGGTGAGACTAGGAAGTGTACTTTTTAAATGTTTATTTGCTGTATAAAAATATAATGCATACATGTTCATGTTATTGACAGGAATCATGCTGTTTCCAGAGGAAGGGACTCTTCACATTGACCGAATTACAGTTGAAGACCAGGGATTTTATACCTGTCAAGCCACCAATCAGAGGGGGTCTGTGGAGAGCTCCGCCTACATTTGGGTTCAAAGTAAGTTGGCTTGAGTGTGTGTTCACACTTGGAAAGTTTGGTTGAATTAAAACTCAGGGGAAATTGCTTTGTTAGTGTAGTTCATTTTATTAAAGGTGCCATACACTGCATTGGTTCAATAAGTTAAATTGTTCTCTGATATCTAAATAGTATGCATATGGCTTAGCTAAGCAAAAAAAAGTTTTCATTTATTACTCCATAAAATACCCATAGAATCACAAGATCCATAATTGATCCTCTGTATAAATGTATAATCTTTAAATCTTGCATTTTGAATGCTGAAAGGAGTTCTAACGTTGTCTCATGTAATCATTGCTCAATAATGCATAGCAAACAATATGGGTCTGCCATTTTCAATATGAACTTAAAAATAACTATGGGAGGAAAATGATCATTGTTGTCTGGAAATGCTGTGGCTGATCAAATGCATTCAGAAGTGTGCATAGTAATAATTCCAGACATATAAGTCTGTGTTCTCCTGATGACACATCAAGACTCCTGCTTGTCAGGTCAGAATGAATGACCTAAAGTACATACCAATGATGAGGGTATGCCCCGTGAGTCACGCAACACTCTGCTTTGTGTTTTGATTGGCCTTTTGTTGAATTTACACTCATGGTTTTACTTACTGTAAGAATGAGGAAACAGTTGTGTCTCAGGGTCACAGTATTCCAATTTCCAATTACTAACCTTTTATTTTTCGATTATGCCTAGGTTGATTTCTGCTACTCTGATTTTCTTTGAGGGGCACCTTTAAATGTGTGTGTGGGGGGGTCGTGGTTGGTGTGGTGGTTCCAAGGTTGCTAGGCGACCATCAACCATTTTCTCAGAGGATGACAAGCTGACAAAACATTGCTGTCACTCTGATGCAAGTTTTACTTATGGAGAAAGTTACAAAGCACTAGGCTGTTCTGTGTTTGTCTGAGATAATTTGTCTACTGAAATGTGTATAGTCCATACAAGCTGAAGCTGATCGGTCAGTTTCGCAGTGCGCTCCCGGCATTTATTCAACTGTGTGCATCTGGAAGGCGCGTGCGCATCACGCCTCTTGTGCTTACAACTCGCACACATCCACTGGAAATAGCAAAATTGCGCAAACTCGACCCGATATGTGAATGGCCCATAAAAGGCCGCTGTCATTTGCGATCTCCAGCAGTTAATCTTCTTGCATAGACATGGTGGATTCACCTGATTTGTTCACAAATGGGTTGCGGATCCATTTCTTGGCAGTTTGTGGGTCCTTCACTGGGCCTTTTCCCCTTTGCAAAGAAACTTTCCAAAGACGTCTGTTTCTTACTCATTTTGCTGATTGTGGGTTAAATTTGGGTGCTAAAGTGACCGAGATTCAAAATAAAAGATCATTCAGACTCAGATGATAAATAAAACGGGAATAATTAATGATTTCTTGTGCGGCCGGTATCAATTGATCCACAAACCAGTACCAGTCAGCAGCCCAGTAGTTGAAGACCACTGAATTAGGGCACTGCTAAAGACAGGGATTAGCTCGATTCATCACAGATTGGGGGGCACATGAGAAAGTCTTCAATCTAGAACATTAAAACTGGAATTTATAAACAGCAGAACTATTTTTTATATATATTAATTTTACAAAGATTTTAAAAGTACACTATAGCTAAAACAATTTGATTGTTTCATTTACCAGCAACATTTCAACCATTAAACAATTGTTAAATATATGTTTGCTAGATTGTTCCTAACTTGTCTAGCTATGTTTACTCATGTAAAAAATAAAAACTAAAATAAACTGATTCGTTTTAGAAAATCGTCTTTCGTTTGTCGTTATGTTTTATGATTTGGTTCACACGATTAATGTTTTACGCTCCTGAACTCCCACTTCAGAACTTCCACCCTGATCAGTGCTTGGATTACTGAACAAGGGAACTGATTGAGGCGCACCCTATGGTGTTGTTCATCTGACATATCGACACAATGTTAACCAAACACAGCACATGATGTCACAAGATGCGACCATAAAAAGGATAGAATGCTTCAGTTGGTAACCCATTGCTATAATGTTAGCATGTAAATATTAAAAAAACAACTTTACCATGTGCTGATATATGATTTTTTTTTATCATAATTTCTTTGGATTTACTAGATTTGTTAGATATAGTAAACATTTTGTATTTATTTTAATATATGAAGGTCTGACTTTTCCTCCCAATTTAAAATGAAAATACATGTTTTCTTTCAGAAAGTAAGAAGAATGGCAAATGTTTTTATTCACATAAGTTTTCAAGATGTTATTTCACCAAAAATATGTCTAGAAAAGATCATTATTAACATGTTAGAAAACATGGCACCTTTTTTGTTATCGTTTGATACAAAAGCTTCTTTAAATTACACCATTTTTAGTGTTTTTTCTCACACTCCCCTATTTAGTCTAGTCAGATGCTTCTAAACTGAGTGCTGAGAGGAGACGTTCATGCTGTTCTCTTCCGAAAGGGTCAGGAAGGAAACTGTCTCCCATTTTCATTTCCCACAGATGGCCTTGGCTTTTCAACCCTTAAACTGTTTACCTATTTCTATGTGGGTTCATTTGTTTAGCTATTTCTATAGAGGCTGATGCATAACTCACAACCTCTATAGGGAGTTGTCAAGCTCATGGGGACAAATCTAATCTGGGTCATGTCCCAGTCTCTCTTTTTTCTTTTGTGACAACACTTATTTATGTGTCCTATAGATTCGTCTGAATCCCTTTCTCTGGAGATCCCGACCCTAGCATGTACGTGTGTTGTGGCCACACTCTTCTGGCTGCTTCTCACACTGCTGATTCGGAAACTCAAACATGTGAGGGCCAATAAAATCATACATTGTATGGCTATATTTCTGTATTGTGTAATATATAACTGTATTGTCTGGCTCATTCTCAGCCAAACTCTGATAATGGCAAAGCAGAGTACCTGCCGATCATCTTGCACCCAGGGGAGGAGCCTCTGGTCGAGCACTGTGATAGGCTACAATATGACCCCGCAAAATGGGAGTTTCCACGGGACCGCCTTAAACTGGGTACATTGTGTGTATGTGTGTGTTTAAGTTGTTTTGATGCTCTTGTGCAGTATACTGATATGCAGTTTATTATGCTGTTTTCCAGAAAAGCCCCTGGGGCGCGGAGCATTTGGGCGAGTGATGCAGGCCTCAGCTGTTGGCATTGGCAATTCAGCCAGCTGCACCACAGTAGCTGTGAAAATGCTTAAAGGTATATTCTAAGACATGAAAACAGCTGCTCACACAATCTGATGAAAATACAGGTAGCCTACTGTTTGGCTAGAAGTATGCAAAGAAGACGTCTTTGATGTAAAATCTGACTTTAAACGTGTTTCTTTAGAGCAGGGATGCCCAAACTTCTAAACTGCCTAAACTTGATTGAGGGCTGTGGGTTGTGGGTTGAATATATACCAAAACTTATAACAATAAATTTGCCAAGGGGAATTTCCTAACTAGAAAACGATGCTTTAAATCCTAATAACTTATTACAGTAAAACATGAACAATTTCATTTGTAACACAATGGAGTTCAGTGCTGAATAAACTAGTCAAGCTGCTCCTGTCTTCACCTTGTTTTGCTCATAGATGACTTGTGCATTGTCCTCTGTCTGGCAAGTGACAGTATTTACATTTTAAAAGTCTGATTCATTTACAACATTTAATTGAATCATTTAATTTCACTTGGCTTATTTTGTTGTTCAGCAATAAAAGAAAGAAAAGGTTCAATTCGAAGTTGCGATCTCTGTCAAAGGCATTCACTTCAACCCACTCCATCACTCTCACTGTCTTTTCAGATGGAATGGTGGGCCAAATCAAAGATTACCATGGACCAACTTTGGCCCGCGGGTCCTACTTTGGGCATGTCTGATTTAGAACGTGTAGTAAAAACTACATTAAAGCACTTATTTAAAAAAAAAAGAGTACATCTAAATGAAGACTCCTTATTTTGAGCTGACAATTTTTAATATGATTCTTTAGTATTTTTAGCACTCGTAGGTTGGCTGTTGAGGCACAAACACAAATTTACACTATATTGAGGTGACAGCAGGGGCATAGCCATCATTTCCAGCCATGTGTCTGTGTATATGTGTGTATGGTTGTAGGGAAGGTGGGGAGTCCAGTGTTTTTTTTTTTTTGTTATACACGTATTTTTTTTTACCTTTTTGTTTAATATGCTTTTTAAAATTATTATATATAGATGAAATAAATAATTATATATTCTTTACTGAATATTACAGTAAAGCATAAAAAATTGCACTGCATCTCAATAGACTTATTTGCAATTTTTCTACACGCAGTCTCCATGTAATCACCTTAAAATATTAAACAAGCTACTGAACAAGAAAACAATGATCTGCTATAACAATTGCTTTCATGAGGTGGTTAAAATATGTTTAAGCTCTATTTTAAATGAGTAATTACAAAGACAGTTTATCGGTTATACCTGGGCGAAGTTGAATTTTTGTCGTGCACATTTGGATCGTCTTTGTTTAAAAATGCTCTCAAATGGAGTATATTTTGAGAGACTGTGCGGTAGCTGAGCAAACTAAAATATACTTTGTTCTTTACTGTCAGGATTATGTGTGTGTGTGTTGTACCTGCAGATGGCGCTACTCCCAGTGAACACAAGGCTCTAATGACAGAACTGAAGATTCTCAATCATATAGGTCACCACATCAATGTGGTCAATCTCCTCGGCGCATGTACCAAATCAGGAGGTCTGTATGTTGCCATTCCTCTGTAAAAAATGTAAAATATAAAAATAAAAGATACAATAAAAATTTAGTTTTCACTGAAATATATTTTAGACTTAAATGTTAAATTTTATTTGCTAATTTAGTAAGTTTGACAATTATGTAATTATGTTGTTTGGTTAGATTTATATTATATCTTTTAATCTTTATTTATCAGAATATGCTATTACAAAAAAAATAAGCAAATAGGCATAGTTGACATCAACAAACATTTCTTGATCATCAAATCAACATATTTTATTTTAATATTATCATTTTAATCATTTCTTTGGATAAAATGAAAAAGTTTTATATTAAAAATTTGTTTGTTTTTAGACCTTAAATTTTGAAGAAAGCTTGCATATATTTTAAGCATATTTAATTTTTCAATTTGTGCAAATTATATTTTTTCAGTTTTTTCTTCAAATAAATAATAATATCCTTGTTTAAACATTTGAAGGCACACTACAAACACATGAACCTATTCATTGAAAAAAATATATATTTTTTTTGTTGTTGTTTCCAGGGCCGTTGATGGTCATTGTTGAATACTGCCAGTTTGGCAACCTGTCTGCATACCTCAAGAGTAAACGAGAAGTGTTCCTGTTGAATAGGGTTAGACTGTTATTCTGTCTGTAATATCTATCTATCTCTCTATCTCTCTATCTATCTATCTATCTATCTATCTATCTATCTATCTATCTATCTATCTATCTATCTATCTATCTATCTATCTATCTATCTATCTATCTATCTATCTATCTATCTATCTATCTATCTATCTATCTATCTATCTATATATCTATCTATCTATCTATCTCAGTCTGTTTGATTGTCTGTCTGTCTGTCTGTCTGTCTGTCTCTCTGTCTCTCTAAAACAATATTACTTTTGCAGGAATTTATATTACAGTTTTTCTCAGTGGCTTTGGTGCATTTCTCACAACACTATTATATTTGCACAACAGTTAATGCATTTCTCAAAACTCTAAAAACACTGTTATTACAAACTGCAAAACCTAGTTGATAACCTGCAAAAGTCACTGCGTGTCACTTGCTCAAATTGGATAGCTCATTCCTCAAAAGCAAGTATTGATGTCAATGAAAGTGTAAGTTTCATTAAGATGAAACATCCTGTCAACATTGTTTATGAACAAGATAGACAAATGGCTTTGTCATGTTTTCATTATGACAGTTTACTCTGGACGTTTTTTCAATGCAAAAAAGTCAGATTTTGGTGACACTTCCTGAAAATGCTCTAGACAGCACTATATACTATTTGCACAGTCATTTGAAAACTACAGTAAAGTTAGACATCACTGCATAGTGTGGTATCTAAGTACAAGACACTGAATATGTATGTTTCACATTTTTACTGCATATACTCTTTGCCATTCTAATTTATTCACAACAGTGTACAAAAGAATATGTACACCCTCATTTACAATAAACATAAATGCCCTTTGGGTAGAGCTGTGCACAACTGGTAACAATATTGCAGTACATATTGGAACTGAACCAACAACATTTATAGGTCTGTAAATCATTTATGAAAATGTTCAATTTAGAAGACATTTTCTGGAGAAAAAAAAAAGATTTTAATTTTTTTTTTATAAAATTTGCTTGATAGATTTTGACAACTAATTCAACATTTTTGTTTGTAATGACTCGAGTAATGAAACGAGGACTATTAGTTTTATATGGAATGACTATTCAGCATTCACAAGTTGTATGAAAGCAACTGATACATGTCCAACAGCATTTGCAATTTGTTGGAAGGAATGAGAAACTGCTACTATGATGTCCACAAATGACTAAGTGTTTTGAGAAATGCATTAACTGTTGTGCAAATGTAAATAGTGTTGTGAGAAATGCACCAAAGCCACTGAGAAAAACTGTACTTTTGGCAGGATGTCACTCATCACATCTTCTAAAAGGTCACAGTATTTTAAGCTGGTTTGTGGTATTTTGAAGTTTTATAACCTCTCTATAAATGTCAGCTGTCAAGTTTATTGTCTTGTCTCATTTCCTTCTCTAATGAAGAGACTTGTGATTACAAAGACAACACTGTTTGAAAGTCTCTACGATAGCTCTCCTCTTTTAATGGCCTCCAAAGATGTCTAGTGTAATAAAGTGTAGTTTATTGAAGTCAGAATTATTAGCCCCCTGTTTTATTTCTTTATTTCTATCACTAGTGAATAAAAAAACAGTTGTTCATTGTTTTCATTGTTAGTTCAAGTTAACTCCTGATGCATAAACTAATGTTAACAAGCATGAATTTGGATAATGCAATATAATAATAATGCAATATACTTTGTTCATGGTAGTAAATACATTAATTAATGTCAACTAGTAAAACCATGTTGTAAAGTGTGACCATAATGTTTGTATAATGTCACTAGATATGTTCCAGTCGACTGGATGCTCATTTCTTGTGTCTTGTTTGACTCAGGTGAACAAAGAAGAGGAAGGAGTGATGAAGGAGGGATGTAAAGGACGGTTGACGAGTGTGTCCAGCAGACAGAGCAATGCCAGTTCAGGCTTTAGTGAGGAGAGAGGAGAAATCTCAGAGGAGGACAGCGGTGAGCTTACAGCACATACAGAAATAATATATATATTTAAAAAATTGCTCAGGAGTCAATACAGCATCCAGTTCACTCATCTGATAATTGAAAAATATAATAATTATCCTTATTAAGTGTTTTAAAGTTAGGGACAGTATTTTTTAAAATTGTTTTATTAAGCAAGGATGTAAATTGACAATAATTAAAAGCATTTATTTAAATTTCATTCTGTTAGTCAATGATTTCTGCAAAAATATCTATAAAATTGATTAGCCACATACCTTATGAAATGTTTTCCTATGTGATATTCAAAACTGGAGCAATGAGGCTAAAATGATTGCACCTATTGCACTCACATTTAGAGAAACCGAAAAGTCGAGTAAAAATCATTTTTCTTGATTTCTCATCTGCTTTTAATTGTAGTTCTCCTAGCATGTTAGCTGCTACACTTGCAAAATAATTTTATCACACGACAAAATGATTGCCAGGCTGGCCGATTTTCTTTGCTCTAGAATCCAACAGGTTAAAATGAGTTCATTAGGAGATCCTCAGGATTGTGTTTTATCTCCGTTATTATTTATTTTATACTCAAATTCTTGTATAAGTTCATTTAAAAATAGACATATTGTGAAGTATGCAGATGATACCGCTTGGCTTTGGTGAGCCTTTTAAATGAAGAGGAAGAACACCCTGCTCTTGACTTTTTAGAAAATTCAAACCTTCTCCTAAACACTCCTAAGGAGATGGTTATTGATTTTAGAGAGAGAACACAGCAGATTAGTGAGGAGATCCCACATTAATTAATGGGTATATAATTCAGTTAATTATAAATATTTAGGTGTGATGTTGGACAATAACCTTAAGTGGGATGTATGGACTGATTGTATAAGGAAAAAGCTTCAACAGAGAATTAATGTTGACAAGTCATTGTTGATCATGTGTTATAGTGCTTTTATTGAAGGTATTGCAACATTTTGTGTAATCTGTTGGTATGGAGGCCCAGAAGAGATCACTGAAGAGATAGGTAACAACAGCCAGTAAATTGTTTAGAATAAAACTAAAAAGTATTGAGAGTATATTTAAAGAAATAGTATTAAATAAGGCTATTATTATTGCCAATGATGAATCACATGAATAAATAAAATTAGGAAAATATATTAATTGTTTTAAATAAAATATGTCTAAAGTAGATTTGATCAACTGAATGCAATTTTTGTAATTTTTAAATACATCTTTCTAAAATCACAACCAAATTTCAAACCTTTTTATAATTTCTTCTGTTTATCTAAATGATTAAAATATTGCAAAAAAAAAAAAATCACCTTCAGTTTTGGCATGAAGAATGTAATAAGGTTAACATTAATTTATTTTCCTTCAACATAGTCCTTTATTTATCAGGGGTCGCCACAGCGGAATGAACTCCCAACTATTTCAGCATATGTTTTACACAGCGGAAGAGAAACACCCTTACACTCTAACATTCACACACACACACACTCATACTCTACAGCCAATTTAGTTTATTCAGTTCACCTGTACTGCATGTCTTTGGACTGTGGGGGAAACCAGAGCACCCGGAGGAAACCATTGCGAACATGGGGAGAACATGCAAACTCTACACAGAACTGCCAACTGGTCCAGCCAGGACTCAAACCAGCAAGCTTTTTGCTGTGCTAAACACTGAGACACCGTGCCACCAACAAATGAATACTTGTTGTTTATTTATTATGAGCTGATCTGACCTTTTAAAATCTAAAAACCTCCTCTCTATCCCCAGACTGTCTTTCTGAACTGAGCGACCCTCTTCTTCTTGAAGATTTGATTTCTTACAGCTTTCAGGTGGCCAGAGGTATGGAGTTTCTCGCCTCTCGCAAGGTAAAGTATCTTCCTCTCTGTGCACGTTTATGTAAATATGACTTGAATCTTAAGATTTTTGGTGATTTTTCAGTGCATCCATCGTGACCTTGCAGCCAGAAACATCCTGCTCTCCAACAACAACGTGGTGAAGATCTGCGATTTTGGCTTGGCCCGAGACTTGTACAAAGACCCTGACTATGTGCGGAACGGAGATGTGAGTGAACTGCTGTAGATAAATCAAAAGGTAATGAAATAAAAGAACTCTAAATGAATTGAGTTGTTTTTATTCGGCATGCAGGCACGCTTACCGCTGAAGTGGATGGCTCCAGAATCGATCTTCGATAAAGTGTTCACCACTCAGAGTGACGTGTGGTCATATGGAGTCCTGCTCTGGGAGATCTTCTCCCTCGGTGAGGACAATACTCGATCAGCATTTTCCTGTCAGAGTTGTTTTTTTTTCAATACGCAATCCCTTTGAAATATGCCACAATAGAACAATTGACCTTTGTCCTTCTGGCAGGTCTTTGCAAGAGTATGAAAGTGAGGAAAACTCATTAGGAAACATGAAAGTGAAGCTGCATGAAAGTGATGAAAACAAGAACCGACACATCAGAAATATAATAAAAATAACACAATGGAGCAGTATTGCTGATCAACAAAAACACTGAGGATAAAGCAGAATCTACTTTATTGGTCAGCTTTACAGAGCCCTTGGCACAATTTAAATGTCATATAGTTTTAATATCATCACTAGTGTCATTAAAAACCTGAAACATTTGAAGATTTGATTGAATTAACGCTTGAAAATGTATAAACCGCTATATTAGGTGATCTCTGTTAAATATGGTTCTATGTGTATCTAGAGACATTTTGTCTTATTAATGCGGTTCTTCAGCCAAAAATGAATCTTTGCTGTTAAGTTACTCACCCTCAGGTCATGCATTCATTTAAACACAAAATGATAAGCCCTCATGTCATTTTTTCTTTAACTTCTTTTTCAAATATTTGTGATAAAAGTGCAAATATAATTTATAATTAATGAAAATATAATTCATGAAATAATTTTTTCAACACATTTTAAACATAACATCTTTAAGAACTAATGTCTAATAACTCATTTGTTTTGCCTTTGCAATATTATGCAAATTTTGCAATAATCTATGACAGTACGTTTTACCATTTAAAGGCTTAACTGAGTTAATTAGGTTAATAATACACACCATATCACCCTGCAGCCCAAGACTCACTAAAGCTAAGCAGGGCAGAGCCTGGCCAGTACCTGGATGGGAGACCAAATGAGAAAACTGGGTTGCTGTTGGAAGTGGTGTTAGTGGGGCCAGCAGGGGGCGGTCTGTGTGAGCCGTAATGCCTCAGAATAGTGAATGGGACATTCATTTTTCGAATGAGACAATAAACTGAGTTCCTGACTCTCTGTGGTCATTAAAAATCCCATGGCACTTCTCGTAAAGAGTAGGGGTGTATCCCCGGTGTCCTGGCCAAATCCCTTCATTGACCCTTACCTATCTTGTCTCCAAAACATCCCCATCTACTGAATTGGCTCTATCACTGTCTCTCCACTCCACCAATAGCTGGTGTGTGGTGAGCACACTGGCTCCGTTGTTCTGTGGCTGCCGGCGCATCATTCAAGTGGATGCAGCACACTGGTGGTGGTGTAGAGACCCCACCCTTTCATGATTGTAAAGTGCTTTCAGTGTAAGTCATACACCATAAATGCACTATATAAATACACATTACAAGTCACTGGACAAGTCATTTTTTGAAATTATTGTTATTTTAATCCTGCCAAACTAAAAAAATAAGACTTTCTCCTGATGAAAATATATAATAGGCATAAAATGCAAGGCACCTGCTACAAGCACTTTATTATACTGTTGAAACAAAATCAATGTGCATCACTACTGGTGATACATTGAGTTTTTATTGTGCCAAATGAAAATCTTCTTGTTTGGGTGAAGTATTCCTTTTGAAACTGCAGCGAGTTCCTCCCACTGATGGAAAATGTTGCATTTATTACTTTACACACTTTTAAAACCAAATCTTGTCACAAATTTATCTTTGGAAAGGTTTTAATTCACGACTCCAAGTTTGGTCATGGTTTTGTGACATTGTAACATCATGTACTATCAATTTGTGACTGGACAGGATGGCACATGGTGGCTATTTTTGATAAAGCACCCAAACAAAATCTCACTTTCATACATTCATTTTCTTTTCGGCTTAGTCCCTTTTTTAATCTGAGGTTGCCACAGAGGTATGAACCGCCAATTTATCAAGCATATTTTTTATGCAGCTCATTCACACACATATGGACAATATAGCTTACCAAATTCACCTATTTTAGATATCACCTAACACATGTTTTTGGACTTGTGAGGAAAACCCGAGCACCCACATAATCTCACTTTTGTAATACCAAATTCAAATTTGGAAGATAACTTTTTTAGACATATCACTTTGATTTTCTAATCATTTTAGTGAATATTTTATTTAATCAAATATATATGATGACGTATAATATATAAGAACATAAAATATAACATCTTTATAATGCTTTTGCTTTACAGTTAACTTTTTTTTCTTTTTCATGCTTCCTTTTTTAATGCTTTCACTTCTGCAATAATCCACTGAGTGCCTTTTTAAAAATAAATAGGTTGCCAATAAATTATTGTTTATGTGAGGTGACCGTTAACTTCTTAAAAGCCATTTAAAGCCACAGATACAAGTTAAATACATCTTAGAAAGACGACACCAGTAGCCTAGGGGTTAGTGTGCCAACATATGATGGCTTCAATGTGCTTTTGGGCATCTCAAGTTCCAATCTCACTTCAAGGACCTTTCCCGTTCACTTCACTTCCTGTGCAGTATACTGTTCTAGCAATAAAGGCAAAATGTCAAATAAATACATATTTAAAGCATCAGATTTCACATAACATTATCATTGATGCTTATATGGTTATATATTTATTATTATCATACTTTTGAGAACAGTCATATTTACATGATATGGTGTTTTGTGCTCTACAGGAGCGTCCCCATACCCAGGACTCAACATGGATGAGGAGTTCTGCCGCAGACTGAAGCACGGCACTCGGATGTGTTCTCCTCAATACAGCACACCAGAGATGTCAGTGTGTGTGTGTGTGTGTGTGTGTGTGTGTGTGTGTGTGTGTGTGTGTGTGTGTGTGTGTGTGTGTGTGTGTGTGTGTGTGTGTGTGTGTGTGTGTGTGTGTGTGTGTGTGTGTGTGTGTGTGTGTGTGTGTGTGTGTGTGTGTGTGTGTGTGTGTGTGTGCTTGCGTGCGTACGTGCGTGTGTGTGTTCATTTAATTCATCCAGTACATGACAATAATGAGTGTGTCTGACTTGTGCGACAGTTACAGCATCATGTGTGCATGCTGGGAAAACAACCCCGAGGACAGACCTTCATTCACTACTCTAGTGGAGATACTGGGAGACCTTCTGCAGACCTGCGTCCAACAGGTCAGACATTATATACACAATTAAAACAAAACATAAATAAAAACCTCAAGCCATTAAAATCAAAAGGATGTAATGTTTACGCACACCAAAACCTCTTAATTCAGTCAAATGTTTATAATCTTTCAAAATAATGCACAGAAAGAGCTATTACTTTAAAATCAAAAGTTACTTTAAAATTACTTTAAAATTACTTTAAAGTCGTTCATTCAAACTGTAGACTTCATAGTCAGATCTGTAGTCTAGTGTCAAATTTACTTTGTTTTCAAACGGTCATAATAGTGTGATTTTATTGTCCTCATCTGTTCATGTGATGAAAGTGAACTGTAGAAATTATGGATTATTCTAGAATTGCGTATCCAGGATCATTTAAAAAAAATCTTGAATCAAACAATATTGAACAGACTGTCAACTCAAGTTATCTCTAAAAAAATACTAATGCTTTTATGTGGAGACATTTTATCTTGAAAACTCCTGACATACCTATTTTTTACTGTCTCCATGGCCTAAATCACATTCAGCTTCATTTATTATGAAATAATTCAGTTTTTTCATATTTCATAATTTTCATATTTCATGTTTTTAAAGTTTTTTTGTGTGTTTATTATACTATCTATTTTCTGTTTTATTTGTCATTTTAGTAATAAAAAAAGATTTTTTTCTGTCCCAACGTTGACCACTCTGGTGTAAAAAAGGCATTAACAATCACTTAAAGGACACCTAGGATGAAAATCAACTTTTGTAAGCTGTTAGTACAGAACTGTGTGTAGGTATAGTGTGTCCACAGTCATATAGGAGTAATATCAACAAAACAATTCTCTTTTTTTTAATTTCCTGACATTAAAGTAGGACCCACATCCCAGTTATTTTGAGGCCACTGCAACGTGACGTAGGAGTGCAGTTTTCCCCACCCACTGAATTGATTGACAGGTGCCATGTCTCCATAATATATAAATACACATGTCCACAGAGCTTTTTTTTTTTTTTTTGGAAAAAAAAACTGGGATTAAACATGTTACAACACTCTGTGATCAGCTGCTCCTCAATTCGTTTTATAAGTTTAAAACGTTTTTTTTTAGACCATGTAAAGACATCGCTATGTAATTCTTTAATCACCACAACCACATGGTGTCAGTAAATGTGCATTTGTGTGAGACTCATCATTTCAGAAAGGCTTAAATTAAACTCCACCACAAATACATCAAATAAACTTACTCTGTATTTTGACTAATGAGCTTTATTTCAGCTTCATCCAAGTCTGTCTCTGTCACTGTGCTGTTTATCTGATGTAACACATGATTAGCAGACATGCACGCAGCTCATTTGGATTTAAAGCCACAGGCTACAAAAGCTACAGTATACTCAGACACAAAAATGGGCCAATTCTGGAAGCTATAATAAATAATCTGATGAGTATTTGAGCTGAAAATTTACAGACACATTCTGGAGACACCAAGACTTGTCTTACATCTTGTAAAAGGGGTAAAATAGGTGCCCTTTAAGCACTGGTAGCAAAAGTATGCGACCAAGTGTTGTCACTTGCTCTGGCAGGAAATTTTTTTTAGGCACTGAGGCATGGTATTCATTAATCTCTCATTAATTTGTACAAAAAGTTTAGGCAACACTAATAGTAGATCCATTTTCAACTGTTACTGTAATGTTATAAGTAAATTAATAGGATTCAGTAAAATAATATGAAAATAATTCTGTTTTAGACATGCCATGTGGTGTTTAGTTGAGGTTAGCATTCAAAGCTAAGCGTCCTTTCTAAATGTCAATTCTGTTAGTGGTCTAAAATCTTTAACAATAAATTAAACAACAAATAGTCGCAGAATCAAACACATTTGAATTGTTTCACATTAATAATTTATTCAGTTTATTGTAAATGATCATTTATTGTATATCATTCTTGTTTAATTTGACTGCCGCTTTACCAAATGGTTGATCATGTTTTTATTGTTTTAAATAATGACTGTTGAAGTAATTTAAATAATAATTTTTATATTTAAAAAAAAATAGAAATAAAAAACAATGTTCTGTTGCACTACTACACTTGATTTTGTTTTTATTGTAAAAAACAAACAAACAAGAAAACATGTTAAATGAGAATCTGAAATGGCATACTTTAAAAATAAAGGTGATTTTTTTAGGCAACGATGTTTTATTTTTAACATTTTTTAAATAAATTGGTCTTCATATTCTCAGATTTTTATAGAATATGTATTAATTTAGGTACTTTTACCATAAACTGACATATCAAATTTGAGGCTCATGTTTTAGAAAATTATAGGATGTGTTGGAAAAAAAATGCTTTGAGTGTTAGCTTAGGGCATTAAGAGTTAAGAAATGCAATCCACACACTTTTTTCTCGTTGGGGTTGTTAAATACATAATAAAATAAATGGAAATAATAAATAAATGGAAAATGCCTGAAATGCGCCCACTATTTTAGAATAAGTTTTACGCAAACAAATTTACATTGTTATGATGAGATGCTTTCTTATATGTTTTTTTTTTTTTTTTTTTTTTTTACCACCGTCATATTTCTTGAGTGATCGTTTGGTTATTGTGAGGAAAGGGTACAGCGATTATGTATGCGTGAGTATCATGATGTGTAAAAACAAACCTGCAGTTTACGTAATGGCCACTAGTGTCACTAATAACGGGGATTTCTGAACTCTACACAAATAACTACATTTTTCTTTAAAATAGTCAGAACAAGTAAAAAAATGGTTGTATGGCTCAATGTGTACATTATTATTTTTTTACTTTGCTTATACTATCTAGTTATTAATTACCCAGTTTACACTGTACATAAACATAAAAAATTAAGTTGCCCCCCCCCCCAAAAAAAAATCAGAAATTGTATTGTTTCAGCTTATTTTAAATAAGTAGTTTTAACAATTTTTTTGAGTGTATGTAAAGACTATTAATTTTTTTTATGTTTTTGTTTTTCAAAACAGGATGGAAAGGATTATATTCCCTTAAATGCTTTTAAATCTGGAGAAGGACATACCATTACGACTCATCTGAATCAGAGAGATATAAGCCAGAAAGCACTGGGAAATTCAAGGTACAAAGCTCTTTGAATAAGAAAATAGCAGCCAAAATCTAATTTATAATGTGAATAACTGCACTAGTTTATTGACTTTGGTTTATTATTTTGTTTTGTAATAGCTACATCAGCCCTGGGAAGATCAAAGCCATGAGCACTTTTGAAGATTTGCACAAAGAGATCCCTGATGTAAGCGTTTTAATGTACAGTTGCTTTTGACTGGGCAAAGGGGTCGAGTCTGACTTCGATGGCGTGTTTTACTACAGGACGAGCAGTCTGACAGTGGAATGGTTCTGCCCTCTGAAGAGCTCATTCAGGTGAAGTGGACAGACAGATTCAAAACCAAGAACATCACTAAGTAAGTGCAATAAGATGGGAGGAATTGTTGATTATTAAACATTTTGAAATGTAAATCTGCCATTCAAACGTTTTATTCTGTTTTTTGATTTCTTTATTGATAAAAAATGACTACGTTAGTTGATGGTTTTATTAATTATTTTGATCTTGCAGATTTCATCAGCACATAAGAGAATTAGATTTTATTTTAGTGACGCTGTTTTGCATTACAGGAATAATTTGAAAACATATACTAAAATAGAAATGAGCTACTTTTAAATTGCAATATTTGACAATAATACTGAAAAAATGTAGACATGGTGAGCATGTAACTTTAAAAAAGGTAGGAATTTACTTAGCAGTAACCTTTAAACTTTAAACTTTTTACTTAGCTCAAACTTTTAAATGGCAGTGTATTTCTTAAAAAATAAAAAATGTATAAATATTCACTTGATTTTATGGGCATTATCAGTGGTTATCAGCAGCTAGATATGGGATAGTAGGGGCCTTCTGGCTCAGAAGGCTGTTATCATTCATCTACAATGGTTAATCAGTTACAGATCACATACGCCTGCATCTGAAAGTTAACAAGAATTATTTATATTAAGTTTCTCGTTAATTGTATGTTAGCCCAACCCAAAACACAACTGTCACAAATCTGGATCTGGAGTCATCTCTATTAGTATAGCTGATTAACCATGTTGGTGGATGATAGCCTTCTGAGCCTACCAGTAGATGAGCCTTCCAGTAGGTGCAGAAGGCCCCTACTGGCTCATATCTATCAGCTGAAAACCAGGAGTTAAAGGGATAGTTCTCTCAAAAATTTAATTTACTCATCCTCAGCTTTATCCAAACATTTATGAGTTTCTTTTATCTGTTGACCACAAAAGAAGATAATTTTTAAAATGTTGGAAACTGGTAGCCCTTAACTTACATACTTTTAAAAATAATATACTATGGAAGTCAATGGCTAGTTTTCCAAGATTCTTCGATATATCTTTTATGTTCAACATAAGAAATAAACTATTAATAAAAAAAAATTTTTTTTTAAAAATTTGTGGACATTAGTAGGGCCACACAGAATCTTTGGACATTTTTTAATGTTTCTGCTGAGAATCTTGTAAAAAAAAAAAAAAAAAAAAGTGGATTTATTGCGGAATTATTTTGGGAGTATTAAAACAAAAAAAACTTGATATATGAAATAAAAAAAATACCTTATTAACTTGTATTCAATGTTTACAATGGAAATCCAATTAGATTCACTTATTTGGTAATCAAAGCAAGTCTCTAATATATCTACTAAAAGACAGAAAATATTACTTTACAAACTGTACTCTAAATAAATCATATGAACAGTTTCATATGTCAAGAATATTACTAAAATTATTCCAATAAACCGAATAAATATAAATTGACACACATTCACACAAATATGTACATTTTTCACTTCATTAAAAGTGCATTGCTCGTACAGCGTTTGAGTGCTGCTATGGGCTTTTAGTCCTTTAAGTTTCATAGCAGTTCTGACCATATGAAAATATTTTGACTTCATTTAAGTGTCAGTGTTTTGTGTGTTGCAGGTTTTTCTCCAGAGGTCAAAGTCAGCCTCGTCTGAGCAGCGCCCCCTGTTGTTCTGATCAAACAGCGCTTCCTCCACCACATTATGAAGGCGATCTTCTTTACCCCAGTTTCTAACATTTGCGTATGACAAACCTGCATGTAAACATCCGTTGGCACTGGTAAAAACACCTCTTATCTCAATTCTGCTGCTTTCGGTTCCTCATTAGGCTCAATTTATCACGACAAAGTAGCTTTTCTGAATAGACATCAGCAATAACCACACCATATTAAAGGGACAGTCGCTACAAATAAATGCTCGTTTCTTCGGTTTAACACAAATGTGTTCATTTTGAACAACAAGAAACAAATGTGCAATACCAGGAAAAGAAATGAGAATTTTCATTGTGAACTAACCCTTAACCAAATAATTTGCTGTCACTAATTAATCCTTAACTTTTTATTTCCTAAGATACTTTCTTGAGTGTCGTATTTTGAGATTTTGTTTTAAACTTCTATCTGATGTGTGTATTCTCATTTTGAAAGCACTGCTAACTTAACATATCCGATCATTTTATTAGTTACAGAGCAGCTGATATTATTTATGAGCTAGTGAAAAGCATTTATTACAATTACTGCTTGTAGGTACCAAATGTTAAACTGTAGAGCACAGTTCATGTGCTGCAGGCCATATGCTGGACGTTCACCATAGAATATTTATTTGCATCATGTTATTAGAACATATTAGAGTATATGTGTATATGTATATATATATATATATATATATATATATATATATATATATGGTTTATTTAATGCTGAAAATTTGAAGCTACTGGTATTAGCTGTACAAAGCAAGCTGTTTTTACATGTGCACAATGTGTTGTTTGGCAGTGTTTTAATGTCCCATGATCAACTAAGCTATGCTGTCAGATTCATGAAGACGACACTGTTCAAAACGTTAGGAGTCAGTATTATTATTTTTTTTAAACATAGAAATGTTAACATACAATTTAAAATTGCTTATATATATTATATTTATATATATATGCACACGCTGCTGGTCAAAAGTATTGGCTCAGTTTTTTTTTAAGATAATTATTTTGTTCATCAAGGTGGTGGATCATGTGACTGAAGACTGCAGTAATAAAGCTGAAAATGCATCTTTAAAATCACTGGAATAAATGATTAAAATGATGAAAATAATCCTTTTTTTTTCTGGAAAATGTTGTCCTTTAACATATGCATTATATTATTCACCTATAAATGATCTTTTTGATTTATTTAACCTGATGCCATCCAATATAAAGGTATATATTCTCCCATTTTAGCTAAAACTGCTGGCTGCATTTTCTGAAAAAACAAGGACCATAATGAAACCAGAGTTAGGCATGTGTCAGTATAAGATTCTGACCCTATGATAACCCTGGATAAAAAAATCACGGTTTCACAGTATTGTGACTACTGCTCTAAAACGCTTGTTTTTAATAACAAAAATAAAAAAGTCAGCATTTTCCCCTTTGAATGCAATAAGATTTTATTTTGAGAAACATTTAAAATATTTTGGAGCAGTAAACATGTCAGGCTAAATAATCTAAATTAATCATTGACTTCTGCGGTCTTCATTAGTTTTAAAAAAACACAGATTTCATTACAATTTAATACGGCGTCTTTTCTGCTGGAGATACTGTTTGCCTTAAACAAAAACATGTTTTCACACACACCTTAGTAACGGTATAGCAGAACATTTTGGCAATTTTATAACCTTGACTTTTCCAAAACCACGGTATACCTTGATAACGGTTATTCTTTTCCTAGTCAGTCTTAAAAAAAAAAAATCTCTTGACAATACATTGAGGCCTTATGAATCCAGTTGGACCACTTGCTGAAGCTGTGTAATGTTGTTGTTAATGTTGCTGCTTGTCTGTTTTACTTCATAAGACCTCAATGTGAACATTAAAGCCTAAAGCCACGTCCACACATACATGGGCATTTTTTATAAACTGAGTTTTTCCTAACCTTCATTTTTAAAAGAAGTTTCCTTCCACATGGCGATGCTAAAATGTGTTAGCCAATCATAATAGTTGACATTGGCACATTGACGCTGAGGCAAAAACTTGACTTGCTGGAGTTTTAACAAAAACCTGTGTCATATATGGACAAGACCTTATGATGAATTTTTAAATAATCGCAAACTGTATTGTATGTTTGTTGTAGTGACGCTATTGCTATTGTAACTGATCCTCTCACCTAACGATTACCACAAACAAATGCTTTAATAAAATATCTGCACCATATCCGAGACCTACTCTCATTGCTGCTTTAATGATGTTTTTGTGGCATCTATTTTGGGAAGCATTTCATTCTCCTTCCATGTTCTCAGACTTGCAGCCAAATTATAAACAAGTTCCTTTTTTATTCTTGCAGCTCATTTTCTACTCAAACAATCATGAACACCCAAAATCAATCTTAACTTTTATTTACTCTTTATTAAAATACTGCTGTACACACAAATATTGCAAAAAAATGTGACAAACACAAGAAGGGCATAAAACATACTGGGGTTGTGAAGGAGGACTTCATGTATGTGAGTGTATGTGTGTGTGTGTGTGTGTGTGTGTGTGTGTGTGTGTGTGTGTGTGTGTGTCTGGAGTGCGCTCCACTGGAATCGGAGTACATGATATGACAGATCGGCCACTAAAAGGTGTGTGTTAATGTTTGTGTGTGTGATGAAGAAAGAGATACGGGCTTGGCACCATGTTCACCAAGTTATATTACTGATTGGTTTACTTTAAAAAGAAAATAAAGAAGAGGGGGGGGGGGGGGTAGAGGAGAGGGTAGATTACTGAACTCACAGCATCCTCACTGCAGTTCTGGCCTGCTGTATCCTGCACACCCCAATCTGTGCTGCAAGTCCTGCACGGGTCCTCGACCCACAGATCGGGCAGTCACCAATGACAGGTCAGACACATTCAGCCATTGGCATATCATCATTATCCTGAGCGAATTTCAAACTGATTTACGGATGTTGTCGCATGATCAAATCATAGAAAGAAAGAAACTGATGCAATCCCAAGCGTCCTTTGCTGGGATTGGTCCACAGAGTGAGGTGAGAAACATCCCATCATGCATCTCTGTACAATAGCTTGGTGAGGGAAAGGGAACAACACAAGAGAGCTCTACTGAGATTCACTAGATCCAAACCAATACTAGCGGATGTGAGAAACGAAAAGAATGAAGAAGTGGACGCTTAAGAAGAGGACATTCATTCCACCATCACAGCGAACTGGTTTCCCTTGCTAGTGTGGTCCAGTTCTTTGGTTCCTATCACGAGAGCCATACAAAAAATAAAAATAAACAACAAAAATCCATCCTCTCAAAATCTGATAATGCGCCTGTGAAATTAAAAGGTCGCAAATAAACAATTTTACTCAGCAAGAGGGGAGAGAGAGAGAGAAAGATAGAGAGAGCACCTCTTTGTCAGCGCCAGCGAATGCCGTGGAATCCCACAAACCCAGTGACGTCCCTCCTGCCTGTAAATCGGCTGACATGATCAAGAGTCGTTACAAACGTTAACCATCGCCACACATTCATTCAGTGGTCAGTCTCATTGATTAACCCAACCCGGCGCATCGTCCCATCAGAGTCCAGGACACATGACCAGTGGTCTGTCCCAAATTGTAGTACCTCATAAAAAAACAGGAGGAGATGATGTGGAAAACGCTCTGTTTTTTTGTTTCGTTTTGTGTCTATTTCATGTGTGATCCCTGTATGAACCCTGTGGGACGTGCGCGCACAATCACTTAAAAAAAGGAACTTAAAATGTTTAGTGCATCCTCCAAAAAATCCAAAAAAAAAAAAAAAAATACAAATTAAAAATAAGAGCAGGAAGTCATTTTTTTGGACATTGTTCCCAAGTCTTAAAAAAACTCATTGGCCACAGCTCTCAGTTCAGTTCATAATTCTGCAGCTGCGCTGTTTGTTGTGAAAACTAAAAAAATAAGCTTTAGAAAAAGACGTTTCTCTGGATAGAAGAACAACAGTGTATCTGACTGGAGGTGAGCAACCAGCTGGCTCTGCCCTGGTCGTGAGATCATCGTTCTGCACCTATGATTCCAGGCTGTAGTGCAATGTGCTCTGTTTTCAGGCAGTTCCAGCCCACTCCTGTGGGGACGGCTGGGGTTACAGGGGGCCGTTCGCCGTGGCCAGCAGTTCCTGGAAGGTGCTCTCAAAGCAGCGCTTCAGGTCTGAGTAAGTCACCACGAGCACGCTCTTCTCATCCCGGGACACCAGACTGATCTTCTCCGGCACTCCAGCGTCCAACTGCAATTACGAGTTTAAAAAAATACTTAGAAATGTACAAGATACATTTTGAAAAACCTGCTGTACTTTGGAGAATACAAGCGTTTTAGCACGACTTTCCAAAAGCAACATTTATAGTCGCCATCATCAATACAGAATGTCTGTGCTACCTTTGATCCTGCTTTAAATAAGTTTGCTTACGCTAGTTACTTCTAATCAATGACATTTCAAGAGTTACACTTAGCTGATAATTGAGAAGTAAATGTGTGTTTGGCATGCTGTCCCGAGAGAGAGCCCTGAGCTCAGACCATCCTTGAGACCCTCCTGTTTTATCAGGAGAAAGAGGAGTCTAAGCTCAGGTAGGTCTCGAGAGCTCCCTGAATTTGTTTGCTCAGCCTATTCCTTCATTATTAGGAGTTGCCAAGACGGTATGAACTGCCAACTATACCAGCATATGGCCATGTGGTGAATGCCTAGTACTGAAACACTTAAACACTGTGCCAATTTGGTTTATTCAATTCACTTATCCTGCATGTCTTTAGACTGTGGGAGAAAAACAATGCACCCGGAAACCCACGCTAGCACAGGGAGAACATGTAAACTCCACACCAAAACTGGCCCAGCAGGACTCGAACTAGCGACCTTCTTGCTGTGAGGCAACAGTGCTAACCAGTGAGCCACCCTGTCCTGGATTAATCTAGGGGGGGGTGTAGTGGTGGATGGGGTGATTCTTCAAGGCGAGGATGACTAAGGTGAGGAAATCTGGTTATTTATGTGCCTTTAAATTTGTCTGATTAGTAAATCATTTGAAAGCTAATGTGGGACCAGCCGTGGTCAATCACAAACACGTGATCCTCTTGAACTTAGTTTATAAATAAACCTCACTTATGGAAAATAGCACTAATTTCTTTTTGATTTGTCATTTGATTTTTCATTCAATAGTTTAGTGTGAAATGAATACTGTATATATGTTAAATACTTATATGTTATATGTATACTGTATACTGTATATATGTTAATACTTAAATATGTATTTTTTGGAATGGTGGTGGACACAA